TTGTTTTTTCCATTTTTTTTCCATTTTTCCTTTTTTATTTCATTTATTAATGAAGATTTTTTTATAATGTTTCTTAAAATTTAAAGTTACTTTTGTTAGAAAAAATTAAGATATAATGCATATGTACGTCTCAAATTAACAATTTTTGTTTTTTCTGAAAAAAAGTAAATTTTTTTTGAGACTTCAAGAAATGAGGAATAAAATAAGAAACAAAATAATACAAAAATAAAAATGAATATCCTTTTTGGACATGTTAATTCTAAGGACTTTTTTAGGCGTGTCTAATTTTTTGTATAAGATTTCTTTTGCATATTTTAATTTTTTTCAATTCTTTTTTTCATATTTTTATTTTTTTATTATGGGTTTTTTTGAACTTTTCAAAAAATTATTCTAAGTAACAGAAGGTGAAAATGTTTAATTTGATATAGATTTAATGTATGTTAATTTTTTTATTTTTATTTCAAACACAAATTTTAAAATTTTTGAAACATTATAAAAAATTGAAAATATATTTTTAAAAAAATCTAGGAAAAGGAAAAAGAGATAGAAGATATTTTAAAAAAGGGAAGAATAATAAAAGAAAATAAGAAATGAACATGAATGCCCCCGTGATTTAGAAATTATGCGCCAATGCCCCCTCTTCGCCGGAAAATGATTGGAGGGGGTGTGGGTGCAACGTTTTGAAACCACGAGAATTTTAGAAATAAGTTTTGAAAATAGAGGGGGTATTGGTGACAATTTTCCAAATCACAGGGGGCATGAAAGCTATTTGGCCAAAAAAATTGTGCAGTGTTGATGTTTTGGTTATATAGTACTCCTTGTTTAGTGTTTACAATGACAGTTCTAAAGAAAATCCTTGTATAATACTCCCTTCGTTCTCAAAAACACTTCGGGGCTGTTTGTTTCAGCCTCTTAATAGTTCAGATGTCTGAATGGTTCAGCACTTAATGGTTCAGACTGTTTGTTTCAGCCTCTTAATGGTTCAGAGGTCTGAATGGTTAAGAGATTTGCCTCTAAATGGTTAAGTATTATATAGAGTCTGAATGGTCAAGACCTCTTATCTGAATTGATCAGACATTTGCCTCTGAATAGTTAAGTAATATACTAGCTCTTAATAGTTGCCAAACAGCCCCTTCCTCTTTCATTTTTTCCACTTCCAACAAAACACTTCCCTTTTCTATTAAAAAACCACTTTTACCCTTACTTTTTCATACCCTACCTATCACATCATACTTTTTCTCTAATAATCTATCCATCACATCTTACTTTTACCCATCACATCAGGGGCAAAATTGGAAATCAACTACTCCCTCCGTCCCAAAAAGTCTTTCCTGTTTTATTTTTTGCGCATCACATAAAACACTTCTACCGACATCTAAAATGCCTAAAATTTACAACATTTCTTCTTTATTGTGTGTAGAAGTTATTTTGAAAGTTTTTTTGGCATTCAAGGCGGGATAGAAGTGTTTTATGAGATGCGCAAAAAATGAAACATGAAAGACTTTTTGGGACGGAAGGAGTATAATTTAACACTTCCTTATTTTTGCCCCAAATCAAAATGGAAAAGGTTTTTCCAAACGGAGGGAGTACCATAGATGTGATCAACATATAATACTAAAAACTCTGTACAGTGGCACAATCTAAGTGCTATTTTTTACTCTTATTTTGGGTGATTCTTATATAGAGTAAAATATATATGGATATTGCTAAATTCACCAAAAAATAGCTATATTCACACATTTTTCATATATTTGCTAAATCCACACTCATTAAGTCATTAGCATAACTTTAACAACGGTTGAATTTAACAAATTTACGTAAAAGAGGTGATATAGTCATTTTTGCGGTGGATTTAACAACACACAATATATTTATACTCTGCATAATTTATCATTTATTTAAGAGAGAAAAATACGTGATAGTCATTGTTTCTCTTTGTTGGGGAAATTAATGATAACTTGGATGAATCGAGAGTTGTGTAAACACTTTCAGATTGAATATTTTGGTTGTTCACTCCAAAATTCAATCGGATAAAACTCGAAAGTATCAAGAACGAAATATGAGAATTGCTGTGTCTAAAACCGAACGAAATTCGACCATGCCCAGGGGGATTTTATAGACTAGGGGTGAGAAGGAGAAGACACCATTCGCGGCTATTACCCAAAGCACGCAACTCTTCGCGCGGAAGTTTCTTCTTCAAAATTCGGTCCTATCCATCGAATTTTCTTTTAAANTGATAACTTGGATGAATCGAGAGTTGTGTAAACACTTTCAGATTGAATATTTTGGTTGTTCACTCCAAAATTCAATCGGATAAAACTCGAAAGTATCAAGAACGAAATATGAGAATTGCTGTGTCTAAAACCGAACGAAATTCGACCATGCCCAGGGGGATTTTATAGACTAGGGGTGAGAAGGAGAAGACACCATTCGCGGCTATTACCCAAAGCACGCAACTCTTCGCGCGGAAGTTTCTTCTTCAAAATTCGGTCCTATCCATCGAATTTTCTTTTAAAGAAAATTCGAAATTAAAATTCTAATTGAATTTTTTAACATAGCATCGACCCCAGCCAGGGGCTCTGCCCCTTGGACCCCGCAGGGGTTGCCGCCCCTTGAACCCTGCTCGGGGGCGCTGCCCCCTTGGAACCCCCGGTGTAACGGGTTTTATATCGTAACAAACTCAATGAAACGTGCACTCCGCACCACCAAACTTCTTTGATGATTATTAGTATACCATTGGTCGTAGTTTTTCCAATTACACTAAAATATATAACACTCTTCACATAAACAACAAGGGATAGGTTATAATTAAAACAAGTGGGCATGGAAAAGCTAAGTGGAGGAAAAGTGTGCATTTGCGAAAGTTGCCTAAAAGCGAGAAAAAGATAACAAAATTCTTAGATGCCTTCCCAATCTTGAAGCAAAGAATATATTATTAACACAACTTAACTTTAAAGAAGTCAAAGTGGGGGTTGGCCTTGGTCCTTGGCGCCTTGCATCCACAAGAGATTAAAATTTATTGCTCCTTCTATATGGAAATATTCCTTATATTTAATTTTTTGTTTTTGTCAAAATTTATAAACTTTGACCCTAATTTGTAGAAAAAATACATTAATTTATTATATAAATTTAATATCAAAATTTGTGTTAAATATATAATTGAAGTGAGATATCAATTATAACCTAATTAAAAGCGAGTAGAGATGCTGATGAGGATGATGATAATTAATGATGATGACGACGACGACGATGGTGTTAATAATAATAATAATAATAATAATAATAATAAAATGACAAAGACATCGTGGTCTAATGACATTATGTAGCTTTTCTAAATTAAAGGTCACAAGTTCAAACAATAGTGAAGAGTCTGAGGACAGTAACAATATGTGCTTTAATATATTGAAAATGTATAAATAGAAACTAATTTTAATATACTACTTCCGTTCCGTAAAATTTTTCAACTTTCACATTTTGTTTGTTCCATAAATTTTTTTAATTTGGTCTAGTTTGACACAATTACTTTTACTTTTCTTAAATTATCTTTTACGCCTACTCATTTTAATATTTCTCGAGTCCTATTCGTTTTAATTGTATTCATTATACCTCGGTCAAATGTCCATTGTAATTTCTCCTTCCGAAAATTAAAACAGGATATTTTTTTATGGGATAGATGGAGTAAGTAGTTATTAGTGTGAAATATTACCCCCGTCCCAAAAAGATTTACACGTTTTCACTAAAGTTGAAATTAAGGGAGGGATAATTTTGTGTTGACTTTCCAAAAATACCCTTGATGTAATGAGTAAAAGTAGGATGTGATGTGTAGATTATTAGAAAAAAGGTATGATGTGATAGGTAGGGTTTGAAAAAGTAAGAGGTAAAAGTGGTTTTTTAATTGAAATAGGTAGGAGATTGTGGGACGCAATTTTTTTGAAAGGTGTAAATTTTTTGGGATGAAGGGAGTATAATAATAATAATAACAATAATGATCTTGATAATAATAGTTGAGGCTTTTTTTAAACTTTAATTTTTTTCACACTTTTCAATTTTTTTAACACTTTCCAATATCTTCTAACTAAATCTGATTTGTTTCTGACATTTAACTAAAAAATTTCAAACGAATAGAAGAGATACTTCCTCCGTTCTCAAAAACACTTCTTCTTTCATTTTTTCCACTTCCAACAAAACACTTCCACTTTTTATTAAAAACCCATTTTTACCCTTACTTTTTCATACCCTACCTATCAAATCATACTTTTTCTCTAATAATTTATCCATCACATCTTACTTTTACCTATCAGACTCAGAAAAAAATTAGAAGTCAACTATAATTTAACATTTCCTTATTTTTACATTTTGTCAAAGTAAGAAGAACAAAGGGAGTACTAAATAACAGAGAGTAAGTGTAAATTAAAGTTTAAGTGAAGAGGGAGATAGAAGATGAAAGGCGGGGACGGAGGGGAGAGTGACGGCGAGTGCTTGTGGTGATCGATAAAAACAAAAAAGACAAAAAAAGGCGACGGCGCGTGGAGAACGAACCTTTGATGCGGCGAATAGCATTCCGGACTTTCCTTTCACAGCCATCGCAGTCCATTTTCACTTTTATCTCCACCGTCTGCACTATTATATAATATAATATGCGGTATATATATATATATATATATATATATATATATATATATATATATATATATATATATATATATAGAGCGGATGAGTACGGACGGACCTGTATGGATTTTGTTCGGGTTCCGGTGGTGGTAAAGGAGCAAAGCTTGGAAAGGTACTCGAGTGCTCCCATTATTTATTGTACGTAATGGCAGTCCGCCGCCGCGCCGGCAGCCCTGGCCGCCGGTAGCTAAATTAGACGATGGGTATGTTGTTGAATGGCGGCGACCGCCGGTAGATGATACAATATATACTCCGTATATATATTACTCCGTATATACTATTTGGCGACACACCACACACACGGGCTAGCTAATTGTCAGTTTTGGGACCGTTAAATAATGATGCTCTCACTTTTTTTTAACGGTTTGTTTTTGTTTTTGGTTCCAAATCTTTTTATTCCGGGTAGTCGGGTACCAACCACGGAGTAAGTATTTAATTTTGGGTTGCATACCTCTCAAAAAAAAGAAGTTTTGTTTTTCATAATTATTTCCACTAGGGCTATTCAATCGGATTGATCCGATCCGATCCGAAAATTTGGATATCCGAAAATTTCGGATCATGCAAAACTCATTCCATATCTGATCCGTAAATATTCGGATATTCGAAATTTCGGATCGAATCACTGGATTATCCGAAAAATTGATTTTTTAGCCAAAATTTACAAAAAAAAGGTAAAATAACAAAATCAACCCACAATATCAAATTCAATATAGATTTACTAAAAGAAAAATTTCACAACAAGATAATGGCCTAATAAAAAATTGATACCAAATTTAATTTGGAAGTAACTTTGGTAATTTTGCCTAAACAAACAAAAAAATTACTATTAATACAAAAAGTTTTAAAATGCTAATGCAAAAAGCCCAAAATGCTTTAGTTCCAAAATGAACATAAAATTGCATTAAACACATACCCATAATATATATTCATAAAATTCCATTAAACATATAAGCAAAAAAAAATCGGATATCCGATTATCCGAAAAATTCCATAGATTGAATCCATATCCGATCTGATTTTTTTCGGATATCCGATCCGAAATATCCGAAAGCCAAAATATCGGATCGGATATCTGTTTTTCGGATCGAATATGCACGGATCATGGACGGATTTTTCGGATCGGATATTTTTGAACACCCCTAATTTCCACCACCCTCTTAATTAGGTTGAATACCCACTGGCTTTGGATACTAATATCTTATTTTATAAATAAATACATACTTTGTTGTCAAATAAATTAATAAATACGGAGTATATACTTCTTTTGTTCTTTAAAATGTTTTTCATTTTGACTACTAGTAGATTTAAAAAAAAGATATTTTTGTGTTGACTTTTCAAAAATATCTTTGATGTGATTGATAAAGTAAGATATAATAGATAGATTATAATAAAATAGAAAAGATGATATATAGGATAAGAATTGTATAAGTAAAAGTGATTTTTTGTATAAAGTGAAAAAAGTTTTCGGGGCGGATGAAATGAGAAATAGAAAAAGGTTGTACGGGAGGAATGCAATACTCCCTCCGTTCCTAATTAGATTACAATATTCACTCTTATTCTTGTCCCAAAAAGAATTACAAAATTCTAACTTTTATACTATTTGGACCATTTTACCCTCCCTTCTAATTCATGTCAAGAAGCATTGACACGTTTCTCTCTTCTCTGTCCATAGATCGAATCTAGATCTACTTTCTCCTCTCCTCACCTCTTCCTCTCAATCCCACTTCATCTTCTTCTATTTCAATTTCGGTATCTAAAACCATAACCTTTAGGGTTACGATGTCGTCTCCATGGAAACGTGATCCATCTATGCCCATTTTTCATCTCTTGTCACAAGAATCTCGATCCAGATGTAGACTGCTTCCTATCTCTAAATCAAAACTTGAGGTGCATGTTGATTAACCATCAGACACTTCTGAGATCGACCCTACTTGGAGGTTTAGAAAGAAGTACGATTGTGTGGCTTTAAAAGATCAGTTGAGGGTTTCATCGGCAAAGAAGGTGAAGGGGAAGAGGTGAGCTCTGGGTATTACCCAAAAAAGATGACATATGCTGATTTTGTTTATGGACATCTCTAAAAAAAGACCTCCGGGCCTTGATCCATGCGGTATCCCTTCTTTTATTTCTTTCTTACTCATAGAGAAGAGTTATGTTTCTATATTAAAATTCATGTTAAATTGACTTTCAACACTGTGTGGCATAGCTAGGGACATGTTTCTTGTTGTATGATAGCCCTTGTGTGTTTCACCCACTATTTGACACGGTACCTGAGATCTATGATGTTTCATCCTGAGATCTGTGATGGCCTTAAGGTTTAACATTACCCTGATCTATACCTATTTGCTGTATAAGGTTGAATCTCACTGTGATGTATGTTTTTTTGATGTATGATGCCTGATTTATAAATGCTCAAGGTTTATGAAGTAAAGCATTTACTTCAGAACTATGATGATCCAAAAACTATGTACCTTTGGCCCTAGGATCTATGATGACAAAAATAAATTAAGTGTGTTTATAAATGGTTGAAGTCTATGAAGTATAGAAATTGCTTGAGAAGTATGTTGAGAGAAATATTAAGATTTATGATGAGATCTACCACATGGTTGGCCCTAAGGTTTAAGGTCTATCATACCCTGAAACCTAAGGTCTTCTACAGAAATATCTACCACATGGTTGGCCCTGTGTGTGTTTGGCCTTGAGGTCTACCACACTCAATGTGTGTGTTTGACATTGATGACAAACACAGTCTCTATTTTAGATAACAGAATTTCCTTCATTCACTTGATAGGATACATGTTACATTACTACATTTAAGTATATTAAAGAGTTACATGTGCAAATACTATAAACACTCAAAAAACCCAAAAGGCAAAAATGGTCATGGTGGACAATACATTTTAGTAAATTATGATGGCAAATTCTTACATTATCTCAAGATGTATGCTCACTTTATAAAGTTTATTGTATTGATATCATAAACGAGTTAAATTTTTATAAAAAAGAAAACCTCCACTTACTCGCACATGAAAATTATAAAAAAAATCACATTTTATGCATCGAATCTTAAAGTCACAAAAGAATAACTTTTTAGATTTTTAGCATTAAAAATTATTAAAAATGAATTAGGATGAAGGGAGTAGCGGCTGATTTGAGATGGATAGAATTTCCCACCGACGTATGTTTGATCATCGACTACTAGCCATTGGATTGCATATTCTCCCAAGTACGTCTCCTCTCTCTCTCTCTCTCTCTCTCTCTCGGATGGAACGATAATTCGTATAATTATTTGATGTTCATATGCAATCCTTATTCCCTTCTGGGGCTTAATTCAATTTTGCGGCTTTATTTATGGAATTAAATTCTTTTTACTTCCAGAACTGTTCTTTTGACTGAAAGTTGAACCCAATCTTCATCTGATCAACTTAAAATTCAGAGACCCCATGCCATTTCTGTGAAGGTTCGATCTTGTATTGCCAGGATTTACTTCCAGACCTGTTCTTGCTGGGCGACAATTAAAAACCCAATCTTGATCTGGTAACCTCAAAAATCTATGCACCCATTTTGTGAAGATTCGATCTTTATTCAGATGTAAGAGCTCTGTTTTTATATATTTGAATGGATATGGACTCATCAGCTAATATGAACAGCGGTGGAGGAGCATATCTGGCTTATGCTATCCTTCCATTGTTGAAGCTCATCTGTTTGACAGTCATTGGTCTGATTCTTGCACACCCAAAAGCCAAAATTGTCCCCAAAGCCACTTTCAAGCTTCTCTGCAAGCTTGTCTTTGCTCTGTTCTTGCCCTGCACCATATTCATCCACCTCGGCGAGGCTATCACTCTCAAGAACTTCACTCTTTGGTGGTTCGTACCCGTGAATGTGATTTTAAGCGTTGTGATTGGCAGTTTCTTGGGATTCTTGGTGACCAAGATTTGCAGGACACCCCCAGAGTTCAAAAGGTTCACGATTATCGCTACTGCATTTGGGAACTCTGGGAATCTTTCCCTTGCGATTGTCGGATCGGTTTGCCACAGTGCGGACAACATTTTTGGCCCAAACTGCCATAGCAGTGGAGTGGCGTATGTGTCGTTTTCCCAGTGGGTTTCGGTGCTTCTTGTTTATACTCTCGTGTATCTGATGATGGAGCCACCATTGGAGTATTATGAAGTCGTTGAGGAAGAAGGTGTTGAGATTCAAGAACAATTGCCCCCGGCTAATGATCTGAGTAGGCCACTTCTTGTTGAAGCCGAGTGGCCTGGAATGGAAGAAAATGAAACAGAACACTGTAAGACCCCATTCATAGCCAGGATTTTTTCTAGTGTTTCCAACATCTCCCAAAGTTCAATCCCAGATCCTGGGAGTCCGAGACAGCTCAGATCAATGACGTGTTTGGCTGAGCCACGCGTAGTAAGGAAAATGAGAATCGTCGTCGAGCGGACTCCAGTCCACCGTGTCCTTCAGCCACCGATGATTGCAACTCTACTGGCTTTTGCCATCGGGATGACCCCGCCGCTCAAATCTTTTGTTTATGGCCAAAATGCCCCTCTCTCGTTCCTAACTGACAGTCTTGAGATAATGGCCCAAGCAATGGTTCCTTCCGTGATGCTCATCCTCGGAGCAATGCTAGCCGAGGGCCCCAACGAGTCGAGGCTCGGCGTGGGGACCACAATCGGCGTGATTGTCGCGAGGCTTTTGGTGCTACCCGCGCTGGGGATCGGGGTGGTTTTGGCGGCGGACAAGGTGAACATTTTGATCCCCGAGAACAAAATGTACCGTTTTGTCCTCCTGTTGCAGTACACGACTCCCACCGCTATCCTGTTGGGAGCGGTGGCTCGTCTGAGAGGATATTCGGTGAGCGAAGCTTCTGCACTTCTCTTCTGGCAGCATCTGCTTGCATTGTTGTCTCTTTCTATATACATGATTGTTTATTTCAAACTGCTGCTCTCTTGAAGTTGAGGTCTGGTTTGATCTTCTTCTTCTTCTGCAATAATGTTTCTCATAGAGAACCAAAGCTTGCCAATAGAATCTGTCCTTTTTTATTTGTCCCCACAAAGAGGGATTACTTGTAACAGTATGATTTAAATGTCTATGAGGACATGGCTTGTGAGTTCCACCTTCTTTCAATGCTTGGGGCTCCAATTTGGAGTTGTTATGTAAAATAGTGATTCAGAACTCTTTTCCAATTTTTTAAAGAAATAACTCTTTTCCAATTTCCAGTATCCACCATTTTTATAGTAAGAGCCATGCTTGGTACCCCAAATTGCACTTCACCTTTGACCTTAATGTCTTCTCAGATATCACTGAGATATAAATTAAAATATTATAAAGGCGTTGAGGTCAAAAGTGAGGTAAAACTTGAGGTACCTCAAGGTTTTTTTATTAGATGAAATAAACAAGTTTTTATCCCTAATCTTTATAAAAGGGAAAGAAAGAGGTGAAAAATGCAAAGTTGTCATTTTGTTATAAGTAGTAGATTGAGCCAAATAGGGGTGAATTCTTGAGATAAGTTTTGAGATAAGATATGCACAGTTGTTGACATGATTGAGTAAAAAACATATTTGAATGATTTATTTGTATCATGTTTCTACCCAAATATTTATCTACAAGTATATGGAGTATTTTTTTTAAAAATGTTCTAGTTTTTTGAGGAAAATGAAAGAATTAATCATTCCTAAAATGAAAGATTAGAAAAAATGGTTGGGTGTTAAGTGGAGTCCTTATATTTAGAGAATAAGTTCTTTGAGCTAAAGCATGAACAACTGTGTTTGCTAAACGAAAAATAAGAGTAAATAAAATATATGTCTATATTGTGAGAGCTAAGAATTCACAAGCATCAATAACATAAGAACTAAGAGAACGTTGAGGCGAGGCGGTTGGAACTCCTTGATAACAGTGAGTCAATTTGATTTGATGATAATTTTGATCGTCAACTGAGAACTTCTTTGATCGTAAAAATTTCCTTTGAATTTGGATCCTCTACATCTGGCCGAAGGGATGAACACAACCCTTTTCTTTTGGAGGGAAAACGAAGTATGTTGAATTTCAAAATTTATCCTTACATCAATTAAAGGTTAAACAGTTAAATATATTGTTACTATATTTAATATTGTAATTATGTGTATAGGTTACCATTAATGTGTTTCCTACCCTAACTATGAAACCCTCTTGTATATATACACATTTAACCTCACCATTCTGATCATTGGAAATTAATCATTCTTCATGGTATCGGAGCAATAATCAATCACAGCTCTCCTCAAACCCTAACTTTCTCTCTCTCGACTCTCTCTCTCTCGGTTTTCTCTCTCGGCAGACTTCCTCGCCGCCGGCAATCAACTATGGCCGAGGTTTCTTCTGTCTCCTCCGATAATAGCAACTCTTCCAAATCTCTCCACCTTGCTTTCACCACAATCTCCAACATCAAACTCCATATTCCTCTTCAACTCAGCATCTCCGAACCCAACTATAAGAAGTTGAGCCGTCTCTTCCGTCTCCTCGTCCTCCGCTTCAATCTCATGTGTTTTCTTGAAGGCACCACCGATAAAACCACAAGCAAAAGCAATAAACAGATAGCAAAAGTACTAGCAAGACAGATAAATACTTGTTTTGATGTATGATTTTGGGTAAAATGATTTGACTAAAATATGACTTTCATGTTTTTATCGACAAGATAAGATATAATGTTTATCTCTTAAGGAACATCCGATAAAATTGGAATGATACAAACTAAGATATAATGTTAATAATGTCACTATATAATAACAACATATATTACGGAATGTAGAATAATATGTTTTACTCTTATTTTAAGTAATTTTTTATAAATTTAATTTTTTTTGACGGTATGAATTTAAAGTTTTTAAAATAATTAATAAACGAAAATTTCGCTTGGTTTGTATGGAACACCAAAATTGTTACGGAGTAAATTTTATGGTCTGCCCACTCTTTGCCTGTGCTCTACAAAATACAAATGTTGTGTAAGACCTTCACGTTAATGAATGCTGATTTTTTTTTTAAATTTTTAATTTTCCCCTTTTTCTTTTCACTTGGCATTTCCATGGGTGTCAATTCCATGATCTATCTAATCCCACCCAATGTAGAATTCATGAATTCTCAATCACAGAGAGAAAGAAACTAATAAAAGAATCCCACAAAAAAAATCAGATCATTGACCAAACATTTCTTTAAGAGAGAAAAAATGCAGACGACCAGATTCCACGTCCAAGAGAATTAGACCGATAAATTCGGGAAAGATTGAGAGTGGGGAGGATTCGTGGGCAGCATTTCTCTCCACTTCTTCTTCTTCTTCAATGGCCGCTTAGAAAGTGGAAGACATGAAGAAATGGGTAACGTTCTCTGCACTTTATTGTGATCTCTGAATATTATTAATGGCGGAAGAGTTCGGGTTGACCCGTTTTCGCGAAATGGAATCGGTTTCATGGGTACCCGTTTTGAAAGATTGAGTCTTGGAAACACATACGCATGTTCTTGTAAGTATTCCCAGATAGATTTCAATCTTCGTCCCTCTCATTCTGTTATTCTGGGAAAATGGTGTCTCATGGAACAAAAAAGGTGCTTTTTTTATTTTGTTTTTCTTGGGAAAATGGTGGATTGGTTGGTTTTTGCTGCATTGTTCATAATTTGCTCCCTTTTTTCTGGTTTTATTTCAAAACTTGCTTCCTATCACCCTTTATATCTGTTTATTTAAATCAATGTTTCAGCTTGATGAAAAAAAAACCTAAATGTCTTTGGGTTGCAGGTTAACACATTAATGGAACCAAGTGCCTGTAAAAAAGTCAGCTAAGAAGAATGAATTTTAACTGATGGTGGCCTTTAAAGAAGTCTAGCTAGTTTAAGGCGTATTTTTCGGGTGAAGTATGGGAGACCGTTTTGCATTACCGGTAGGCTGGTTGCTGACTGATTCCACCCTAGAAGCCGTTATTCAGAGCAAAAACCTCTCGCCAGCTGCTGCTTTTGAAGATGCCAGTGTTGATTTTAGTTCCCATAGGATGGACATTGATGAAGCAGGTTCATCACCAAGAACACTTGTAGAATGTAGGATTTGCCACGAAGAGGATGAAGATTTAAACATGGAAATGCCGTGCTCTTGCCGTGGAAGCTTGAAGGTTTTATTACTAATCAAATTCCTCTGAATATACACTTCATACTTGAAGAGGCTTGAAACCATATTTGAAATGTATGCAAATTTAACATTTATGTGCAGTATGTCCACCGCAGGTGTGTGCAGCGATGGTGTAATGAGAAACGAGACACGGTGTGTGAAATCTGCCACCAGGTTAGCCAAGCCTGTTTTCTCAACATGGTTGATCCAAATAATATATCTTACTAGTATATCTTAAAATTAAAAAAGTTCTAAACTTAGTTTTATTTATTTGTAGCAATTCAAGCCAGGTTATACATCACCACCTGCTTTGTTCCATTATAGTGGGATTCCATTGAACTTGAGGTACTATAAATTTAACTGATGGAGTTCTCATTGAATTGCTCCTAACTCATAAAGGACCTTTTTGTATTTTCTTGATTTGTTTTGTGTTTTTGTAGAGAAAATTGGTATATTTCTGAGAGAGACCTTCAGAGTACTTCATTCATAACAGTGGTTTCTACAGAACACAACTTTGTGGACCCAAACTTTGAAGATCATTCTGGCTACACTCCAAGGACTTTGATATGCTGTCGCGTTGTGGCTATAACGGTACCCCCCGCCCCACCCACCACCGCCACCACCACTATGAATTGAGATAAAAATACCATTTTATTTGTTGCGAGAGAATACAATTTTAATTTCTCAATGCAGTTTCTGCTGCTTCTGATGCTACGTCATACTCTACCGGTCATCGTTTATGGTGCTGGGGATTACTCAGCTACACTGTTCATAGTAAGTGGTACTGGTACATGATTTTCCCTTCCTATTCTACTAGTAAATATTGAGTGCCAAAATTTGAATGTTCATACATATATAGTTTGAAAATAAATCAGTATTGTAACATTAAAAAATAGTGTGAAATGGATGTGTTTTTGCAGTTATTGGTACTGAGAACTGCTGGAATTCTGTTGCCAATCTATGTAATGGTAAAGGCATTTACTGCGGTGAGACGACGGAGACAACACGCAGAGGTGAGTGAGGGTAGTATTGATATTTCTCACGTTTTCGCCAGTTGAAGCTAGTCGATCGAGATGATTCTTTAATTGTATAATACGGTCATTAATAATTATTATTAGAAAAAATTGTGGTTTGTTTGCCCGTACTTCTGTATTTAATCTAGAAGTCTCTTGGAAGCAGCCTCTCTTGCACGACAAGCATTTTTTAATGTGCCTCTTTTTTGTATGTCTTTGATAGGATCGTGGCCATCTCTCTAGCGTGCTCGTGTTAGAAGAAGGAAATGATTTGCCAATATAGAAGACGCGATCGCATTCTTGATCTTCCGATCTCAAAAAGAGCATTTTGGTGCACAAAACATCCCTACATAAGGGTGTGACATAGGCAAACTTGCATTTTTGCCAAAGGATGCTTTGAGTCTCATTTGAAAGCTAATTTTAAATGGTATTGGTCAAGGAAATGGTAACATAGTCATCATTGTTTAGTTCACATGTTAGGTTTCTTTCTAGGTGTGTAATGTAATGTGTAATTTTGTAGTGTATAGAAAGATGTAAAAGAGCCAGACATCATATTCATGAATGAAATTGGGAAGTTCATGTATGTTGCCCCCCTCATTGTACCATACTACCATTTCATTGTTTTTATAGCCTTTTTATGCTTTCAAGGTCAAAGCCACTTCTTGTGAGCTTCTGTAGTTCCTTAGCCCCTTAGGTGTTAGGTATGTATGGAATAGAATTTATTTATTTTTATGCTAAGTGAGTGTGCTATTTTTTTAGAAAAGAAAAGAAGTAAAAAATATTCCATATTATTTTAAGACGAACAAAAAAAAAAGAAAAAACTTGTCTTGGGCTGAGGAAATAAATATGTAAAATAAATTATAAAAAAATTTACTAAAATAAGACTAAAATATTAAATTTATATCAGAACAATGCTATAATTCGACATAGTATATTATCCTTATAAATTTACACACTTTGATGTTATAAATCTTATTTCGGCATAAAAGCAATGAAAATCTTATTTTAACCTCTTCTGAAACCTATAGTAGTCCTCTCCTTCCTTTCCCCATCTAAAACCTCCTCCCAAACACTCCCCCGTGTGGTACGCCCACGAGAAGGGGCGACGGGAAGACGCGGGAACACCCCCGGTGGGAATGGTCCTGCTGTTTTCCCGTTGCCAAATGTTCGAATTTTAATTTGTTATGAAAGCTAACCATTGGAGGATAAAAAAATTCAAAAAAATAAAAAAATTCACTATTTAAACACAACCCTCAACTAATATTTTTCACAGATTTTCCATCCACTCCTTTCAGTCATAGTGTTTTTTTTCTTAAAAGATAGTTTTATATATTTGAGTGTAATGGATCCATTCCGACCACTGGTGTCTTCCTCCAACTGTCCATTTCCTTCATTTGTCGCTTACTCTCAAAGGCCGACATCTTAAATTTTATATTGGCCTTGTTTGGAAAACAACCTTTGGCAGTTGGCTGTTGACTGTTTATATTGGTTGGTTTGAATAGCTGATTGAATTGGCTGCTTTGACTGGCGGATTGTATTAGCTGTTAACGAAAAAATGTTTGGCAAACATAGTTGTTCACAAATAGCTGTTTATGATGTAAATTACATTTTTGGACATACCTTCTAATGTGTTAATTACGAAATAATATTTTATTACGGAGTATAATTAGTTTATTTTTTGTATTTTAATACAAACAAACTCTATGTATGAAAATAAATACTGGGCAAACATATTGCGTAGCGATATACCAAAAAAATCACCGAGAGCACATAGTTAGAGAAAAGAACAAACCTGCTAGTTTGGCCAAATTTAAAAAAAATAAATAAAAATAAACAAATAAAAAAATAATTATTGAGAGTACATAATAATAAAAAAGGAAAAAAGAAATTTGCTAGTTTTACCAAGTTTTTAAAAATAAAGAAAAATAACATGCAAAACTAATCATACTCCATGTGTAAACCCTTTCTTAATACTCCATGCATCAACTAAAAAATAAAAAATTCATTAAGGACATGAAAAAAAAGGAAAAAGTGAACTGCTAAATCAAAATGCTACTCATCCCAGCATTTGGATTATTGGCGGTTCGATCCCATCCGCTAGGCAAAACAGCTATTTGCCAGACAATTAATTAAAGACCTAAAGCAACCGTTCTTGGTCAAACTGCTAAAAGCTATCCGATCTGCCAATATCCAAACACGCCCATTATCTTAAAATGTTCAATTTATATTTCTTTAAATATTCAATTATTTTATAATTTTAATATTTTTAGTTTATTTATTTGAATTAAAATAAATATTAAAAAATAATAACAAAATTTAAGGGGAAAAAAGGATGCATTTCTATGGAAAGAGAGGAAAATAAAAGCTCACGTTGAGTTGGAAGAAGGGAAAAGATGTAAGAAGGGGCACACCCCCTAAAGAGAGGATTGGATTTGGGCCAAGCAATTTCTTCCGAAATACTCGTAGTTAAAAAAAACCAACTCCCGCCAATAAAATCGACCGGCGGTCACCGGTAATCGAACCGCGGCCCCGGTGGGCACTATAAATACGCCTGAGCGCAACTAAAATTTCCCGGTCTCTCCACTCATAGCCGTCTTCTTATTGTTCAAATGCTTTCTCTCCTTTCAGAAGCCTCGAAGGTTCTTCAGTGACTTCATATCAATCAGAGCTTCCGCTTCAAGAAATCGCAGTCTAGGGCTTCCGAGAACACGCGCCGCCTTCTTTGCGACTTCTCCGGCAGCTGTGGCAGGTTCGTCGCAATGAGTGTAGTGAACATCTGTAACGTGGCCGTGTTGGACAACCCGGCGCCGTTTCTGACCCCTCTCCGGTTTGAAATCTCCTACGAGTGCGTCGCTTCTCTCAAAGAAGGTACTTGTCCGTCCATTTTCTCTGCGTTTGAGTTTTTCTTTCCTTTTCCTTGCTTTGATTTTGGAAATGTCCTGATGTTTCTGCTGGGTTGTGTGGTGATGAAGCTCGGCTTCGACAGCTAGGGTTAGGGTTCTGTGGATTTCGTGTTTTATCTGTAATGTTGGTTCCATTTCGATTGATGGTTGATTTTGTTGAGGAATTGAAGTGATTTAGTCCTCATTTTTTTACTATTTAGTTGCGTTAGGTTGATTCTCTTTTCTAGGGTTTTGGGATTCGGAATTACTCTCTCTTTGTCAAAATGCTTCTTAGGTTTTGTTTCGAGAGGAATGTGATTATATTTGGGAGACACTATAGTGAGCCTGTTTAGGAGTACTGATCTTTGCCTTGATCCTTTGGATTCACCCAATTGAAAAAGCCTGAGGCAAAACATATTTTGCTTGTCTCTGTGTTGTTAAATTGGTTCTGTAAAAAGAGTTCCCTCCTGCACTAGAGCAGATCATAATTCAGCATGCTTTTGGATTGTTTGCCTTCGCATTCAATTCGAAATTACCTATTCAACGAGAACCCGTGGACAATGCTCCTACATTATTCCATTTTCTTGCCCTATTTCCCCTGTATTAGATGGAACCTTGTTTGACTATTGCCTGTGCATTGTTGATTATTTTCTGCTGTGCAGATTTGGAATGGAAGCTCATTTATGTTGGATCGGCTGAGGATGAAACCTATGATCAACTTCTTGAAAGTGTACTTGTTGGCCCAGTTAATGTTGGAAACTACCGTTTTGTTCTGCAGGTATGACCTATTTTTCCACTACAAGCAAAACATGGAAGGCTCATTCATTAGCATACTTTAGTTACACCACGGTTCATGTTATGTGTGCATACAGGCAGACCCTCCTGATCCGTCAAAAATCCGAGAAGAAGATATAGTCGGTGTGACTGTACTCCTGTTGACCTGCTCGTACTTGAACCAGGAATTTTTACGAGTTGGATACTACATAAACAATGACTATGATGATGATAAGCTAAGAGAAGAACCACCAACGAAGGTGCAAATTGACAGGGTTCAGAGAAACATACTTTCGGATAAGCCTAGAGTCACAAAGTTCCCCATTAATTTCCACCCCGAAAAGAATAGTGAAAGTGCTGATGCTGAACAAGCCCCCCCTCCGCCTGATGATCAGCCCACTGGACAGGAACAGTAACCGTTTGGTCTTCATTCTTTCATCTGACATTTTGGTTTTGATTCTGATGAAGCTGTTCATCCATCGTGAAGACATGCCATTTAAACTCTTTTTTTGTGTGTTTCTCCCACCAATCGGGTGTGGTATGCTTTGAACTTGAATCTTTTCGTTTCATTGGCAAGTTGCTTATAGTTGTTCAATGGAACAGATCATGCCCTTCATGTAGTATCATTTCTTCTTAATTCCTTTATTTGCCATTGATTGTTCTTTTCATTTTTTGAAATGTGGGATATTCAAGGTTTTTTTAGTGAAAAGTCGGTGGTTATGCACTTGCAGCTGCTAGCTCCCATCAAACTGAACTCTTTGCGGGAAAAATCACATCTTTTTGCACGGTGAAGGATCACAAGCATTTGGAAGGGGTTCTACTAATCTTCTTCGAAGGTGACCTATTCTTAATGGATAGTTCCCTAGAGGTTAGAAATACGGAGTATATAGATTAAAGCTTTTATACAAAAGCTCCTTTCCCTCTTCTCATGTTTCCCTTTCCCTTAGCAAATGTTAGCAAAAGCAAAAGAGCAAAACTCGTTTAAGTAGAGTAGAAAACGAGAGTGATGACTGCTGCGAATAAAATGTAAGGTAGTAGTTGATACTTGAAGAATAGGTCAGAAGGCTAAGCATATACAGCAAAATAAACATAATTAGAGACTAAATACCGTATCAGTCTATCAGATTTTTCAGAAAACACAATTGAGTTGTAGTAGTTTGGTGGCCAAGGTGGTTGTTATGTGTTAGGAAACACAATTGAGTAGTACCTTGGGCATGGTCCATTGTGGACAATCCTATGTTGAAGAAAGTTTCACATTCATGGCAATTGGCAACTGAGTGAGTGCCTGCAGGATGGGCAGATTTGCTCCAAAATTTTGTTTTAACTTTCTTCTTCCTTCTTGAAATAACGTTTGCTTTTTCTTTTAATATTCTATAATCTTTTTGTGCCCGTTTGGCTATGGTTTCAGCGTGTATATGTTGCACCCCTCATTTCTTTTTTACTTGACAGATTATCTCTTCCGTCCTAGAATACTTGGCCAGTTTTGGTTTTTTATATTCAACTAAGATCAACATTTGACCTATAATTAAATCAATATTACATGGTGTATTAATTAAATAAAACAATATTTTGAAAATATTTTACAAGATAAATCTTGTTAGAGTATGAAAACCTTCTGGGGCTACCATTATAAGATTGAGCTTTTGGTTGAGTTTGTTACTTGACATGATATCGGAGCTTTGTTGACCAAGAGAACACATGTTCGAAATTCATCGTCATCCAATTTTAAAAAATTCACGTATCACGTGCAAAGCTCGATGTGATCATGCTAGCACGTGAGAGGCGTATTAGAATATAAAACCCGTTTAAGTCTCCAATTTTAAGCGTGTGTTTTTTGTTGAATTAGTTGCTTGACGAATCTAAAAAAATTATTGTATCACTATCTAATACGGAGTATAAATTCCATTCAAGCAATGTTCTTTTGAGTTGAAAAATTAACTTCCAACATTTTCTAACTCTCAGTTTCTTACTCTTTCCAAGTTCTTTTCAACGACTTAAAAAAATATTTATATATGATGAATATACAATAACATTATATATCGAAATTTATAACCTACCACATCAAACAGAGACAAGAATGATTTTTTTAAATCCAAAATTAGAGCTTTTTTACATATTTATTTAGGTGATCATTTAATTGAGTGATTTTTTTACACTTTAATTTTTTTAACATTTTCGAACTCTTCCAAATTTTATTTTTAACTATATCTACTTTCTTTCAACTCTTTCCAGTTTCTTCTAATATCCAATTCTGAAATTCCAACCCAAAGGAACATAGACTTAATTAATGGATAAAGTTTATCAATTTTTATTGTAAAAATTCAATACTAGACAAAACTCTGAGACAGTTAGTATTTAGTGATACAATTTGATAATAATTGGTCTTATTAAATTATGACAGATACATCCTTATATATATAGGGATGAATTACATTAGAGTATTCTAATCTAAGCAGGAGAAAAATTATGATAACCATACAATAAAGGTAATGAATAATAATAAATATTTCCTAATACACTTATTATTCCTAATATCCCCCCGCAAGCTGATCATCAGTAACGAGGAGAAGCTTGAAGCACATGTACGGGAATTGAGTCGACGGAAGCAGTTTTGTAAGGATAACATCTAGAAGTAGAGAGCTAGATCTTCGTTGCATGACGAACGAGCTTGAGATGATGTTTGTTAGAGTTTTTACTGGTGAGAGTGTTGCCGATTGGAGTAAGGGCAAAAAGTTTCTTTTTTCTCCATTTGGGTCATTCTCTACTCCTCTATCGCTTTACATGCTCTCGATCTCTAGAAAAAAAGCACAGGCAAATGTAATTTTCTCGTTCTTCGATCACGCACGTAATTATTTTTTTGGAAAAAAGAGAAGTAATGAATTTTTCGGAGAGAAATTAAAGAGAGAGATAATAGATTTTTTTGAGAGAACGAGAGGGATAATGGACAACGGCTATTAGACACGCTCGTCGAGATTGGTCAGTGACGCCATGCTGTCAGACGGTTGACCATCGTGAACATAGACCGGCGATGTGCTCAGTCGCATAAAAAGAGTCCAGATTTTCGAGAACCTTAGCTTTGATATCGTGATAGAATTTGATAATAATTGGTCTTATTGAATTATGAAGGATACATCCGTATGTATAAGGATTAATTACATTAGAGTATTCTAATACAAGTAGGAGAGGAATTATGATAACAATACAATAAAGGTAATGAATAATAATAGATATTTCCTAATACACATATTATTCTTAATATTTAGAAATAAATTTATAAAATTGGTATACTATATTAAAAATAAAAAATATATATTTTAAAAAGGATATACAGAGTATTATACGGGGTATTATTTTATCAAATGGAAAGCAAAAATATGCAAAGATCATCTTTATCCATTATCATCATTTTTCCCTTCTCCGTCCTATTTTTATTTTTACTTCTACATCATTTTCTTCACATTTTTTTCTTTAATAATTTTTCACACTTTCCCTTTTTTAAATGGTAGACCTCATATGTTATAAATTTATTTTATCTACATAATATGTAATATAAAAAATCAAAATACTTTGTTTTTCAAAAAGTAACTTAAATTTTGGAAGTAAATGTTTTCGTATAAAAAATATATATGCCAAAAAAAATAAATTGAATAAATAAATAACTGATGTAAAAAAAATTCTCCCATTACAACTTTTTTTTCTTTTCCCCCCCTCTTTTTTCTGTTTTTTCTTGTTCTTAATTATTTTCTTTCTCCTTTCTTCTTTTTCTTTCCTCTTTTTCTTTCTTTTTCTCCTTTTCTTTCTTTATTTCAACTACATTCTCCACTTCCACTCTCTCTCCTTTTCTCTCCCCACTTTAGTCATTCTTCTCGATTTGCTCTCTTCCACAACACCATTTCTCAAACTTTCTTTCCACATTTTCAAAGATGCTGTAATTATTTTTTATCTTGTGAATTATGAATATGCCAAGTAAAAAGTAATCAAGTGGTGAAATCTATATATGACGAAAAACGAATCTCAATCCCTCAATGGTTGTATTTTTTTTTTCTTGAGGAAATATTTGTGCTCTTATTTCGGCTCGTATATGTTGATGATTTGTACGCAGCAAATGGTTTCTTTTGATTCAGTAGTGTTTGTTTATGTCCGGCGCGATTGTAATGGTGTTGCACAATACATATACACCTGCACGTATAACAATACTAGCATGGATATATGTTTTGAGTAAGTAGGAGTATATTAATATTATACAAAAGAGTAATGGTTACACTAGATGTAGTATATTACGACTTACAAACTATATTAGAGGGAGTGACAAAATTTGGAACTTATTTTGTTCCAAAAGAGTGATGGTTACAAAAGAGTGGATGGTTACATTACATGTAATATAATACGGAGTACAACTTACAAACTGTATTAGAGAGAGTGACAAAATTTGGAACTTATTTTGTTCCTTGTAGCCGGGTGTTAGTAGTAGCGAAGTAAGTTTTTAACAAGGGGGTAGGTAGGTATACACGAAAAAATGCATTACACATGTACTGAACTAAGCTTTCCAAGGTATCAGGATTTAAGGGCAAAAGACTTCTACACTGATGAAATGTCTCAGCACGGTGTTTGGTCGAAGTGAGAATGTCTTCGATGCAGGTGTTTGCTCGGTGCGAGGTGGTAGTTGCACTGCAGCCGTCACCTTTTGAGATTCAAGACTGTTGTTCAAATCCCCGCATTTTATCAACTCCATTGGTGTATTCAATTCAAGTGCTCGTACAATCTTTTCGAGTGTGCCGGTGAAGAGTGTGACTTGTAGAGCATTAATCTCATCTTTTATTTCGGACAGAATTCTGAATCTGTAATGATTTGTAAAATAGTTTAAACAAATGTATTCATAATGTGAAACCACGGATTGCAAAATAGATTCAGTGTCTATCGTGGTAAAGAGGAAGTGGTTACCTCTTTATGGTTTTTGCTTCAGGGTCACCACACAGCATGCATTTAAAATTGATTCCTTCTATGTAGTCCACTTTTCTGTTGCAACTGCTGCAACCTATGTAGAATGTAATGTCTCCAGTTTCTAAGACCTGCAACTGTCCTTCAACCCAGTGAACGTCCCCCTGTATGATCATGTATTATATTTGTATATGTTCAAATTAAAGTGTGACATGCATATTATAAGTTGACAGGATTTATCGAGCATATTATGGTCCTTGAAATACTCTCCTGGAAACTTTGATGATGACACAACTTAGATGTCCAGCATATTAGAAGTATTGAGGATGTATGCAGTATATTATGGTCCTCCAAATACCGTCATGGCACCTTATATACACAGAATTAAAGTTGCCAAATTTCCATAGTGTACAATTAAAAATTAGTTGTACACCAGAATTTATTGTTTACGCGGGTATTATTCCGTATTGACCACAAATGTGAATGGCGCTCGCCATTAACGCCTATGGCGCAAAGGTGCTATGGCGAGGTGTTTCCCCGATTGATCACGGTGGTGAAGCGGTTTACCTAAGGCACGCCGTAGGTGGTCGTTATTGTCGCCAGGGTGTGCCATCTGTGTTCTGCGTTTGGAGCAACGCAGAAGTGTTTTTTTGTGGCGATCTGGATCAATAGGTGAGCAGATCGACTTGGATTAAACCAATGACGCTTAGGATCGCAAGACCTAAGTGATCCGACCTTGGGAAATATGCATGAGGTTGGATCAGGGTGCAAGATTTGGTCCTCTACAGGTGTCCTTTGCCCTCTCTTCTTTTCTCTTTTTATATGTAGTATTTTTTATATTGGGTATTTCCTAATTTTCTTGTTTGTAATAATTGCTCTGTAATGTGTGGGAGTGGTTTTCATTTTTGGATTTTATGATCCAGTTTTATATCTAGATCTGTAACTTCCTTGGTATGTTTAGACATTTTGTTTTTGTATGATCCACTTTTCAGTTTTAATTGCTCTGTAACTTCCTTGGTATGTTTAGACATTTTGTTTTTGTATGCATGTAAAATACTAATTTTATGTCAATATAAAAGAAACTTATATAAGACGCAGGCTGTTGTGGCATTGACCTCATTTTCTGTACGTGCCACTTCAGAGATTGGTGTTGTTTGAATATCTTCAGGCAGTGCAAACATGGAGTCCAGCCATTTTTTCGTCTCAATGGCGTGCTCTATGGCAGCTGTATTTGAAGACTTCCTGCAAGAAACTGAATTAATAAATGAAATATTTGTTCAAAACGAATGATTGATTGAAAAAAGAAAGGATGCTTTACCATTCATCCAAACTTGATGCAGCTGAGATGATTGGGTTCAGCTCGATTGACGAATCGGATCGTGTTGTTAATGATAGCCCTGGTATAATGATTGTGTTTAAGTTCAGGCATAGAGGTGTATAGTATGTGAGTATGGGGTATATTGTGTAATGTTAATAATCATATGCATTTACCTTTGAAAGATGTAGATGCTATCCTCCTTGCAATTATTGTGGGATAAATGCCTGATTGCAGTGACTGTTGAATTTCGCACCCTTGGACTGATGCGAAAGTGTCCCATAGTGTCAAAGTGATAGGTTTGCATCTACAAGAATGAATTCTCAAGTTAGAAAACAGTAATATCCAAAGCACGGTCCAATTAGGAAAGAAATTGTACGGTTATAATTACAAAATGAGTTAGCTGGTGCATAAGAGGTCACAATCAGTTAGATGGTGCACTGTAGAATCATAATTAGTAATATTGAATTTGATTAACTAAAGCAGTTAGGTGGTGCATTTAAACCGTGTCAAAGAAGATTTTCCAGTTTTGGTCCAGAGGTTTCATTTTTCAGTTTTGGTACACCAGAATTGATTCCTTGCCACTCTTGGTCCTCTATGTTTCTTAAAGTAAGTCATTCATTATTGAAATAGATTACACTAAGGCATTCCAGATTACACTAAGTCATTGGGAAGACGATTTGTTGTAAGTACTTACACTAAGTAATACCATATTTACACAAAGGAATGCCAGATTACACAAGTATAGCCATGCCAGATTACACTAAGTCATTAATTTTTGGAATAGATGCAAGTGGTAAAAATATGGGGGCAATAGTATTGCCAAAAGGGCATCCTTTAGCTTATATTAGTAAGTCTTTGGCAGCTAAGCATAAGATCATGTTTGTTTATGACAGAGACCTGTTGGCTCTAATCTTTGGCATTACTAAGTGGACTGATTAGTTCTTGGAAAGACCATTTGTTGTAAGAACTGCTCAAAAAAGTTTTTGTTGGAACAGGATATCCACACAGATTTATAAGTGGAAGGAAATACAAAGCTAATGGCTTGTGATTTCACTATTGAGTACAAAAATGGTTAACCCTCGCAAATAAATCTCTATTTAGAATAAATACATGATATTCACATGTCACCTTCTCCAATGTGATGATATTTACTACGGAGTATTATTATTATGTTGATCAACAAATAAACCAGACCATAAACATTCGGAAGAAAAGTAGAAATATCTCCAACGATAAAGTTTGATCAAAATCTAGATTCTGTAGTGGCATGTTTACTAAGAGCCTGCTATGTTTCTAAAATTTGTTTTCTTGATGCAATGGTAGGGAATAATCCTAGTATTCATGACTCATAGTATTGACTGTTTGGTAATATAGAGTGTATATTGAGAGGAGTCTATCGACCCTTGCTGTAAAGTGAATAGACAACACTTGACATTCAATTAAAAATCACAACCTTGTATCCTAAACGAAGAAAGGCAGGATGTTGGCTTTGAAAAAAATAGATGGCCCATGCCTGATCAGGTCATGTAGGAACGAGGTTCAAGTCTACCGGTCTGTTAAGATGCCTCAGCTGCATTTAAATTTAAAAAGTATAAGCCGACCTGGTCGAACTGAAAAGAGATTTTGTGTAAATTCCCAAATTATGTCCCTGAATTTTATGTTTATATTTTTCACATATGTTGCGGGGAGGATTTCATCACTGCCTTGTATATTGACAAGTCCATTCTTGAAGGCAGTGAACTACCACGGAGGTCAAATTGTATCATTCATCCAACATTGAGGGTAACCTTTTGGGTGTTATTACTTTCTATTTTAGTACTTGTAACGACCTCACCTCGACAACAGCAAAACCCCAGAGGTTCAAACTGGATGCGGCTTGCCCCACAAAAAATACAGTCTAATACCCTTTTTAAAGAGAAAATCATATCTTGATATGCAAACTTTTTCAGTGATTCTATAAGAATATGATGTATAGTTGTAGGTGGAATGGTGACATCATTATAGGATTTGAAGGAGAGTTGAGTTGGCAGAAACATGAAGAAGTTAAGAAATTTGGACGAAGGTAAAGAAAGGTATAAATAAATCATAAATGATAAAGGAGTTAAATGCTACACCTTGAGTGGAAGAGGAAGAATTTGAAGCGACGTTTTTTCCCTTTCACGTAACTCACGATATCTAAGACGACGCCTAAAGTTTATTTGCTCACACCAATCACTCTCAGATGTTGGCTGAGTTGATGACATTCCAATTTCCATTGAATCTTTGAGGAGTTACAAGCAAACGTAGGAGTAATCAATGGGTTGAAGTTTTGGAAATTACAGTATGACAACTTTGGCAAAAAGTAGTAAACTTAGAGTACCTTTGAAGAAGTGTAAAACAATAAAATGGAGAGTACATACATCAATGTTTATGTTGCTAAGAGTAGTAAACATTATATTTAAAAACAGATATTAATATATGTTAAATGCATTTAAACATACGAAGGAAGTCTAAGCATAAGTTCAACAGATCAACACAGGGAAAGTAAGGGCTTTGATTAATTTTAAAATCATTTTATACTTCAGCATAGATAAATGGTTTTAAGCATAGATTAGAAGTGTGTAAACATACCAAAGAAGTTAAAGCGTAACTTCAAGAGGTGAAGAAAGAGCCCGAACAGTATATAAGTGACCTGTATTCAATATTAAGAGGTAAAATAAGTTAATCGTTGTACAGATAAAATTCAAAGAAGTATACTTAAACATACATAAATAGTTTGACTTGAAATCAATTTTTTTTCTACGAATAACTCAAAAGTTAACAGTTTTGTATACTTGCTCTAGCAAATGGAATGTAAGTGATTTTCCTTGCCAGGGTTAGTTATGAACCAATCTGTCCTTCATAAAACTTGAAATACTGCTCTAGTATTTAATTTCTAATTTCTAGTTTAAGGGTACCTCTGCTCTAAAGGTTATCCACACACAAAACTAAGGAAACCAGAGTTTTTTTTTAGGAATAAAATATTTTCCTCTAACAAAATCTTGACTGTTGGGACTGCCTGTTTGGCATATGAATATTAATTGAAATGATAGATCATTTTTTTTAGTGACCTTCTGAAATATGGTGACCCTTGAATATTAAGAGGTTGTTTTTGGGACACTTGCAGTATAACTGAAATAAAAGGGCAAAAGAAAACTTTGGGTTTGTATTTTCTTATTAACCTGAACCAAACAGACAAATCAATGAAGCTGCATAGAATCTTTTTCTTAAAAGGAAGTGATAATATAATTTTGAGACATAGAAAAAGAAAATGGGAAGCTAATTTGGAGTTAAGGATTACTCAGGATTCTTTTTCACCTTTTCTCTAACAGTTTGTGCACAATGTTCTTTAACAGGACATGTGGTTATACATCTCAGAGCAAGAGAAAAGCACTCATTTGGCATGAAATTCAGTGTTTCCAACTGGACTTGTTCTAGGGGGATCAATTATATGAAGTGCATGAAACGGCTGATTCATTATGAAGCAATAACAACTTCAAAATTTGTCATTCTTTTCCTTCCTTGCAATATCTGGAGAAATTTCATAATCTAAATATACATAATTAATTTGTTCAGTCAGATAGGGAGTAAAAGTGAAGAATTGTAATTACAAGTGAACAAAGCTATTCTTTGAATAGAATTTCATTTATTCTCGTTTCCAATCACAGATTCAAACCACGTAATGGTCACAGATGGGTAATAAAAGAAGGTTTTTAATCAATTCATAATTAGATAATTACTCCAAATGAAGTTTTAATTGTGTGCTCATAAAAAAATTGAGAACAACGAAAACCGTAAGTAACACAACACGGAAAAGAATTTACAGGGTTTAGTGCAGCAAAATCTGGAAATCGGATAAGCTTTGGGCCGAGGTATCCCTAACGAAAATAGTGCAGCAAAATCTAGAAAAAAAAGGATGGTTTACCTAGCGGTTAGCGAAGGAATCTGACCAATACCGATTTACAGGAAGATGATACAAGAGGCGAATGCAATCCGAGGGAAGATATATGAGAGTAATCGTCGTTAGTGGGGCGGTGAACGGGGAAGAAGGCATATTGTTGTGGGGCGGTAGGCGGCTGAGTGACAGATAGGATTAATTGGGATATATACGGAAACCGGCACTGGGCCCAAATAAAACGGAGAAAATAACGGAAAAAGACTGCCTAACAGAGATAGGCGCTTATAGAAATAGGGAGATTGGGAGATCACTCCCCTAACTTTGTTTCTCATTTTATTGCGAATTAACAATATTGTTTTTCTGCCTTAAAAAAAAGAGTTTTTTCGTCATTTACCCTTAAATTCTTCATAAAATATATGTTTTCCCTTCGAATTTTACATGGAGGTGACTGGTGGTGGAATGATGTGGTTTGTAGTAAGGTGGAGGCTAAAAAGGTGGCTTATGAAAGATACGTTGATTGTAGTGTTGAAGATGATAGAGCATCTTTAAGAGTGGATTATACGATTGCCCGTAAGGAAGCGAAGCTAGCGGTGACAAGAGCGAAGAATGCAGCATTTGAACGTCTTTATAAGGATTTGGAGGAAAGTGGTGGTGATAAGAGTCTTTTTCGACTAGCTAAGGTATGTGCAAAGAAGACCCGGGGTCTGGAGCATGTGAGATGTGTATGTGAACGACACTAAGAGAAGAGTTTTGTTCAAAGAGTCAGAGGTGTCCAATCGATGGGGGGAAGCCTTTTGAATGCGGGTGGGGATGGGAGCCTAGAATTAGGTGAGTTGGGGCAATCAGAGAGACTTTGGTATTTTGGTTATTGTCGACGCATCAATTTGGCTGAGGTGGCAAAGGCCATTCGTGGGATGAGAAAAGGTAGAGCCTTGGGGCTAGATGAGATCCCAGTGGAGTTTTGGAAGTATGTGTGCAGAAGGGGGTTAGTTTGGCTAACTAAGTTCTTCAATGTTATTATTAGGATGACAAAGATGCCTGATAAATGGAGGAAAAGTGTGGTGATCCCACTATATAAAGGGAAGGGAGATATTCAGAGTTGTGATAATTATAGAGGAATCAAACTTTTTAGCCACACCATGAAGGTCCGGAGCGTACTATTGAGGCTAGACTGCGGAACGAGGTGTGTATTTTTGAGAACCAATTCAGCTTTATGTCTGGTCGGTTGACTACAGAGGCTATTCACCTCGTACAGAGGTTGATGGAAGAGTATAAAGCTACGAAGAAAGACCTTCACATGGCGTTCATTGATCTCAAAAAGGCGTATGATAGGGTGCCGAGGGAGATCATGTGGAGATGTCTTGAGTTTAAAGGAGTTCCGGTTGCGTACATTCATGTAGGTAGAGATATGTTTGATGTGTCAAAGACTATGGTGAAGACTGTAGGGGGAGACTATGCTCCGTTTCCTGTAGAGGTGGGGTTACACAAAGGGTCTGCCACTAGTCCTTTCTTGTTTGCCTTAGTGATGGATGTTATAACAGAGAATGTCCAAGGGGAAGTCTCTTGGTGCATGCTCTTTGCTAACGATATTGTACTGATCGATGAGACTTGTGCAGGACTCAAAGACAAGTTGGAGTTGTGGCGTCAGGCACTTGAATCAAGAGGATTTAGACTAAGCAGAACGAGGACGAAGTATTTGGAGTGTTGCTTTAGTGTTTGGGTGACGAATTCGGAAGTTATAATTGATTCACATCCAATGCCTAAGAGGGATAAATTTCGGTATCTTGGTTCGATCATTCAGGCAGATGAGGAAATGGACTGGGATGTTGTTCACCGTATTGGAGCCGCTTGGGCTAAGTGGAAGCTAGCTTCAGGAGTCTTGTGCGATAAGAAAATTTCATCAAGCTTGAAAGGAAAATTCTATCGGTCGAAGGTCACGCTGGCTATGCTTTATGGAGCGGAGTATTGGGCTGTTAAGAAAGCTCATGTTCATCAACTGCATGCGACAGAGATACAGATGTCGAGCTGGATGTGTGGGCAAACGAGGCTAGACATGATTCGAAATGAGGTTATCCAGAGACGTGTGGGTGTGGCTCCGGTGGAGAATAAGTTGCGAGAGACTAGATTGAGATGGTTTGGTCACGTGAAGCGGCCTGGCGTGCAGAGATGCGAAAGCTTACAATAGTTAGTGGGGGTGGAAGGAAGGGTAGAACTAAGAAGAATTGGAAGGAAGTGATCAAGCATGACTTAGGACTTCTAGATGAGGATATGACTTTAGACGAGGAGCATTTGGAGATCTCGAACTAGGGTGGTTGGGCAGCCCCTTGAATCCGGATCCTTTTGCCGGAGTTGTTTGTGTGCTGTCTCTCTGTACTTTTCTTTGCATTAATTGTTTTCTTGCATCATATTTGCTTTCCTTCAATCTGCAAGCTTCTTTGAAAACAACTTTTCTACTGTGGTCCTAGACCCTATACCTTTGTGGAACCGGAAGTCTGACGGGTTTTAGCTAATTTGGCCGTTGGGGAACCGGAACAACCTTGGCCCAGGTGATGAATGACTGAAGAAGCAAATAAATTGCCATAAATAACACTCACATGCGATAACCACAAAAAACGTCTAAGGACACGTGAAAAAGGAAAAAAAGAACAAAAGAGCATCGGCGGGCGATGGAGAAAAAGGCAGCGGTGAACGCGGCGGAGAACGCGGCACCGGCGGCGCGGCGGGAGGTTTTCCTGCGAGAGGTGAAAGAGGTGAATCGCATAGCTCTGCCGATGATTGTGGTCACCGTGTCCCAGTATCTGCTCCGCACTTCTCCAATGCTGATGTTGGGACACCTCGGGGAGCTGCCCCTCTCCTCCGCCTCCATCGCCACCTCCTTCTGCAACGTCACCGGCTACAGTCTTCTTGTCAGCCTTTGATCCCTACTCTTTTTTTATGACTTTTTGAATTAGACATATTTAATCTCCCAGTTTTTTTGAGCCATTCTTGCAACATTTTTTAAAGTTCAGCCTGTGTTGGTGCAATTTTTGAAGTTCAGGATTATACAATTTTTTAAAAATTCAAAAAACTCTTTAATCTCCTTTTTTCTTTTCGGAACGTCCAAAAAAACCTTTTGTTTCACTTTCTAGAAAGCTTTTTCCTATTTGACTTTTTTTAAAGTTTGTGACAAATCCAGTCAAGAAGATTAATGTGTGACAGTATTACTTTTTTCTTATTGTGTGACAGAGAGTGTATTATTTTTTTCAGTCAAATTGAACGAGCCCTAATAGGCTAATACTAATCAACATTGCACATTTTTGTTTTAAATTACATTAACACCATGTTTTGTTTAAGGAATTCAAAAGAGAAAAGAAAAGAAAATAAAGTGGAAAACAAGTTTTCTTGTTTGGTTAGAAAAGAAAAGTAGAAGGAAAAGAGAATGAGAAGGCAAAATGTACCAAGTAGAGGAAAAATCAAATCCCTCCCATTTTGGTGAGGAAAATGAGGGAAAACCATTTTCTTTTCTTTTCCTTCAAAATTCCTTGAACCAAACATACTGTAAATGGAATATATATGTGTGTTCGTGCATACTTTCTAAACTTACTGAAACACAAAGACTCATATAACAGTATGGAATGTCGAGCGCGTTGGAGACGCTGTGTGGGCAGGCGTACGGAGCAAGACAGTATCGAAAACTAGGGACGTTCGCATTGGGCTCCATTCTATGTCTCTTCCTCGTCTGCATTCCGGTCTCCATCCTCTGGTTGTTCACCAAAAACTTGTTGATATTGATAGGACAAGACCACGCCATCGCGGTAGAGGCAGGAAAGTACGCCACCTGGCTCATACCCACTCTGTTTCCATATGCCATTCTCCAGTCTCTCGTTCGGTACCTTCAGGCGCAGAGCTTGATTGTTCCGATGATGTGGAGCTCCGTGGCTTCTCTGTGCTTCCACTTGCCCGTGTGTTGGGCTTTTGTGTTCAAGCTAAACTTGGGGATTGCCGGAGCTGCATTGTCAATCGGTCTATCCTATTGGTTGAATGTGATTTTGATTTTGGCGCACGCCAAGGAGTCGTCAACCTGTGAGAGAAGCCGCCCTGCTTTCTCCAGGGATGTTTATTCCACGATGGGGGACTTCTTTCGCTTCGCCATTCCCTCTGCTGTAATGGTCTGGTAATTGACACAAAACCCATTTCACTAGTCATTTCCGACATATGGATTTATTGATTCATATGTTTGTTCTTAACGAATTCTAATTTGATTCATCTCGATATGTATGTTGTCCTAGTTTGGAATGGTGGTCGTTTGAGCTGATCGTATTGTTATCTGGAATTTTGCCAAACCCGAAACTAGAGACCTCGGTGTTGTCAATATGGTATGCTTCTTGATGGTTAGCTCCATGGATATTCTAATGTAATTTTGAGTGTGAGTTTATATGTTGTTGGTTTAATACTCCGGGGTTACCTGCAGAAATCAACCCAACCAAAAGCTTGAGCTTGTGGGTTTTTTATATTCTAACCGTTTGTTCCTTTTTCTTTTCACCTTGGGGAACCAGCTTTACAACCACATCGGTACACTACCACATTCCATACTCCTTCGCTACTGCTGCAAGGTTCGATCTTTCTCACCCGTGCTTTTAAACTCAATCCAACCATACATTATTATCCATTAAACAATGGCACTCTCTTTTCACCAGTGTTCGAATTTCAAATGCCCTCGGAGGTGATAAGCCCGAGGCAGCGAAATTGGCACTCTTGACAGTAGTGGTTCTATCTGCCGCTGAGTTTCTCCTTGCGAGTGGGGCCCTCTTTTCCCTACGGAGCGTGTGGGGGTACGTGTTCAGCTATGAGGAAGAAGTGAGCAGGTACGTGGAAGAGATGGTCCCTCTGCTGTGCCTATCCATCATGTTGGATGGCACACAAGCTGTGCTCTCTGGGGTTGCTAGGGGCAGCGGGTGGCAAAGTTTAGGGGCATTCGTGAACCTCGGGTCATATTACTTGGTTGGGGTCCCTATGGCTCTGCTGCTTGGTTTTGTTTTTGACCTGAAAGGGCAGGGCCTGTGGGGCGGATTGCTCGCCGGATCGTTGGTTCAGTCCACCGCTTTTTCCCTCATCACAGCCTTCACTAATTGGGAGAAACAGGTTTGTGCCTTGTGAGTTATTTGAACTAAATATGAGTCCATTTCTAGTTTTAGTTGTACCATAGCCAGCCTGTTTAGTGATTTGGGTTTGTGGTTTCGGGAAAACAGGCAATGGAAGCAAGACAAAGGCTATTTGATGAGAAAATGCAACTGCCTCACAATGAGCTTCTTCTTCAATGAATGGAAATGGTAATACTTCATTCATTCGTTCCAAAATAAATTTCTTTATATTATTCACACAATCGAACTCTACCGTTTACATATATAGTCGAACTATGTCGGATTTTCACACACAAAAAACACAAACAAAACATTATGTTCTTTGTGTGCCACAACGTACAATTGCATGAACTTTTGTCCGTGCTTCATCATCGTGAACCTTGTCCGATACCCATAACCAGATTCGGAAAAGAAAGGCTCGGGTCTCTTTTCGGCGAATCTGGTTACGGGGACATGGGTTTATTGGGGTATAGTTCCATGGATGGCACAACAGACTTGTAAATCTCATATATCAACCTGTTTTCGAACTCTGTCTTGGTATACCCAATCTTTGAGGAACGGCGGTCGGCCTTGTTCCCGCCGGTCAACCTTTCCCGGCGGGAGAGTTGACTCCCTCCGGCGAAACTGAGCATCATCTTGAGCCTCGTCCAGAGCCTCACCGGCGGCGACAGGAGCCTCCTCCACTGCAGCCTCGGCGGCCTGGAGCCAAACCTCGTAACTCTCAAGTTCTTCTTCCTGGCTCCGTCGACGCGCCTGTAAGTTCTCCTCCGCCACGCCATCCTAATCCGGCCGCCGCTCGATTTGAACGGACTCAAAAGCGCCTCCATGTATTTCTTTACGTGCAATGCAAGAATTTATATATAAAAACCCAGACCCTTTGTACAATATATGCAAGAATTTATATATACCAAAAAAAAAAGTGATAGAATTTGCGTAGAGGTTTAAAATGGAATTACGCGTGGGAATGAACGAAGAAGACGAGATATATGTCACAAGTAGGGGTCAGCCGTCAGTCAATAAAGACGGTTACCAATTACGTGTGTACAACAACAGTTCACTGCGTTACGGTCTACCTGGATACACATATTAAAAAAAGTTAAAAAATGTAAAGACTTTACATATACTATCTTTAATATAATGGAATAAATTGATTAGTGTAGGGAAAAAATAGTGGTATAAGGGCACTTGTCGCGAAGAAAAAACCGTCGTGCCACACAAATGTCGAAAAAGAATCACGGCTCGCCCATCGCTGCACGTCTTCCGCCATGCCGAAGAGCGGCGCAACGCCACACCGGGAATTGTGGCCGTTTTTTAAATATATGTTTTTTTGTATTTAAATATCGTAACTTAATTTAAAATAATTTTTAAGTGTTACGCTAATTTAAAATGATTAGCAAGCCGCTAGACTACTTTACGGAATTTTTTGTACCAACTCGTAATCGGTGATGTTACACTATTTGCCAAAATACCGCATCAACTACTCACTTTGGTGCCGAAATAGTTTAAATGGAAAGAAAGAAAGTTTTTTAAAATGGAAGATGAAAAAAAAAGGATTTTTCCATAAATGATTTTTTTGAAAAAAGTTTGGTTTTTTCCCATTAAAAAACTAAATCTATCGACCAATTGCAAGTGAAGGAAATTAAAGTAATTAAATTTGATTGTTTATGGAAACAAATATTTCTAAGTTGATTAAAGGGAATTTAAAGGTGAAAGATTAAAAGAAAAATAATACGCTTAATATGGAAATAAAATATTTTCCTTTTTTGTATGGAAAATCTTTTCCTTTTAAGAATTACGAAGTAAATTGCAGGTTAAAAAAGATTAGGTTAAGTTTTATGATGGAAAATCGTTTCCTTTTAAAAGATAGAACCGCAGGTTAAAAACATTACGTTTTATGCTTCAAAAAAAACATTAGGTTTTATGTATTTTTTATCATATTGTTGACGATATGATGGAGCCATACGCCGATGCGGTAAGTTCAACAAATCTCTTTATCAAAGTGTTTTTTTTACTGCAGTGTTTGTTTAATTAATTTGAATCATCGAAATAAATAAATAAATGAGATATTATAAAATATAAATTCATTTGTTTATTTTTTTTTTTGTTTAGAGTTGTATTTTGAGGGTGGACATTCATTGTGATGCATGCAAGTCGAAGATGGTTGATGTCATGAGTTCCGTTTCTGGTACATTTTATGCATCCTTTCTTATATTTATTTTTCATTAATTAGATTTATACTCCCTCCATGCCCTAAAAATTAAGAGCACAAAGTTTAATAAAAGTGTTTAAAAAATAAATTAAAAAATATACTCCATGTTAAATAAAATCAAAACAAACTCCATTGGTGATGTTTAAAAAGTCTTTAAAGTGATGAATGAATAGAAAATGTCATTTAATAGATTGTGAGAGATTGATTGGATGGAGAGAAAAAGTTGATTATTCATTTCATTGGATGCATTTAAATGTAGGGCATATTGTTTTTTTTTTAATTGAGTAATGCTAGAGTCACAAACAAAAAGTTCACAAAATTCACTCAAATAATAAAAGATATTTTAATTTAAAATCCACAAAAGACAACTTTGTGAAGTTTGTGAACTATATGTTTGTGACTCTAGCATTTTGCTTTTGAATTCGTGTATGATTGTTAGACTAGTTCAATTGGCCCACTTATAGTACCCTCATTGTAGAAAAAATTAATTGTTGTTACCTTTTCCAATCCTCCCTTCCCTTGGTAAACTCCCCATACCCAACCTCCTAGACACACCCACCAATTGCACCAACCAAATTTTGAGTAAAAAAATTGACCATAAAGTCAACAAAAATTTGGGGAGGTCAATTGGAGGGGTGTGAGGGGTTTCTTGGAGAAGTTAAGAAGAGTAAGAACAATTAATTTTACGATCGGAGCACCATAGGTGCCCCAATTAAATTGGTGGAACAATCTTACACCAATTATTTTAGTGTAAGATTACTCTTCCTCTTATTTGAAATATTGAATTTTGAAATTTTAATTTCAAAATATTTAAATATTTTATTTAATTAAAATATTGAATTTTTAATATACAATTTTTAAATATTTAAATATTTTATATTCAATTTAAATGTTGTTGTAATCTCATTCTCTAATTTCTTCTTCCCAATATAAATTCATATAATTTTTGAATATTTAAATTTAATATTTTTCATAATATTTTTATTCAAGATAAGAAATAAAATAGAATACAGTGAGACACATGAATAATTAATTAAACAGATGGATAGATGAAATGAATTATGGTGGAGTATTTTTTAAAAGAGGAGGCAGTACTATGCTAGAGTAAAGTATAGAAAACAAATCAAATAAAATAAAATCTTTATTTTTTTATCATCAAAATAAAAACAATATACTCCCTCCGTCACTGAAAACTTTCCTCCTTTCTTTTTTCATCCGTCCTTAAAAACACTTCTCGTTTCTATTAAAAAGTCACTTTTACTCATTACTTTTTCATACCCTATCTATCACATCATACATTTTTACTCATAACATTATGAGAAATTTACCTAAATAGGACTAAAACATAATGACTTTCCCAATATAGGACAATATGTTTTTATTTCCCAATGTAGGACTTTTGGTCATTATCATGTAGTCATTATTCAAGTAAATGTCCATCATTACTGGACATTGTTCTTCCCACTAGGTCATTATTAACTCCTATTTAGGAAATAAAAAAGTTTAAGTCCTACATTGGAAAAAACATTATGTTTTAGTCCTATTTATTGCAAATTTTACCCATCACATCAAAGGACATTTTTGGAAATTCAATACCAAAATACAATCTCCTTAAATCCCTCTTCAAAATCAAAACTTCTGTGTTTCCGGGACGGAGGGAGTAGTACATTGTCAACATTGTGACTAACAAAACCCTGAAAATTGTGTGTTAATTATAGGTCCATATTCAATTGACATAGATGGAGAGGAAAATGTGTTGAAAATGTGTGGAGAAGTTGAGCCTAACCGTCTCTTGGCTGCATTATCAAGAGGTGGGAAACACACTGAAATCGTGAAGGCCAATTTGAAGCACCCTGCTTTGCGTCTTACTAATAGCACCTCCGCCTACCGTCACAGTGGCTCCGCCCGTGATCACGGCGCCGCCTACTCCATGTATGGCGCCGGCTATGGCCCGGGCCCCGGATACGCAGCCGTACATCAGTCTTATCAAGCTTTTCCGGTCAGGGGCGGCGGCCGCGCCGCCCTCCCCCACCCTCCTCCGCATTATCTTTATGACTACACCCCCAGATATGTTAGGTAAGCTACGTATTGTTTCTCGTCTACACTTTAAAATTTTGATCTATATACACAAGTTTTGATTTGTTTATATATATATACAAAATCTCTAAAAGAGTTAATACTTGTTTTATACTCACTCCGTCCCACAAAATCTTTCTCTTTTTCTTTTTCATTCGTTCCAAAAAAATTTTCTCTTTTTCTATTAAAAAGTCACTTTTACCTCTATTAATTCTTAACCTACATATTACATCATACTTTTTTTTATTAATGTACCCATCACATCAAAGTACATTTTTGGAAAATCAATACCAAAATACACTTCTTTAAATCCTTTAAAAATCGAAATGAGAAGTTTTTTGCAAGACGGAGGAAGTTATTCAAAAGGGCTAAATTGCTTTATTGGTCATTCAAGTTATTGCGTTATGCATGGTTAATACTCCGGCTTTAAAATTGCAGTTTTCACCTTAACCAAGACGTTTTTATTTGGATGATTGGCAGGCCACACCCTTTTCATTTCTAAAAGGTTATGGAGAATGTGAGAACTTATTACTATGAAGACTGCTAATTACCTGGAGTTATTTTGATCACTTCAGTGTTTGAGATTATCGTTTTACCAAGTTATAAGCGATACAATTCCAAGAAGTTATTTAATTTTTTACTTTGAATGCAGAGTTTTATTTAAGAACTACTACATATCCTTGACTGGAGTTTTCCTTCAAGGTTTTAAGTAAATAAATACTCCCTGGCCTACTCCTTAATAGAATAGTTGAGTGTTGTTTTTGGCATTATCTTTAACGTAAAATGTTTTATGATCAGAACTTTCAATGCCAATATATTTAAAGTTAAGCCTTACTTGTTTGAGATGTTTTAATAGCATGTTTAGAACTTTCAATGCTTAAGGTTTGACTATTACGGAGTATTAGATAGCATGTTTAACACCCTAAAGGCATACTTTATCCATTTTCTTCTTATATATATATAATCAAAATTTATCTTGTTTGCTTCCAAAAATCAATTGAACAAACGCATTAGATTTGTATAGCATTTAATATAGAATTTATTTTTATTATTATTTCAAAATGACTTTTAAAAAAACCAGAAGTGTTACCCCCAAATCTTATCTTGTTTTTATCCCAAGGTACGGTTTTTTCTAGATCTGCCATTGTGGGTAGAGTTTCGTGTCAGATACTTGCAGAGTTGCAGGGGTCTCATACTTTGCATAATTTATTCTTATAGCAACCATCATGCTTCAAACTCAGGATATCTCTCTTGTAGTACTTTTATGTCATCCGCTAAACAATGTCTCATCGGCAATACCTTCTCATTTGAGAGGACCTTCTCATTTGAGAGGGCATGGATGCCCCACCCACCCACTATTTTATAGATGTGTGAATTATTATTTTGACCTAAGTTTTTGTTGGAAGTTCCAACATTGAAAAATAAAAATCACTAACATATGTAGCCTACAAGCTTAAGCTTTTGGTTAGAAAGTGAATTACACCTTTATATGCTCGTGATTAATTTTGCCCAACACTATGCCCATCGTTCTCGGTCCATCGTAATTTTAACATGGTATTAGAGTAGGTCCGGTCTGGGTTCGATTCTTCCTAGTTGTTTGGATGTGGGTCTAGCAAAAATGAGCTACATGTCTACAGTTTGGGTTGAGTTGGTTATAAGAGATTGAGATGCCACCGCCTGTTGTGTGGATTAGCTAGAAGAAATTGGGATGCTAGACCCATTTATCTAAGTGCTAACTAGGTCAGGCTAGTTACCACTTGACGGGGAGTGTTGGAAGTTCCCAGATTGGAAAATAAAGAAGAATATCACTATTATATATAGAAGGGTTAAGTCCTACCTACAAGCTTAAGCTTTTGGGCTAGTGGTTAATTATATCTGATACTCTGTCTGTCGTTCTCGGCCTACCGTAACTTTGACATGATATCGGAACCTTGATGACCACGAGGTCACAAACCGTCACCCAGTTTAAAAAAATTAAGGTTTCATGTCCAAGGCTCAAAGAAGTCACGCCTGTATGTGAGGGGCATGTTAGAGTATTTATAAAAATCATTCATTAGGCACACCCACAAGCTTGAGCTCACTGCCATTCAATTTTAAAAAAAGTAAAATTTCACGTACAAGTTTTAAAGAAGTCACGCCTACACGTGAATAGACATGTTAGAGTATATAAAAGTCATTCGTGTGCCACACCCACAAACTTCAGATTTTGGTTGAATTGTTGATGACAGTTTTTGAATATTACATGCAATACTCAAAGAAGTCACGCCTGTATGTGAGTGCGTGTTAGAGTATATAAAAATCATTCTTCGGTCACGCCCACAAGCTTGAGTTCGCCGCCACCCGATTTTAAAAATATTAAAGTTTCACGTACAAGGTTCAAAAAAGTCACTTGCACGTGAAGGAGCGTGTTAGAGTATATAAAAGTCATTCATGTGCTACACCCACAAGTTTGAGTTTTTTTGATTGATTTGGTGAGTTGAATTGATAGTTTTTGAATATTAGGTAATAAAATTATTTTCCAAGCACAATTGCTTTACTTTGATCTCTAAATATTTTTCTTTTTTTGAATTTTTTATTTAGAGATGAGAATCCAAACCTATACCATATTAATTATATACTTTAAATTTAACTAGATTCTTGAGTCTAGACACTAGAGTCCAAAGTATGAAAAATGATGCCGAGTGTCTGAATTAAATTCAATATAATAGTAAAATCAATTTTAGTTATATAAATTTTATATTGGCATTGACTAATGAAATATTTGCTATGTTGCTTTTTACTTGACTTATTTACTATGTTCGAGGACAAGTTTTATTCTTTACCATTTATATTACTCATTTGATATCTCTTATCGAAACCCTCCATTTGAATTATTTATGATATCTGTAGATATCGAATTTGATATTTTTTTTGGCTTCACCAAGACCGAAAAAGAATTTTAATATCTGTAGATATCGAATTTGATATTTTTTTTGGCTTCATCGAAGACCGAAAAAGAATTTTAATATCTGAAGATATCGAAACTCATATCTTGTTTGATCACCAAACACACCCTAAAATTTATTTTTTAACTTTAATTTTTGTGAGTAATAAATTCATATAAATTAATTTGACTAAAACATCTTAAACCGAAATGGATCAAGTAAGATGAATGGATGAAGGTGTTTTATTAGTTTATACATACTCTCGTATAATGTTTTTAGCTTAAACTAATTTTTAAATAAATTAAATTGAAAAAATTCAATAAAAGTCGTAAACGAAAATGGATCAAGTAAAAAATCAGATGAATGAGCCTTCGTTTTTGAGAAATAAGCTCAAAAACAAATTCATGTGCCAAAAAGTCCAAAACATACAAATACGAGAAAAGGAAGAAAAAAAGACAAATCAAAACTCGTAGACCGTTCATTTGACACTCAATCGAAGAAATAAACAAAATTTAAAAAATAAAGAAATTAAAAGGTTTTAAGTAAAAAATTACTCCGTGATTTTAAGAAAAAAATGAAAAGAGATGGTAGATAAGTGGGCATGTTTGGTAGTAGCGTCAGGGATTAGGATTGACATTTTGAAAAAAGATGTCTATGAATAGCGTTTAGTGTTATAATATTTTTAAAGTTAATTTGCACCGTCAAATTTTTATCCAAAAGACCAAAACGATAATGCTAATCTAAAATGATATTGCCAAATGAAAATATTGGGAAGGCATTTATGCCCTCTCAAAGTTTGTTGGAGAGAACTTGAAAATGCTATATACAGACAAGTTTCATATTTTTATTTCATCAGGGAAAAAGATTAACGTTGGAGTTAAACATTAAAAATATATTAAAATGGAAGTTTCAAATTTTTATTTTTCGGAATAAGTGTTAAAATGTGGATACAGTGTCAATTATGACAATACACATTACCAAAAGATATTATAAAATGTCCATATACAATGTCACATTGACACAGTGCAAACCCTTTTTTGGGAAGAAAATATAAAACTCTTATTTTGATACTTTTTTTATGTTGGACTACCATTTAAGGTGATTTCTTATAAGAATAAAACATATAGAAATTACTAAAATAAAAGTTTCATGTTCTTATATTCAAAATAAAATTCTGCATGTGGACATTTCACAATACTTCTTCATAAAATTGATGACATTTACATTTTTGTTTCATAAAGTTCATAAATTTAGTGTAAACATCATTTAGTGTGTTATGTGTTGGCTGCATTAATTATTATAAAAACAATCATTTTATTCAAAATAATTTTAAAAAAGTAGTTAATAATTCAAAAAAAATAATAAAAGAGTTTTGAATCAGATTAAATTTATTCAAATCAAAATGTGAATCTCGAATTTCACGGGCAATAGTTCTTACAAGTAAAGAGCCATATATACCCATGACCCAAAATATCGTCAAGCTTCATGGAACAGACAGAATTCTAGAAATCCACGAAAAAATTAATGAAAGTTCACCAAAGTATGAGGTGAAAATATTATGATAGAAATCTTCCTCAGTAATTTCATTATGACTTTTGAAGTGATGTGCGGTAGCAATGCCAAACCAAATATGATGAGTGTGGCGTGAGCAACATTCCCAATTTAACTGATTCCCAATTTGTTACACGTGGACTTTAATTTAAGTTCAAAATTATTCTCCAAAAGTTCAAACTATTTTTAGCTATACTTGATCATATCTTCTTAGTATTTGTTGATGATTCCCAGGAAACTACAATCTTAGTATAATCAGCAAGTATGCAAGGTCTTCGTTCTTGATGCCTTTGATGAAGAATCATAATATGACATTGATTAGAAATTTGAAAAAAGAACCAAAGTGTTGTTTGTGACTCGTAGCCTTTCGAAAATATCATGTACCCATGTCCACGATGCTGATGAAAACAATAAATTGTTATCATTAAACCATTCAAATTTCAGAAGCAAATCATTTTGTAATCTTAAAATATTCATGAAAAATCCCAAATTCTATTCAAATATTGACATGAACTTGGCCTATAACTTGAAAGGGTTCCAATCCCGTTCAAGGCTCCAATGGGGAACGGATAACTATGTGATCCCAGAAAATTTGATAAAAGAATGGTCTAAAAACCATCTAATGGAATCTCTCCTCACATTACGCAATCATACATTGCAGTGATTCAAACAATTGCATCGAATTATCTCATGGATTGTGAGAGATTCTTCAACAAAACAAACCAAACCTAATCAAACATCCCTTCAATCTTTGTAATGTAAGTAATTACATCTATTTATAAAACAAGAAGTCACATCCAAACTCAGATATATGCAGATGTCTCGTTAACACTAATCAGAAAATGAAAGTGTTTGCAAGACTGGGAGCAGGATGCATTGCAATATAGAACCCAGAATCATTTTCAGTTCATCATATGAACCTAATAATAAGAACATTCAAATCCCAGTGTGATTCATATCCCTTCAATCATAACACCCTTTGAAAACCAATGAACAAAATGCTTATATCTAAGCAATGAAGCAGGCATTATATCAGACAAAATATGATGAAAAAAACGCACATAAAATTGCATTAGATCGAAAATTTGATGGTTCTGGAAAACTTACCAAGTTACAGATAAGAAACACTGGCATTTGGTTCAGATGATAAGAATAGATTCAAAATAAGCATAAATAAAGGAGCAACGCCAAACCTAATCAAGAGATGAAGCTCCGGCTGCTGCGGCTACATCATCAACGGTGAATTTTCCCTTGTCCTTTCCAACTGCCCTTCCCTTCGCCTTCCGGTCAAGCAGATCCTTGCGATCCTTATCCAGCTTCAGTTTCGTGACGACGACCTTGGACGGGTGGATCCCGACGTTGACGGTGTTTCCGTTAGCTTTCTCCCGAGTGATGCGCTCGATGTGGATGACCCACTTCTTGCGGTAAACCTGGACGATCTTCCCCTCTCTTCCCTTGTATGTGCCGCGGACCACCATGACCTCGTCGTCCTTCCGGACCGGAATTGAACGGACGTTGTGTTTGCTCCGGAGCTCCGCCGAGAGCGGCGCGCTCATCAGAATGCGCCGGACGCTGGACGGCGCCGTGAAGTGAGCCTTCCGGCACTTCCGGCGGGAGCTGGTGACGCGCGGATTGTACTTCATCGTCGGAGATGGCGTCGACGGCGTCGGATGAAATGAGAGTGAGGCGGGTAGGGTTTGGCAAATGGTAGGGATCAATATAAAGCCTAAGCGTTGGGTTTGGGTGAATCTCATAAGATGAATCCCTTTCTTATCTGGGCTTTTTGTTTAATTTTAAACATAAGGCCCATGACCTCGATTCCAAACTTTAATTTTATTTTTTTTTTGAAAGCTAAAATTTTATTTATTTATATTACAAGTCTATATGTATTCCATTAGAATTTCAAAAATACATTTAAAATTTTAGTGCATTTAAATATGATTAATATAAATATAATTGTATTTAAAATTATGTAGATTTAAAAGTAATTATTATATGATGGATTTTAAAAAAAAGTTATATGAGTTGTCTTATTGTAATCATAAGGCCGTATGTAGAATATGAACTCTCTCACATTTTTTCTAATAATATCATAATTGGAAATCTTTCTTTTTACAATCCACTACAAATATTCATTTTACGTATCAAATTCCATAATTTGATCATGGTAGATTCAAGAACCACGAAAGGATTTGCCATTTTATATAAATAGAAATCTGTGTATAAATCTTATGACAAACATAAAGATTGTGATGAATTTTCTTTCTTTCTCCTTTTTTCCTTTTTCTCTTTTTATACGTTGAATTAGTTTAGATAGTATCTGATAACTAGTATTCATCTGAAATCTTATATTTCAATTCCAACATTTAAAATTTCATACTTTCAAATTCCAAATATTGATTGGAAAAATGTCGAATTTTAATTCTAGAAGTTAAATTTTAAAATCGACAAAGACGGTTACGGAAGCAGATTGACATGCATGAAATTGTTATTACATAAGAGAAGATCACTTTTTAATTACAAGTTCTGAATTAAAGAAAAATTGAACTTGAATTTGTAAATGACATGAAGAGAGGTGTGGATTTGTAGTTGAGTTAATTTTGAATTAGAAGAATTTGGTCCATATTTGGATGAAATCCGGACTTGAAATCCAATTTCAAATTCCCAAACACATCATTAAGGATTTTCAATCTCAGTCCGATTAAGGAACGAATGTGTCATTTATCATTTCCCTATCTCCAAAATTACTTTTAACCACACATTTTTTTACGTTTAAATAAACCCATTTCACTTTTTTTAAACTACATAAAATCAAACCATCGAATTCATTTAGGAACTGATGGAATATTTAACTATTTTTGTTTTTTTAAAACAAGAATAGGTAGAACGAAGTACCGTATCTAATGCGGATGCAAAATTTTCCGAAAGCATCGTGATGCCAAAATAGTAACTGATGAATAGCCAATGTCAATCTGTCTTCCAGGTAAGACAAACTTTATTGTACTCCCGTAGTTCGCAAAGACAAATATATACAAGTAAAAGCCTTCTTCTTCTAATACCACTAGTTTGTTTGTCAAAAAAATGGAGCCTATTCATTCCATTGATCTAGTCTAGTTACTAGTTAGTGGTCGAGATTCAAGAATACCTACCACCGCCAGACTCCACATCCTCATCGGCTAAACCGATCCCCATGAACGTACCATGGGCTCTTTCGCCTCCTTGATTTTCGACTCGAGCTTCGGTGGGCCCCACACCACCGCTGTTGGCATGAATGGCTCCGTTACTCTCCTCCAGTGCCCGAAAATATGCATATGTTGCCCAGCCTACACCCATTCATAAAATAATAGCCACACTCCGTAAAAGATTTACAACAAACCCAGTGAAACCCACAAGTAGAGAGGTTGTTTCCAAGAGACTCCCGGCTCAAACACATGCACGCACAAATAATCCGTAAATGATTTCTTGCAACGATTTCTTTCTTTGAACTAAAAGATAAGGGAATTAAAATAAAGGTGCGCACCTTGGACATGGTGAGGAGGTGGAAAGAACTGCAAGTAGCAAAATGTGGCAACTGTAAGACCTTACTATGGCCGAGAAATGGTTTCAAATTGTATTGAAGTAAAAATGGAACATTAGATTATAATAATGAGATGGGACAAACCAAGTAGACCTCCAGCAAACACATCTTGCCAGTGGTGCCGGTAGTCATCCACTCGAGAAATCCCAACTAAGGCCGCTGCAGTGAGAGGAACCCATATCAAACACAGTTTGGCAACATGCCCCCGGCTATCAAATGCTTTTATCTTCCCAGCTAAGTACAGAGACAGAAATCCAAGACCGGCAAATGACCCTGCAAATATATTTATCAATCAAAATGTGAACTCATGTTTTGGAGACGTTACAGTTCGGTAAGAGACATTATCTTGACAAGTACTTACAAGAAGTGTGCCCACTTGGAAAACTCTTATGCCCATCCTTTAGGATATTTTCAACTCCATGGCATACAACATTTCCCAATTTATCATAAACCTGTACGGCAATTCTAATTATGTGGAAGTCTATCAAGAGCCGGTCCAAAAAGGGGGACAAAGCATTGAAAATTAAACCAATAACAGTAAAAACCCATAGCAAGCTCACATCCTTTCCATCTGGAAAACAACGCCAAAAAAAATCCGGTCTAGGTCTACCAACTGCATCTTTTATGGAATCTGTGATAACTCCAGTCACAAGAACAGAAAATAAGAGACCTGCAAGAAACAAAGAACAAAGGTTAACAAGTTCTACTTATCTACCTCACCCGAGGTTACATCAAATTATCAAATGAGCCTCCAAGTTTCTGAAAATTCGGAGTTCCTTGATACTGAAATATCGATAGGATAATAATAATAATAATAATAATAATAATAATAATAATAATAATGCAAGTAGGCACCATGAACAGTCTGATTCCTCTCAATATGTGACCAAAAATATCTTTTTGAGAGAAGTTTTAACTATTTAATAGAGAAGATACATTAAAAACGCTAAATTTATTCAAATGACATACAAATTTGGTTAATGCCAATATTTCCTATAAACCCTTTAGTGTTAAAAGGGCCATGAGCAGGAACCCTGACTGATCAAATGACTTATACTCATAAACATCTAGGGCCTTTAGGAATCAGATCAAACCTCGGGAGACGGAGATGAAAACAACCCCCCTAAAAACCAACAAAGGTTATGATTGAAAATTTGCAAGAGGACAAGAGGTAAATGGCAGAGTAAAATTTACCCAGTATTGCATGGTGGAGGTCATAGACATCCCTTCGACGAAAATAGACTACCACAAAGATGAATATTGGCAACAAAACAGCGTACACCTGCACCATTTAAGTTAAGTAAAGGAAGTTATTGCTTAAACCAAACAAAGATGCACCATAAAAAGGAATTATTCATAATTGAGCACTAAGGTAAACTTACAGGTACTGCCCAAAAAGGCACGGTGTTGTTCTTGAACGGATACTTGAGATCATCCATCATATCTTTCCCAACGAATCGGTAAAATGGGTGAATAGCATTCAGAATAGCTATCGTCACAGGAAGAAGCAATAGAATCAACCAGTCATGCATGTGTGTCCTTGCCACTGCAACTCCATGGGACCTAACAGTATGTGATCCAAGCTGGACCTCCTGCATTGCTCTCTGCTATTACATTGCATTTTCTAATGGTAATTAGTGAAGTGAGTGAAGCACAAGAGGAAGAAAAACTGTTTACAATGGCTGAACATGATAGTTTGGTGAAGTAAAACAGCAAAAAGAGTACTGCAATTCGGTATCATAAGATTCAAAACGTTGTAAAGCGAGTCAACACTGCAAAATGGAATGACCGCAAACAAACTTGTTAGCACGAGGTAATGAAAAAAATGGTGTAAAATTTAAAAAAATAAATTTAAATATTTAAAAACTACGTGGATAAAGTTATCAAATGAGTAACGAAAATAAACAAAATGTATAAAGATTGCCTACGGAGTAATAAAATAGAGAAATATGTATCGAATATAGAGAAAATGATAGAAGTATGACCTTGACCTACTAATCTACTATTAACATTTTTTGCGCCCTCGTCGAAAAACAATAGAAGTAAAAACCCAAAAGGCTTAAAGCTTTTTACAGTTCATCCTCATTGAAGCACATAAAAACAACATTAGGTTCAGCAGGATCAATGTAATCTTACTAATTAATAACTTCAAAAAGTTATTAAATAAGTAGCCACAACCCAAGCCATCTTTTTCTCGTGTGCGATCAATGGGAAATAAGGGAGGAAAAACAAATTTCTACAACCTTCACAAGTAACCAATCTGTGATCAACCACCCTCTGCTTGAAACACCAATATATCAATCTTGATATACTGGATAATTACTAATAGTGCGATAGACTTATCATAAAATTAAGAGTATCAGGGAGATTTAGGCGTTAGGGTTGCAAGTAATCGGATTCGGTACTCAAAGAACAAGAATTGCTTGCTTGAATATTCATCACACAAAATCTCAAATTCAAATTCAAAAACACACAAATAATGATAAAATACAAGTAGAGATTTATACACACAATAGCAACACAGAGAGGCATAAATACAAGGGTTAGTATGAATTAGCAGTAGTTAGTGAACTCCACACCTGAGCAGGGGAAGCCCATCTGAAATTCTCGAAACAAAGGACGGATCTCAAACTCAAACCAGGCATCGATGAAACAGAAGTCCAGAAAACAAAAACCAAAGACGAACTTGCGGATTAAAATTGAGAACCCAGACTCCAGAATAACGCTAAGCAGAAAGGAGAAAGCATTCTGTGTGAACAGCTACAGTTTAGGGCATGTCCGCCATGCCAGCACAGGACGTCTAATCATTATCCACTACACATAAATTTGGCCCTTATTGAAGGAATAATTGAGCATGTTTCNATAAAAGAAAAAGTGAAAGTGTAAAAACAAGCGTAGAAAATATCTTTCTCACCTCCTGGGGCTAAGGCTTTTTCCTTCTCTTTTTTTGACGAACTGTGCAGCGGTTACGAGGGTGAAAATGACGCCTCTGAAACTTTAAACAGTTTGAGCGGAGAGGGAGGCGACGATGGAGGGTTTGGTACTGGGGTGAACTGTGAAAACTGAAATGGGGAAAACATTTTTAAATTTAAAAAAAAAATGTTACTTATGCATGGTATACTGCTTGTGACAATTTATTTTGTGCTTTTTAGATTCATAGAGACTATTCATTTTATTAACTTTTCCATCATCTGGAGCCTAAATTTCACTATTTTTTTGGCTTTGGAGTGTGATTGAATAAATCAAAATAGATTTCTAAACTGTCTGCGCTTCTTTCTTTAATTAATGAAGTAGCAATTAGTCAAGCAATGTAACTTTCGACGTAGCCGGGGATCTCATTGGAAACAGACTCTCTACTTTCGAGTATGGGTAAGGTCTGCGTACACACACCCTCTCCAGACCCTACTCTTGTGGGATTCAATTGGGTTGTTGTTGTTGTTGTAACTTTTATATCTAAACTTTTTTTATGTATTGGTCTTGTAAAATAAAGATATCTAAGTATAAGTTGAAAATTGTGATCTCTTGAAAATTTAAAAATGAAGATGATTTCTTTTTACCGTTCAAAGCTATATACAGAATATCTCGAATAATTAATTGTCTACTTATTTTATTGTATATGGAGTATTTCGTATAGTATTATTCATTTTTCAAATTCTTTAATTAATATTGTTGAAATTATATTTATTATTACTATTACAATTATTTTTTAGAATTATTAATAGTCTGACATTGTAAGATTTGAAAAAAAAGTCTATTTTTAAAGTTTGAACTTGTTTTCTTTTATTCTTAATGTTTATGATCCTTTTAAATTCGAAACACAAACTTCTATTTAATAAAGTTGTGCTTTTTTATAAAAAAAATTATGATTTTATTTTAATATTTTTTTGAGTGATGCATGTTCATATTTTTCTGGCACGGTTTGAGCATGGGTATAGTATTGTACTCTTCTGTTTCAAAACATAATGTTGCTGAATGTTTTTGGGGAAAATACCGTACCAATATCTAACCATTTAAACAAGAACGGTTCGTGATAGGTTTCGGTAGTATTAAGGGCCGTCCGCACCTACCCCTAGCAATATAATCTAGCGCATCCCATCCCAAAAAAAAGAGTTGCTTCCTTCCACGTATGTGGCTGGGCTAAAGACTCGTTCTTTACCCATAGTAACTGCCCGTCTCACTCTAACCCAAATTATTCTTGCACGCTCTCGCTTGAGATTGGGCTGGGCCTTGACCCTGAAGGCCCAACATCCCACCAGGACTGTCTATTGAAATTTTTTTAATATTATAGGTAATGTTGTGAAAATAAAAATATGTAAAAAAAAGATGAACCACATCACCGAAGTAAAGTGAGTTCTATAGTTACTAGGAATCTAACTTAAATTTCCTCCGTCCCAAGAAAAGCCTCCCAATTAGATTTGTCACAAAATTTAATAAAAAATAAAATTATATAATTCAGAATCATGCAAAGGAGAGAGAAAGAAGTTGGACCATGCAAATTTGTCAAAACTGGAAAGATGCATGAGAGGAAAGAAATTAAAGTGATAGGAAAGAAAACGAGAGGAAAGAAAATGATGAGAAAATAAAGAGAGAGAAAAATTAATATTTAGATTAATAAAAAATAATACTCCCTCCGTTTCACAAAACCCTTCCTCTTTCGTTTTTTTTTTAAATTCTCTAAAACACTTCCACTTTCTATTAAAAAACAATTTTTACCCTTACTTTTTCATACCCTACCTATCACATCATACTTTTTTCCTAATAACCAAACTATCACATCTTACTTTTACTCATCATATCAGGGGCGAAATTGGAAAGTCAACCAAAATTATACTTTCCTTATTTTTATCCAAAGTCAAAAGTGGAAGAGTTTAAAGAAACGGAGGAAGTAAGAAAATAGTGAGAAAAGAGTCGCATTTTCTTTTTTTTTCCCATATCGAATTCGTTGAACTATTGTGTAAGGAGATCCATTGTGTAAATGTTTCCCGCATAAGCATCGCCGCAGCGTTGACACGTCATGGGAGAAGAGGGGATGGGGTCAGATATATATGCAGGCGACGTGTCGATCTTACCCCTCCAAATGGCCTCCTCTTTATTGCCCAAGAGGCAACTAAAAATTGACATTACGTTTACAAATTTCATGCCCAAGTATTTCATTTTTCATCATTTTTTAAAAATTTAACTTAATAGGGACTAGGGAGTAGTTTCATTAAAAAATGTCTTACAAAGTATAATTTGATCGCATTCGTATAGGGCTGAGAATGAGTCGGATTTTAGTTGAGTGAAGTCTTACCCTCATCCATCCATCAATATATAATCACCATCTGATTCATCCATCATTCGTTATATATATATTACCCATTACCTGATTCTTCCAACATTCATAGAAACGGGTGAATAAGGTGAAAACGGATGATATGAGTAATAATTTTTAATCATTGATCCCATGGAATGAAAAATTTTTGAAATATCCTGCAAAAAAAAAAATTCTAAGTTACAAACGAAGCTTTTATGAAATGGAACTTTGAAAAGTACTAACAAATTTATGTGCCCAACAAAAGCAATATATTCAATTTTCATTTTGTTTATTATAAATGTGAATGTTTCGGGTGATGGATTGGATTACGGGTATTAAAAAAGTACTCTCTTTGTATTGATAACGTAAATACTCCGTATTAAAATTTACGAGTATTAAAAAAGTACTCTCTCGTCCATATGCATTAATATAGCCTGAATTTTTTGAGTCAAATAAATTCAATGAAATTTGAATTTCAATTAAATAAAACCGTAATGTATATCTATATAATGAAAATCTTATTAAATTTAGTTTGATGGAAAAATTTATAATTTTATTTTATTATACTAATATATAATATAAACTGAAAGTAATTACTGATAGAATTTAGGATGGGGTAGTGATAACTGGATTGGGTAATAAGACACTTGGGTTGAACCACATTAAAAGATTGAATTCAATCGATTAGTTAGTTCAACTCTAGAGCTTATATACCGATTATTTTCTCTTGGATTTTCCGATGTGGGATGTACTCTAACACTCCCCCTCAAGTGGACAACCGGGTCATTTTGAATCTAACCGGTTGACCACTTGCAAATGAACTCTCATTCCCTTGACTTTTTTTGAGCGCCAACACCTAAAGGATCACGAGCCGCTGGGTATGGACTTCCAGACGAGCAATCGTGTTAAACAGGCCACAGGCCGTTGGGTACAACCTCCATACGGACAACTGGGCTAAAGACTAACGGGCCGCTAGAAATGAACGTCTAGACGGACACCTTGACAAACGAGGTGGGCCAAAACCTGCTCCGATACCATGTCAAGGAACCGACTTAACCAAAAGCTCAAGCTTGTGGTTGTGTCCCAAGAACAGTTATTTATATTCTAACACGCCTCCTCACGTACAGGCGTAGTCTTTTTCAAGCTTTGCACGTGAAACTTTAATTTTTTTTAAAATGGATGGCACTGAGTTTCGAACCCGCGATCTTTTAGTCAACGAGGCTCCGATACCATGATAGAATTTAGGATGGGGTAGTGATAACTGGATTGGGTAATAAGACATTTGGGTTGAACCACATTAAAAGATTGAATTCAACCGATTAGTTAGTTCAACTTTAGAGCTTATATACCGATTATTTTCTTTTGGATTTTACGATGTGGGATGTACTCTAACAATTACAATTTAATTTTTTTTAAATCTGAATAAAAAAATAAAACTAATCAAATATACTCAGAGGAAACTAGTAAAGAAAGATTATAAAATGAACGAGTAGATTCATGCATGATGTAAACAATAAAAAGAACATACGCGGCGCCCAGTTTTTCCTCGTCGATCACGTACTCTCATCTCCATCAAACCGCCCCCTAGCATTTTGTTAATTCCAATTTTCACCCTCCCCAAATCAAAATAAGGCACCCCCCAATTTCGCTTCCATGGCGGCCGCCACCCAGCTCTCCACTGTTCTCCCCCGCGTCCTCATCGTCTCCCGACGAACCGTTCGCAAGAACAAATTCGTCGATTTCGTCGGTTCGTACGTTATCAATTAATCAATCCCCACGTTTTCATTCCCTTAATTACTCTGTTTTTTTATTTGTTTCTTTAATCATAAAAAAGATGATTTTTTTCTTTTTTTTTTAAATCAGGAGAATACCATCTTGATCTCATCGTAAGCTATGGAGCCGTCCCGGTCATCGTCCCCCGGGTGGCCGGGGTCCACATGCTATTGGACAGCTTCGAGCCGATCCACGGCGTCCTTCTCTGCGAGGGCGAGGATCTAGATCCGTCCCTCTACGACGGCGGCGAAGGGGCGCCCTCCGATCTCTCTCCCGAGGAGGTGGACGAGATCCGGCGGCTCCACGCCAGCGACACCGCCGTCGACAAGGAGAAGGACGCCATAGAGCTCGGCCTCGCGAAGCTTTGCCTGGAGAGGAATATCCCCTTCTTGGGAATATGCAGGGGATCCCAGGTTCTGAATGTTGCATGTGGGGGTACTCTGTATCTGGACGTGGAGAAGGAGGTCTCCAAGAAGATCCCGCCGGCGGCGGCGGTTGTGGCCCACATTGACTACGATGACTACGACGGCCACCGCCACGCGGTTAGGGTTGTGGAGGGCACGCCGCTGGGTCGGTGGTTTCGGGATTCGCTCGAGGAAGGGAAGATGGAGATTCGGGTGAATAGCTATCACCACCAAGGGGTCAAGAAATTGGCTCCCCGGTTCGTCCCCATGGCTTTCGCCCGGGACGGTCTGATTGAAGGGTTCTACGACCCGGATTGCTATGACCCGGAGGCCGGGAAGTTCATCATGGGCCTCCAGTTTCATCCCGAGCGGATGCGGAAACCCGACTCCGATCAGTTCGACTACCCCGGATGCCCATTTGCTTACCAAGTACACATTTGAGTAATTTGACTATTCATTCAAAATAAAATTTGGGTTCTTTTGACACTTATAAGAGCCATTGTCATATGATATGACAATGGTTCAGTTCTACACCTAATTTGCCCCTAACAGACTCCTTTTAAAAATGGAGCTCGATAGGGTCAAGTTAGGAGTTCAAGATAAAACCCTTAAACGGATCAATGTCATATTATTTTTTATTTGTTTTTTTTTGTATCGAATGAATTTGTAAAGGCGGTAGTTGCACACCAAAAGAAGCTGGCGAGCGCTCCCAAATCTCTAAAGCTGAATAAAGAAATGGAGAAAAGGAGGAAAATGATAGTGAGGAGTTTCTCCCTTGCTAGGAACATATACGAGAGCGGTGGCGGGGGCAACCGTAGGCAATGGCCTGCCAGCGAATACTCCGACTTGGAAGCCGGGGCAGAATTCCTCGAGGTCGTTGTCTTTGAATTGATTATACTATACATCCCATGCACAAACTGGACGTAATTATTAAGCTTTTAGTTGAGTTGATTTTTTTTCTTGAGAATTGCAGCGAATAAATGGGTGAAATAATGTGTGGGTACATAGGTGCAGTCGAACGGGGCGTTGAGCGGCCGGGAACAGGAGAAGAGGAGGCTGGAGGAGATGGGGGCGACGGTGAGGAACGGCAAGTACTGGTGCGCGGAGGAGGAGAGGGCCAAGGAGAGGGAAATGTGGGCGAGGAAGGCGATGGGGAAGATGACGGCGGAGCAGCTCTACGACCTCAGCTCCTTCTACCACATGATGGGGAAGGTCTGCTCCGACCTCCTCCAAAACAAGCTCCGTCGTCGTTCCGATCTCTTGTTCGACGAGTACGAGGTTGCCCCCTCTTAGACCACCCACCCCAAAGTCAAATGTAAAAAGAAAAATGACAGAGATGATTATCATGATTACTATCTGTTATCTGTCTTAAATACAAGAAGTGCGTATCAAAACTTAGTTTATATTTCACAAACTAAAAAAATGAACGACAACAAAGGAGTATTTCGAATCTTTGTGAATACTTTTACGTTTATACACAAAAACTAAAACTCAAATAAAATTATAATTTACACATAATAGAACTTGAACCAATTTTTTTAAAAAAATTTATTATTTAGTGAAGGAATATAAAAATATTACTCCGGGATTTTTGGTATATATGTTCGGTTCGGAATTTTTGGTATGAAATGTCTCCTCGTACTGTTCCCAAATACCGTACCGACCATTCGGTTCGGTATAGTTCGGTTCCATCTCGGTACTTTTTCGGTTCAGTATTTTTCAGTTCGGTATTCTCAGTTTTTTCAAAAAATTTCGATATCGGTTCGGTACTTGCTCACCCCTAATGAATTTATCTTTTATTAATGCTCATGACGCTCACCCAAACCAGGCGTGAAAATATTGATCATGTGAACTCATGCACAATCGCCATTACAGTGCCTTCCATCACTTTTTTTTATATATAAATGAATCACAATTTAACACAAACTCGTCATAATCAATTAAAATGAGTAATTTACATCTCCACCTCATCATTTGGTGGTTAAAATTTAAAAGTGAAAAGTTAAAAAAGGGTATGAGGTGGACGGACAATAAAGGGCGTGTGTGGGGGAGTAGAAAAAGAATGAAAATTCGATTATTAACGTAAAATATTTTCTCTCCATTGAAAGGAAATATTTTCCCTCAAAAAATATTTTTCTTCTACTAATGTCACTAAACACAAGAAAGTAGAATCAAAATTCCCCAGAAAATATTTTCTCACCCAACCAAATACCTCGTAAATGTGTAAATTAAACAACATATAAGTAGCCAAAGATCTTGTGATTCAGCCCTTATAAAGGTGTCAATGTGACTCTCCTTAATGGGAAGAGTTGGAAACTCAATAAAGAATAGTGAAGCTTGCACTAAACAATACTAAAACATAAAAAAATTTCGAATGTAGGACTTAATTTTTTTTAATTTCTTAAATAGTACTTAATAATATCTAGTGGAAGGAATAATATTAGTGATAGTGAACATTTACTAGAATAATGACTAATGAATAATAATCAATGAGACTGTTATTATGCTTTAATCTTATTTAAGTAAAATAATCTAAAGAATACTCACATTGTAAAGTCTAATCCTCAAACTAATGTCAAAGACAACTTTCGTCAAATTTAACGTGCCGTTAAAACTGGTTATTGATTGGGCGGTGACCCAATAAGACTCAAACCGGCCCATTATTCCCTCCGTGTCTGTCTCTCTTTTACCCCGTCTCTTTCCCATTTATCTCTGCAATTTTACCCATTCAAAAGAAACCACTCTGCAATTTTGGCATCTCACTTTCCTAAAGAGGCTGAAAATCCCATTCCCCAAAACAACCCCAGATCTCAATCTTTCCTTGTAAGAAATGCCTCTGATTTTCTGGGAATTTGGGAATCGATCCATCCATTGCTGATTTGTAATAAAAGGGTTTAGTTGGATCGGAGATTGATAAATCTAATGGCGACTCTGCAGATTTTCAAGCTTTTGGCGACGCAGTGTGCCGTGGCAAGAAGCCCAACGCTGAGCCCATCGGCGAGCCCAGTAATCCACCTCCGCCGTCGGAAGACACTCGGCATGCTGCTCGGTCGCGGCGGAGGGAGCGGTGGTGTGCGGAGGCTTCCGATCGAAGATGGCTCATCGGCCGGTCAGAATGTAGAAAACAGGGACTCCCCAGATGAGGAGAAGGAGCAAACGGCGAGCCATAAACACAAGCTCAAGGATTTCTTGCTGTCGTCGCCGTCGCCGCCGCCTTTGGATGAGCGATTGTCAGGAAATGTCAGAGTGGGGCTCTCACAAGCGGGGTCTTGGTCCGGTGGCCAGAGATTCGGGGACCGCTCGCCTCGGCCATTATCGGCGACGATCCGTCAGAGGTTGCTTAGACGAGCGTGGCGGCCGGTGCTGGTGGCCATACCGGAGTAACGCCGGACTTATCTATTAATTTGTAAAACAAAAAAAAACAAAAAAAGTATTACCGGGTATAATATTAATGTGCTCTTGGAGAGGTCCATTGTCGAGTGTTGTTATTTGATGTCTTGATTTGATTATTAGTAAAGGGTCAAGTTTTTAATGGTGTATTCGAATGGTTGATGTATAATTGTGTGAAAAATGATACTCGAACTTCAGATGCAACCCATCATATCTCCAAAAATGGTGTATCCCTCTCATTACTCATAATTGTATACTCTTCTCGTTCTTCGTAACAAATTTACGTTTACAAATACAAATTAAATTATGCGGAGTAATTATATATTTTCGATTTGTTTTGAAATAACTTTAGAGGTTAGCATTAGTGTTTTGAAAATATTATTTACGGATAGCGTTTAACATTAGCATTTTTAAAGGAATCTGCACTGTTAAAATTTTATCCAAAATGCTGACACAATCTCTAACGTTATTGCCAAACAGACTCTTTATGTTCTTCTCCTTTCCTTTTATATACCAGTATTTCATTTCATTTTCATTTTTATGGTCAAATTTTTAAATTTTGACAACAAATTACGCAAAACATATATTGATGGTCATGAATTTGGTTAGATTTTATAGTCGACTACCTTGAAATCATTTTTCAAAATCAGACCAAATCCATGACCGTCGGTTTTTGGTCATCAATTATTGGTGTTTGGTTATCGCCATTTGGTTATAGGCATTCCTTATCAAATTTTGATTTTAGCCAAATGGTTTTTGAGTTTTTATCTTTGATTTTGTTTTTAGGCACATTGAAATTCTTTTTCTTCTAGTGTGGGAGCTTTGTTTGCATCCCAACAAACCTCCCTCAAACTAACAATCACATAATTCTTAACATCTCTTCCAATGATAATTCATTTGATCTGCACACCATCTTGCACTGTCGATGCAAACTCGCGAGACACGCCGCTTGACATCTTCTTGTCGGGAAGACTTTTGACACAAGCCACGTTGTTGACCCCCAATCCGCTAGGTTAAACCATTTGATCTGCCAAATTATCTTGTACCGCTGTTAACATACAACAGGACACGCTGCTAGAAATTAATTAAGAAGACTTTTGATACAAGGCACCACTTCCATATCTCTGATCATGTTGTCACACCGAGCACAATGAAAACTTTGCACACAACAGTCTCCCACTCTTGCTAGCATGAACATGGGCTCTGATACCACATGTTGAGACAACAGTTACCTTCATCCTAATCCCGCAATAATATGATATTGTTTGTTTTAGATCAAACTCTTACAAATTTGTTTTTAAGATTTAATACTAATGAGTTGGGTTGAATCTATTAATTTTGTTCCTCTCCTTCCTTTTCATTTGATGTGAGATGTTTGTTTAATGGCCAAATAGCTTAAGTGCCATGTGTGGTTTAAAAATTGGCATCAATATCCTATCTATTTTCAAAACATAATAGACAACAATACTTTCTTTATTTTCAAAATTTATTTCTAAAGTCTTTGTAGTGTCAAAATATTGCACACACACACCCCTGACCATTTTCTGGTCATTTTTCAGCAAAGAGGCTGGGGACATTGATATCTATTTTCTAAACCATAGGGAGTACTCGTGCTCATTCTTATTTTTTGCGTATTATTTTGTTTTTTCCCTTTATTTAAGTCTTTTTTATCTCTTTGTTTCCTTTTCTTAAAAAATATTTTTAAATTTATTTTAAATTTTTATAATGTTTGAAAAAAAATTAAACTTTTTTGTTTTTGAAATAAAAAAAAATTAACACGTACTTCATCTATCTCAAATTAAACATGTTTACTTTTTGTTTTCTAGAATACTTTTTTTGGTAAGTTTAAAAAGAAAATCCAAAATAAAAAAATAAAAATATGGAAAAATGAAATGAAAAAAATGGAAACATGTAAAAAAGAGTGTTATACAAAAAAATCATAACACCTAAAAAAATCTTTAGAATGGGGATGTCCAAAAGGGATATTCCTTTTTACTTTTTGTTCTATTTTTTGAAGTTCTCAAAAAGATAAATTTTTAATTTCGGGAAACAAAAATAAAAAGTTGATTATTCAAGACATACAATATATGTTAATTATTTTTTTAAAAAAATATTAAAATTTAAGAACATTATAAAACAATTTTAAAAAAAGTTTAAAAACCTTGATTAATAAAAGAAACAAATAAAGGGAAAAAAGCAGAAACAAAAAATAAACGAAAAATAAAAATAAGCACTAGTACCTATATGGTTTGAAAAATAGACACTAATGTCTCTTTCTTTATCAAAAAATAGGCCAGAAAATTGATAGAGAAGATATGAGTGCAATATTTTGATTGCAAGAAAACTTTAGAAATAAATTTTGAAAACTATGTTTAGTTTAACTTCCAAATTAATCAAACCTCTCCTCAAAAGTCAAACTAGGATTAGATAACAAGCACCCAATTAAAACAAAACCTAATCTAAAGTTATACTCCCTCCGTCTTAAAACTAACTTTCCAGTTTGACTTTTGTAGTTAAACTTTTTAAACTTTAACTGTTTATTACAGAAAAAATACATTGAATTTTCAAACAAATTTATTAGCAATAGATTCATTTTGAAACATAGTTTTGAAATATATAATTTTTATAAAATATATTTATTTAAAAATTGAGATATTGATGGTCAAAGTGTCACATTGAAAACCGTGAAAAGTCAAATGAAAAGTTAATTTTAGAACAGAGGAGTACCACGTTCAAACTAAAGACACTTACGCCCACTTCATAGGTATCGTTTGCTTGAAGAACGAATCATCTTAGCTTCCATTGGTCATCACATGTAATAATGTTCTCTTACTAATAAGTAATTTTTAACTGATAAAGTGTTTATAAGTTAAATATTCTTTAATAGAAGTAAAATGTCTTAAATGATAGAGAAGTCACTTGGAAATATTCAAAAATGGTGATGAATAATTTTGTAAATAATTTGGTCAAAACGGAGATTCGGAAAAATTGGTTTAAAGATTAGCTAAGACCTTCTTATTTTTTCTGGCTTGTAAGCAACTTGTAAGTCAGTTTAACAGCACACAGAAAAATATCAATAGCTGACTTATAAACTAAAAATTGTTTATAAATAGTTTTAATCAGCTTATAAGTACAAAGAAACGTCCACAATGTATAAAAACTCCTGTGTGCATGCAATAACCCGGTGCCCCGATTTTAGTCAAACACACTTGTTCTTTTTTAACTCTTACTTTTATTACTTAATCATATTTTAAAAAATCAGATCAAAAACAATTTTTGATATAACTATAGACCAGGCTAGATCAAATCGCATCTTAACTCTTAATCGAGTCGTGTAGAGTGGGTGCCTCGTGCCCAGAGGGAACAATCACATAGAGCCTCCATTTTTAAAAGTGAAATTTGCACTGAATAAAACTAAAACATAAACCATTTCTCAATGTAGAACTTAAACTTTTTTATTCCCTAAATAGAACTTAATAATGACTAGTGAGAAAAATAATGTTCAAGTGTTACTGGACATTTAGTTGAATAATGACAAATAGATAATGATCAATGATCCTACACTGACAAATAAAAACATATGGTCTTATTTTGAAAAAGTCTTTATTTTTTAGTCCTATTTAGTTAATTACCTTTTTTAGAATTCAAACTTTATGGGTAGCCATTTGAGCCCAGTTAAGTCATTTAAGCCCTTTATTTATCCTTAGAAAATTTGGGGTTAATTTTCTATGGTCATTGGCTCATTGCTTATTTCACACTACAAGAATGGTGAATAAGAGTTTGTTTAAAATTGTTAAATTGGCCAACTCTATTTAAGTAAAAATTTATTTAATCTAAAATTTATTTTTTATCGGCCTGGTTCTAGTGACACCAGAGAACGGTGCCACTCCGGTGCCACTGGGTTTTTGGGGCACCTCCGGTGCTCAGTTTGTAAAATTGACGGTTCCTACCCCCCTAAACCCCCCACCCTACCCCCACCCCAACCCCGCCGTAACCCCACCCCCACAAAATGTGTGGCTATTATGCAATGCATAATAGCCACATATTTTGTGGGGGAGTTACGGCGGGGTTGGGGAAGGGGTGCAGGGGTGGGGGTAGGGTGGGAGGTTTAGGGGGTGGGTTAGGGGGGGTAGGAACCGTCAATTTTACGAACGGAGCACCGGAGGTGCTCCAAAAACCCAGTGGCATCGGAGTGGCACCGTTCTCCGGTGTCACTAGAACCGGACCGATTTTTTATTTATAAATAAACCAACTTGAATGTCCGTAAAAAACAATTTTGATGCAGAACGGGCCAGCCGATCGATAGACTGAGGCCCAAGCTCGGGTTGCAATCGGTAGGCCCGTTGCGTGGGCTTGACCCGGTCAGGTTTAAAAATGCTCAGAATATAACTCAGGTCTGGGCCGCACTTAGAACATGAATTTGAGACTATCCAATTCGTGAAGCTCTCGACTTCAATCACACATGTTAATCTTTCCATTTCCAAAAAAATCGAAAATACTTTACTCTTATTTTATTTCTATTTCTGTAGTGAGACTCACAAAATTTCTTTCTCATTTATTTTAAACAAATTTTAGGCATACAATTTTTTTTATGTTTGGATATTTGTCTTAATTTCTCAAAAAAAAAAATTAAAAAAAAACTGTTTTAGGAGTTATTAATTAATTAAGTAGGCATAAGCACATGAGAAGGGACGGGAGGTGTGAGCTTGTTAGCCGGCATTGGGTGGTGGGTTGGCCTCTGCCTTTCAATTATGGAACTCTCTCTAAGCAAACAAATTGATTGATTGCAAGTTTGCAGAATATGATGGAATAATAAAGGGATTTCACCCCATCTTGACTATGTGCTTTTGGCCTTTCTTTAGGGTCACCTTTTCAAAGCTGACCAAACTTGCCCCACACCAACTAGTTTTTGCCTTTGTGTATTGTTTCATCACTTCCCATGATATTACCAAGGAGTCTCTATTTTGACTTCAAAATTAATTAAACTTGGAGAATGCAATTGAAAGAGATGTGGCGGTAGGTTTAAAGCGGGGTGAATGGGGGATTTTAGGTGGAGGGTTAGGAGGAGCAAGAATCGTCAATTTTACGAACGGAACATCGTACGGGTCTCGGGTCATCCCATATTCCCATGGCATTGCTTAGCATTCTCATGGGAACCGCCCGTATTGTTTATGTTTATTAATGTTGTGGTCTAGTCCTCTTCCTAAATCATTTCATGTGAATGTAATTTTTTTTAATGCTATAAACTCGTTTACAATGTAATATATGTTCATACTATTTTCAACCATTTTGAGAGATACTACCTCCGTCCATGAGTATTTGTCCAGTTTTGACTTTTTTCGGTCAAATGTTTTCAACCTTTGACCTATAATTAAATAAAATATATATTGTACATTAATTAGATAAAATAATATTTTGGAAATATTTGATATGATAAATCTAATAAAATTAATTTTGTATCAATATCTAATATCATTTTTATTTAATTTAAAGTTAAAGTTTACCAGTTTTGACAGAAAAAATCAAAAGTGGACAAATACTCAGAGACGGAGGGATACTAAACAATGTGGTTCTTCTCATTTTACAATTGTCCTCTTACCAATCCTTTTCCTATAAATAGCCGTCATCCTAACTTTGTTGAATCCAATTATGAAAGCTAAATAATGGGAATTGAGGTTGGATCACTTCTGTCCATTTCCCCCAATTCCTGTCACATCATAGAATAAGATGGAGTAATACCCTAGTTACTCCCACCGTCCCTAAATATTTGACATACTTGTATTCCCAAGGCAAAATATCAAGTATTTTCAATTCATTTTATTTACATATTGGTATAGAAATAAAAAATAAAATTTACATATCAAAAAACTACATGAAAAGTTCTTCGAAATAAGAGGTGTCAAGGATATTTTATTTTATCAAATAACCAATGAAAACGTAGAAATAAACAAAAATTCCCGCAATGCTGAAAAAGCAAACGTTGCAAATATTTAGGGACAGAGGTAGTATCATAAACTGTTTTTACCGTGTAAACAATTTTATTCACTTTCTCATTTTCAATGTTTAAAAAAAAATATTTTTTTATAATTTACTTTTTCCTAGAAATATGAATATACCATAAAATCTTTCTATCATCTAAATAAGTTGCAACTGTATGTGCCGAGGGCGTTGCCACTCAAGCGGTTTTGATCATGTCAAGCATATAAACTGGAGTTCTAGTTTGTTAAATTTTTGAATTAAGCGTAATTGGCTACTTATCTCAACCACCACACCAAAAAAAATTCAAGTTTGACTCAAATTTAATTCTTTGCCCTAACCATAACATGGGATTTGGAGCAATGAAAATGGGGCTGACGCCCCCGGCATCAACTGCCGTTTGATGCCCCTTGGGCGTTAAACACCGCCCCTGGCGACATTATGAGGCGTTAACCCTAGCGCATCAAAGGTTTAACGCGTCTCTCCCCTCCCCCAACGGCTAAAAACACCTAAAATAGTCGTTAATTACAAAAAAATTAAATTAAAAAAAACCTATAAATAATTCCAAAACAAACTTATCTCTCACACATCTCTCATTATCTTCTCTCTAAAGTTCTATCAAATATTCTTTCAAATATTTTTCTATTTATTATAATTATTTGTAAAATATATTTTAAAAATAGGATCATCTTCATCCGATGATGAAAAAAGTGCTCTCATTTTTCGTTGCTTTGCCACGAGTTGTTATCAATGGTGGCAACAAGGCGAAAAAAGTTGAATCCTCCCGAGGCCGGACCCGACGACAACATTTAAACCGGATTGAACGGCTGCTCACGCTTTACTTCTCAACGACTACTTCAATACTCAGTGTGTTTATACACCGAAGGATTTTAGAAATCGTTTTCGGAAGAGTCGTCCTCTCTTTTTACGCACACTCGCCGATGTTGAACGCGAGGTGCCTTGGTTCACCCAATGCTTTGATGCGAGAAGCCGACGCGGGTTTAGTAATGTCAAACAGCGCACTGCCGCGCTTCGTCAGATGGCGTACGAGACACCATCTGATATGTTTGACGAATACTTGAAGATGTCGGCTCGGAGCATCATGTCCTGTGTTTATAAATTTTCTAAAGCTATTATTCGAATTTATCATAAGAGATATTTTCGCAAGCCTACAACGAGCGACATTCATCAGTTACAGGCAAGGCATGCCGCTAAACATGGCTTTGTCTGCATGCTTGGGAGCATTGATTGCACACATTGGGAATGGAAAAATTATCCCACTGCGTTACATGGTCAGTTCTCCAGGGGGTCATCCCAGGCCTACTATCATGCTCGAAGTTGTTGATTCAAATGACATGTGGTTTTGGCATGCTTTTTTCGGTATTGCGGGCTCAAACAACGACATCAACGTTCACGATCAATCGCCTGCTTTTGACAATTGGATTAATGAGACCGCACCCAACTCGTCGTTTGAGCTTAGAGGGACGCTTTACAAGCGTGGATATTATTTGGCCGATGGAATATATTCAGATTATTTTATGATTGTCAAATCCCTCTCTGAACCAATGAGTCTTAAACAGCAGACCTACAAAAAAGCTCACGAGGCGACGAGAAAAGATATTAAACGAGCCTTCGGGGTCTTGAAGGCTAAGTGACACATTCTAGATCGTTCGTCCAAATGTTTTTCTCAAACAAAAATGATGAATATTATCTACGCATGTATTATTCTTCATAATATGATCGTAGAGGATAACGGGTTTGCGATTTGTCAATACAACCCGGACGAGGAGGTGCCTATGTACGAAGAAATCGACGAAGAAACAAACAAAGAAACCACCAAGAAATTCAAGGTCAAGAGATTCACAACGCACTAACGGCGGATTTGATTGAACATATCTTCAATCGGTCGAATAATTAGTAATTTGTTTGTAGTGTTGTTTTTTTATGGATGTAATATATTTTTTAATGAATGTATTTTTTATGGATGTAATAATTTTTTTAATGAATGTAATTTTTTAATGCACTATTCTCCTTTCGTTTATTTTAAATAATTAAAATTTATTAATTTAAATTTAGAAGATGTATATTTAAAATATTAATAATGAAGGTTTGAATTGAAGCCCCAGTTTGAAACCCCGGGGCTTCAAACCCATTTCCATTGAAACTGTGAGGTAAGCTAAAGCTGAAAGAGAGAAATTTTGAAGCCCCAAGGCTTCACAGGTATTTTCAGTGCCCTTACTTCGTATTTCATATCTAGACAGTAGATATTTTTAGGAGTGTAAATGAGTATTAATCGGATCGGATGTGCCATTACCATATCTGTATCCGTTTATTTTTATCAGATATCAAATTTAGAAACGGATCTTGACGGATACTAAAAATAAAAGTTGTATCCGCATCCGTCAGATAGCGGTCGAATGTGAGATATATTCATACCCGTTTCCAATTTTTAAAATCAAATTGAACACTACTTTAATTTCAAGTGAAATTTGTACCAAATAGTACTAAACCACACGTCATTTTCTAATATAGTACTTATACTTTTTTATTACCTAAATAGTACTTGAATAATACCTAGTTGTGGGAATATTATTCAGTGATGGTGAACATTTAGTTTGAACAATGTCTAATGGCGGTGGACATTTACGTGAACTATGACCAATAGACAATGAACAGTAGTACTACATTGAGAAATAAAAACATATGGTAATACATTGAAAAAGTTACTATGTTTTAATAAGAATACTTTCAAGAATCCACTTTTTCTGTATCTTTTCATTTGTGAGCAACACACAATTTTTAAAAGAAGCAATATATGCTTCCACAAACATTTGATGCTTGAACAGCATTCCATGTGAGCAGGCTATAACAGATAAATCTTTGAAATTAAAACAAATATATTACTCCCTCCGTCCTAATTCTTTCTTCCCAATTTGACTTTTCTCCATTTTTAATTTTTGGCTTTGACTTCAAATTTTACCTTCCTTAAAAAAGATTTTTTTAAAATTTTTTTTGCAATCATTCAAAATATAGAGTTAGAAGATAATTGGTGTAAATACATGAGGGTATTAATGTCATTTGTCATCTTTTTTTCTAATGAGAAGGTAATTTTAGGACGGAGAAAAAGGGGAAGTGGGAAGAAAGTTTTAGGACAAAGGATATTTAAAAGCACTCTAGAGAAGCATGAATGGTTATGTTTGATGTTGATGAGCTCATTCAACGAAATCAAACATTACTCGATCAGTATAAAATGAATCATAATACGTAAAAAAACAAAGTATTTAAGAAATGAAGTTATAATTTTACCACTTTTAGAGTCTTGGAACTTTGGGTGAGATTTTACAAGCTTAAACTATTTTTAACTAATTTTTGAAAGCTCAAAAGGATGGATTACCTCTAAGGAGATGGTAAAAAATTGTAAAAGTATTAAGGGCATAATTAATCAATTCATACCTCCAGAGAGAGATAAAAAATATCTTAGTTTTAGAGTATTTATCTAGTTTGATATTCTTGAATCAAAATAAACAAATTTCAATTATTAAGTATATTAAATCTGAATAATATATTAATAAAATAAAATTTTAAAGATATCTACTAAATAAATCTAATAAAATTATTTTTTTATTAATATACAATATTATTCTCTTTTAAATTGACACTTAAAATTTATGTAATTCGACTTAAAAAAACAAGTGAGCTAATATATTCTAAAAATAGAGATAATGTGTTGGGATGCGAAATGTTTGCTAAAATTGATGCATTTACTAAGATTATTAATTTTCATAAATAGAAAAAATTGAGTAATAATTAAGCATATTAATCATTTGGCTTTGTTTGGGAACATCGTTTTCAATTATCGTTAGCGTTTTGGATAAAATTTTAATAGTGTAGATTAATTTCAAAAATGCTAACTCTAAAGGCTACCGTCAGATAGCCTTTTCAAAATGCTAACGCTATGCTGATGTCAAACGGGGCCAAAGTCTATCCAAATACTCTCACCCCAAAACAGTCGCCGTCACCGTAAACAACACACACTCAGAAACACATACTAAAAACACAATTTTTTTCCTTTTAATTCTCTCTCAAGAACCGAATGTCAATCTCACCTTCTATAATACATCATCATCATCAATCTGAAATTCTGAATCTTTATTCCCACAATCCCACGCGCCGCTCCCTCCTCCACGCGCAACCGCCACCTTTCTTTTTTCTCTGGCCTTTAAAAAAAGGAGAAAAAGGGGATCCACAGTTAAAGAAGAAGAAAAGAAACTAAAGAGAGAAGAAAAAAAAGAAAGTTGGGACTTTTAACACTCATCGCCTTTATCGTGGGGTTTGAATTCAAATGCTCCAGCTGAGACCGGAAACCAAATGGGTGGAGTGACGTCGTCCATCGCCGCTAAGTTCGCCTTCTTCCCGCCGAACCCGCCGTCCTACACGGTGGCCGCCGACGAATCCCGCGCCGGGAAGCTTCACATGCCGGAGGTTCCGGCGAGGGACTCCGTCGACGTCTTGAAGCTCCGAACTCGGAAGGGGAACGAGATCGTGGCCGTCCATGTGAAACACCCGAAGGCGACGGCGACCATGCTTTACTCCCACGGCAACGCCGCCGATTTGGGGCAGATGTTCGAACTCTTCGTCGAATTGAGCCTCCGCCTTCGGATCAATCTGATTGGGTATTTAAATCTATCAGTCTTTTCAATCTTATTTATCCATATCTGCTGATGAATTTAGGAAACATCTGGATTTAATTGCTGTGATGATTGGCTATTTACAGCAAAAAGATTCGACCTTTTTGTTACCCATGTTGACTATTTCTGAGCTCAATCAGTTCTTCTTGCTAGAAGAATCCAGCCATGTTTTTTGTTTTTTCTGAGTATAAATGAAGCTTTTGAAATTAATGTTAAGAAGGTGACATTTAATTCTTTCTGGACTTGTATGGTTTCCATTTCTAGCCCCCAAAAAACTTCCATAGATACTAGCATTTCTCTTCCCATATTATTTGGAGAATAGTTTTGATTGAAACAATCAAGCTGTTGTATTTAAGGAGCTTGTTTTCTAATATGTTTGTAAATTATTTTCTTTTAGGTATGATTACTCTGGATATGGGCGATCAAACGGAAAGGTAAGATGTACATTTCCTTTTGAAATGCATAGTAGCTTATTTAGTTTTGTTTCATGTTTTTCACAGTACTAAACATTTCGAATTTTTGATCCATATTTAATGCAAAACATAGGCCTTTTCTTACCAGTCATGACTTAATTCCTCCTCTAGACTTAAAAGTTAAGACTTAAGACCAAAGACTCGATTTTTAACACTCAAGACTCTATATCCCACACTAAAGACTATAGATCCTACCCCTCAATCCCCCCACGGATCTCTCCTTGTATGCCCCTTAGCCTTTCATGAAGCGTACCGGCTAATAAGGGGGACTAGGGGCGGATTGGGAGGGGTAACTAAGGGGATTGAGAGTAGGAACCACTCATGGGTGTCCTAGTATGACACCCATTATGGGTGTCAAGAAATGCAGCTCAATGTTCAAAACATAATTCAGAGCATACCATTTTTTTTCATCTTTTTTTTCTTCCTGAGACAGCCCAGTGAATGCAACACATATGCCGACATTGACGCGGTCTATAAATGTCTGAAAGAGCAGTATTTTGTGAAAGATGAACAGTTGATATTGTATGGTCAGTCTGTGGGCAGTGGCCCCACTATTGATCTCGCATCGCGCGTTCCGAATTTGAGAGGCGTCGTTTTGCACAGTCCGATATTATCTGGGCTGCGAGTGTTGTACCCCGTTAAGAAGACATATTGGTTTGACATTTACAAGGTAAATTGGCCTTTTATTTACCACTCAAGACTATTCCTTCCATTTTTCTTCCCACCCTGACTTTCACTTCATTTCAGAATATTGACAAGATCAGTATGGTGAAGTGTCCTGTTCTTGTCATTCATGTAAGTTGGCTTCCTTGTAAATCAAAATTACATATAAGCCCTCAATCTGTTCTTTAATTCCCTTCATTTTTACAATGAAAAGTGTTGGGCCATTCAAGAATTCACCTTTTGTTTTCCTCCTGCAAAATATTAGGGCACAGCGGATGAAGTTGTGGATTGCTCCCATGGGAAGCAGCTGTGGGAGCTCTGCAAGGAAAAATATGAACCTATATGGATAAATGGAGGTGGGCACTGCAATCTGGAGCTTTATTCAGAGTACATCAAGCATCTGAAGAAGTTTGTTCTGAGTCTTGGGAAATCAAAGCCGGCTGCTATAAATGCATCTTCTCAAAAGCCTCCAACTGCTGCACCAGTATCCGAAAACTTGGCCAAAATAGCCGAAAATGGCCCCCCTCCCTCTCCTCCACCACCACCAGCAGCAGATAGATTTGATTTTCGGCCTGATGTTCCGGAAGTATCTAGAAACAGTTTGGATAGCCGTCTGGAGAAGTCTAAGAAGCCTAACAAGACCGAAAAGTCGCGAATGAGCACTGATCGCGTGGACAGATTTAGGAGACGAAAGGGCTTAGTGTGGTGAGTGAGTGAGTGATTTGCTTCTTCTGATGAGATATACATGCCATAATAGTAAATCTGAGGTGAAAACAAGAAGCTGGTGATCCTTTTTTCTTGTAAAAAAAATGGCTGTTTATTGTACAACCAGAAAGAGTTCTTCAATAGCTTTGTCCTTCCTTTCTTTTATTCTTTCCATGTATAAGTAGCCATCCCCCACCCACACTCCCAAATGCACAAGCTTGAGGTTGTTTCCAATGTAGAGGCTCTACTTGGTTGTAGGAAAAAGTCTGGGTGAAAGTGTTTTTACCCTCCTCTCTGATCTACCATAATTTCTACAACAAATCTGTAAAGTTACCCTGCACCGATAAAAATGTTTCGTTGTTTCACCAACAAATTATATCTTCTTTCAATACATATATCATCAATAATTTGTTGCAATAACATTTAACTAATTGACATGAAAGCAATTTTAGTCAGACATTGTAAATTGAAACAAGAATACAATGAGAAATCTATTTTTGGGACCGAAGAAGTAAAACCAATAATCAGATGGAGCATTGGCCATTCTTTCTATCAAGGTGAAAAGCAATTATTACTACACAATTATTTTTACTTCGCATCAAAATACATGCAATTAGTTAAGCTCACACCACATCAAATACTGGGCAGTTAATCACAGAGAAAAAGCTCATACAAGAACCTCTGCAAACCATAAAATTATTACTCCAGTCTTGCAATAAAATTTACTCCACATATTAAACTTGGATTTGCTGCAGTGCCAAGCCATTGCTTGATGATCAACAATCACATCTTCTTGATGACCTTATCATCATCTTCATCACATGTGGATTTGGGTTTCTGAAGGGTTCCAAACATCCAGTCCATCCATATGGTGTAATGACCATAGTTATGGCGATAAGTGGTGTGATGAATGGAATGATAAGCAGCACCCATGACAGGCCACACTTTCCCATCTATACAGTCGTGTATGTTCGTTGTCCATATACATTCGATGAACAACAACGCGATGTGGGTCCTGAGGTGGGTGTGCACGAGGAAGAGAGCGACCACGTGTGGGACCGCCTGCAGGATCCCGTCGATGGGGTTGAAGGCCAGCCCTGCAAAGGGAGACAGCGTGTCTTGCTTGTTGTGAATGTGGTGAGTGGCATGGAGGTATTTGTAGAGCGGTTTTATGTCGTGCAACTCCCTGTGCATCCAGTATATGCCAAACTCGACGATGGTGAGGTAAATGGTAAGGTAGAGAAGGTAGGGGAGGTGCCCGACATTCGCGATGCAAGGGAAGCATTTCGTCCAGCCATGCTCTATCATGTACTCTGAAATGGTTGGTAGAGCAGAGTACAATGGCATTGCCTTCATTGCTACTCCTATTTGCATCAATATTGCTCTCCTGCTTGGGATCCTCTCTGCAACCAAGCAAGCAAACAAGCAATTATAGATACATGATTCCAACCCATATAACATATCTGGTTTTCATTTGTGGTTTAAAGAAGAAATCAAATTGGATTCATGTTGCAACTGGCTATATTGGAAGTCAAAATAATAGCGTACTCGGCCCCCATTTCGACCAGTTTGGCTTTTTTTGAGTCAAATTGAGTGAAATTTGACCTTTATTAAAATAAAAATGGTGTTCCAAAGTTTATTACTCCATGTGAATGAGAATGGCCAAAAGCTCACCTATAAAAATATTTGAAAAAAAGTTCACCTATACAATAGAACGAACACACTCTCTCCGCCCCTTTTTAATCTTCCCTTTTTATTATTCACATAGTATAATTATACACTATCACGTTTCTTTATAGATTTTCATCGATCAAGTGATAAACAAAATATAGTCACGTCATCTCTTATCATCATCTAAAATGTAACAAGGATCTTCAACTTTCAATTGAAACAAATACTCCAAAAAATGTATGCCCAATTGCTGATTTCAATAAATCGTCCCATCTTATTGTAATAATGTTAGTTATCAATCGTTCAATCAAAAGGTGAAATTCGTTTCCTAATGATCATAATTCTATACTAATTTTAGAATTAAAAATCCCAAATGGCTAGATGTATCTAGCCACCCTAGGAGCAGAGGAAAGCAAAGCCGCACGAAATTGATACCTCTAGGGAAGTAAACATGGCGCTTCAAGTAGTAAATGTAGAAACACCAGAGTAAACCGGAGATGAAATACACCAGGCTGCCGCCGATAAGGTTGCGGAGCCACCCCTGCAAGAAGTGAGGGACGGCGGCGAGAACATTTTCCGGTAAGAACGGCCGCAGCACTACCCGATTGTAAAACGACGTCTCCTCCACGAACAGCTTCAGGTAGTTGTCATCCATGGCCGCCCGCCGCAGTCGGAAGCGGATCGGTGGTCGGAGGAGTCCGGCGGAGATCGCGAGGAAAGGAGGAAAAGTGGTCGCCCGGTCCAATGATTCAGTTAAATATAGGGCGTACAATTGGGTAATTAAGTATGCTGCGTATGGTTTAGTTTCAAATGCAGGTGCCAAATAAATACTTACTCCTTATTTAAATTATTTTTCTAGTTAGTATTCATATAGTTAAATTTAAATTTTTTTATACTTATTTTTATTTGTTATTTGATAAAATAATATAATCTTGTCACCTCTTGTTTTAAAAAAAACTTTTGACGTGGTTTTAAATATATAAATTTTATTTTTTAATTTACCCATACAATCAAATAAATTAAATTTAAAATAAAATCAATCAAATCTCGTAAACACAAATAGGAAGATAATTTAAGGACAGAGAGAATATAACAAAAGATTTACAAAACTAATAATGAGATAATTATATTATTTTTTTCAAATGACAAATAAAAAAAAAGTAATGAAATCTGACAATGTGAATAATAAACAAATAATTTGATTTGAGACAGAAGAAGTATGTACATTTGTACTACTACGTATTTTATACTCCATATTTCTTCAATTTTGGAATTAACCATCTTTAAAAGTAATATGCCCCGAACATTTTTGTATTTATGGTCTCTGTAAAACAAGTTAATGTTAATTCATTAATGGTTTATTATCTTAAAATGAATTAAATGTGTATTAATCAATTAAAGTCCGTGTATGTGCAGCTTAAAAAATATAGGAAATTTGTATTTTAGAAGTCAAATTAAATGAATTTTGATGATCAACTAAATAAAAAATTAAGTTATTCGTCTAGTACGAAAAATAAATTATTTAGAACTATTTTGTAAAACAATTAAGAAAATACTCCATTCGTCCCACAAAAAACTTCTCATTTTGACTTTTAAAGAATTTAAGGAGAGTATATTTTGGTATTGACTTTCTAAAAGTTCCCTTTGATGTGATAGATAAAGCTAAGTAGGATGTGATGAGTAGATTAATATAGAAAAAGAGTGATGTGATAGCCTGATAGGTATGTTAAGAATTACTAGGGGTAAAAGTGACTTTTCAATAGAGAAAGGGAAGTGTTTTTTGGAACCGATGAAAAAAGAAAGGAGAATAATTTTCTGAGACGGAGGGAGTGTTATTTTATCAATATAAAATGTAATGTCTAATTTTTTAGTTCAATGTAGTTTCAATTTAAACGATGATCAAAATTTAATCTAATTTAGCTACAAGTATAAAAAATGGACAAACATATTGTAATAACTTTGAGATAACGTAAAGCATTCTTTCTGTCTCAAAATATGTGCCATATTATATTCTTTCTGTCTCAAAATATGTGCCATATTATATAAAACAGAATGAAATTTTAATTTTTTGATTCATTTTATTTAAGTATTGATATAGAAATAAAATATTAGATTTATGCCAAGTATATTTAAAAACAAGTATCGCAAGAATATTTTATTTTTATAAAATACTCAATAAAAATGTACAGATAAATAAATAAATTGTAATTGTTAAATACTCCGAACATGTTAGTCCATAGAAAGTATGAGAAAATTTACCTTTTATACGTGGACCACGAAAGAACAACTAATAATTTGTCTTTATATAATTAATAACTAAAATTTATCCAATTCTATTCTGGAATAGCAAAGATTTATGGTTGTAGATGTGCTCGCTCAAGTAAATTAAGGAGAGCAGTTTTTGTATGTATGTTGGCAAGAAGGTCAACAAAAAAAAGTGCAAATGAAGAAATAGGCCAATATGGGATGCCATTAATCAAAGTATAAGAAAAATTTATCTTTTCTCAATGACCAAATACGGAATACTTTATACGGAGTATGTTTTATGGGATGCCATTAATCAAAGTATAAGAAAAATTTCAACGACTCCAAGTGGATATAGGTGAACCAGTTTTAACCATTATCAAATTTTAATTTATCTCTTCTCAGTGACCAAATACGGAATACTTTATACGGAGTATGTTCATTGTATAATCTTCATTTTAGATTAAGGGGCTGTTTGTTTCAGGCTCTTAATGGTTCAGATGTCTGAATGGTTCAGCACTTAATGGTTCAGACCGTTTGTTTCAGCTTCTTAATGGTTCAGATGTCTGAATGGTTAAGAGATTTGCCTCTGAATGGTTAAGTATTATACAGAGTCTGAATGGTTAAGACCTCTTATCTGAATTGATCAGACATTTGCCTCTGAATAGTTAAGCAATATACTAGCTCTTAATGGTTCTGACCTCTTACTGGTTCAGCACTTAATGGTTCAGACCTCTTACTGGTTCAACACTTACCGATTCAGAAGTTGCCAAACAGCCCCTAACTCATGGCAAATGGACTTATGTGCTTATGTTCATACATTTGTAGAAACTTTCAAAACTTTTTAAACAAGATAGATATTTCATATTTGTGTTCATTTTAAGAAAAGAGTTATATATATGTTAGGCACTAATTTTTAAAAAAATCAAAAATGTTTTAAGAAATAAATAAATGAACACTATTTTTTCTTATTTCAATAAACTAGAAAGTCTAAAACGTCAATACAAGGAATAAAATTTTTAAATAGAAAGTGTGAAAGAATACTATATGATCAATGATATATATATAAAACTAGGCGGAGAAGAAAAAAATACTCCCTTCATCCCAAAATGTAAACAACAATTACTATTTCGATTTCTTGAAAACTTTTGTCTTGGTAACTTATTTAATAAAATAAAATATTCTTGTTGTATCTTATTTTGTAGAACCTTTGATCTATTTTTGAATGGTGTAATTTTTACTTTTTACTTTTCTACCAATTTGTAAATAAAATGATTTTAAAAGAGATTATATTTTACACATCGTTCAAAATGTTCCTTACATTTTGGAACAAAGGAAGTACAATTTTAAATGCTTTTATTAATTAAGAATATTTACATTAATATAATAAAAGTATTTTTATTATAATTGTAATTGACTGGGTCATTCACTTGATTCAACCCAATCCGATCGGTAAACTCTTAAGTCAATCGGTTTTCAATACATTGATCAGAATCCCTATTTGGGATTTTACCAGTAGGTTTTTTGAATGCCAATTTGCTATACAACTAGGTTGTTTTATTTTGGATTAAGTACCTTCCCATCTCAAACAAAGGTGAGGAGAAATACTCACTATGACTTACCATTCCTTACTCTTAACACTCAATTCAAACAAACCTTAACTAGAACAGGTAAAATGAAACACAAAGAGTACATTGGTTTCTAAATAAACTCCAAATCTGCAAAGCAATTAAGTAATCATAACTCAATTAAAGACAATTGCTATGAAACTATGATAGTCCGTTTTTTGCCTTCTACTAAAACAAAATCGCATTCGCAAAGTCATGATAATTACGCGTACACGAGTAATTACGAAAAGAAACTCGATAAATATTTCATGAAAATCTAACATGACACTTACTAAAAAACAAAATGAGGTAACTGTATAAGAAGTTACCTTAAAATGTCATTTGCAGAAACGAGCAGCTGTGCCTGTTGATAATAATTACATCCGAAGAGAATCTCACACAGCTCCAATGATGGTAGACATCAGAAGTATTTCCTCTCTGCCAGTCGGTGCTACGTTCAAGCAGTACTGAGAGCACGCTCTATCTCCTCCAGAGAACGGCCTTTCGTCTCAACAACATTCCCAGCTATGTACATTACTGCAAGAGCACACACCGAAGCAAAGCCCAGGTACACCGTGCTGATCCCAAATTTATTTACAACGCTCAGGAAATACAGACCAATCACAAAATTTGATATCTGTCAAAGAAAACCAATTCCGAATGAGTTTGGGAAAAAAAAGTGGTTGTGGCTCTTACCAATCACACCTTGCTTTACATTATTTCCAACTACACAACTCATTGTGTTTAAAATGGTAACTAATACGAAACATTTAAAATAATGCTCAGAATCTTCTTGTGTTTGTGATCTATTGGAACTTGAAAAAGTAAGTAATGCGAAGCATTTAGAATAGTGCTCAATAGATATCTGTCTCAAAATAATGAGGATCCGTTTGGATTGTGGGACTTCAAAATGTTGGGAAAATAAAATTGAGGATAATATACAGAAATTTTGGAATGAAAGAAAATATGAGGAAATAAACATTGGTTCAAATTCATTTTTTTAAATATTTGCACACAGTAGTTTTATTTATCTATTTCTATTAATCTTATACAAGTACTTGGCAAACTAAGCATGTGTAGACTACTATTCTCTTCAACTTATTCTTATTACTAATTACTAAATCTTATTGGAATAAAGTCAACTAGGATCAGATCAGGCCAGCTCATACCAGATCAGAACCTTAATAAAATCATATTAGATCTAATCAGATCGGACGAAGAGAAGAGCTTCTATTTAAACCAATTATCATTTTTCACTTTTCTCTGCATAATTTTGATGTAAAATCAAACACAACTAAAATCGCATTTTTTTTAATCTTTCCCTAGATATCCAAATATAACCTAAGAAATGCTACAAAATATCTGATCATGGCTTACCCAATGCATTCCCAAGGATAAGGCTACTGCTTTTGCTCTGATTCTGGAAGCAAATATTTCGGGAAGCAAAAGAGCAGGCACGGGACCAGCACCAAGTGAAAAGGATAATACATAACTGCATTATTGTGGAAAACAAGAATACATGTCATAACAGACCAGTTTAAGCCAATGAGAAAACAACATATCCAGTGTATCCTGCTACATCAGGGTGGTAAGATATTCACAGACTTTGCATGTAACCCAAAAGGGTAGGGAGGCTGTTTCCAGGAGAAACCCCTGGCGTGTAAGAACAGTTGGTAACTGTAGGAGAAAAGGGAGCAAGAAAAAATAAACTTGCGCCTCTGTTTGGGTAGTATCTTTTTTTTAATTAATGCCACAAGCGTGTTTTATTGATTACCAAACATAAAAGCATCAACAATGAACTGTGGTGGGATCGTAACTACATCAAATGTAGAACTAGATGTCCTTTCCAAGAGATGGGCTACCAGCCTACCATGTTCGCTGAATTTCTATCAACAGATAACTAATCCGAGGTAAATCTCCTCATTAAAAGCTTACAATCAGTAACCATGGTATCAAAATAAGAACGACATGACATATTGGCCAAAATTGCATGTTTCACTAACAAGCTATCAGTCTCAACAATTACCTCTTTTATCACATAGGACAATGCAAGCTATGTAAAAAGGAAGTACTTACAGAACAGTGCCGACAACAGCAAGTGTCCCAGAATATGGTGCCAATACCTTCCATGTAAAGGACAGGGAAAGCAATAGCATTGATGCCGCCTATAAAATACATAGGTTTGATTAGAAAAAATCCAAGGTAAATAAACTGAAAGCATGAAGTTACAGCACAAAGAAACATTCAGAAAGTTTTTGACAGGTACACCATACTTTGATGCACACAATACATAGAGAAATTTCTGAGAACAAACAAAGCAGACGAAATCATGTCACTTATACTGTGTTGAAAATGGAGAAATTGTAATTTCAAAAGCCAAATTCAATGTATTCCCAGTATTAGAAGTAGCCAACAGACATAATACTAACTCCCAAAAGAAGTCAAAGCTTGGTTAAACTGAATAGACCTGATGCACACTAATTGCCTTTGGCAGCATTGAGGAAAAGGATTTTTTTTAAATTACGATGTGCCACTTTCTTTACCCTAAACTTGTTATGTGCTTTTGCCGTGCTCTGTGCTTTCTGTGCATTATGTGTTTCTCAACCCGGGGATCTCACTTGAAAACATCCTCTCTACTTTTGAATGGAGGCAAGGTTTGCGTACACACACTGTCCCCACACCGACCTACTTTCGTAGGATTCTACTGGGTTGCTGTTGTGCGATGCGCCTTTTAAGTTTTAACAGTTTTAAATCCAATTCTTTTATTTGTAATGATTTAGAAACCAGAAAGCTTACCAAGAGAAGGCGATCAAAAACCACAAATGAATTTATTAAAAGTCAAAACCATAAACTGTGTAAAGAAAATATATAAAAACCAAAGTCCAGCACTCCAGCCACAAGTAATGTCTGGGTAAATACTTTGTATCAATAAGTATAGAGGTGGCACATCTATATTCTCACTAAGCAATTTCAATCATAACTTTATAGGCAATCAATAATGAACTAAAAATATATTGAAGGTTGACTTTTAAAACCAATTTCTTAAATCCAGCTGTCACCAGAAGCACTATTGTAATTTTAACCATATGAGTTTAATTGATCTCTGAAGAAAACAAGAGAAAAAAAATAATACTACCTCTTATTAGAGTATCCGTCCAGTTTGACTTTATTTAGTCAAACTCAACAAATTTTGATCATCAATTGATACAAAAATACTTTCCATCATCTCCGATGGAGCCAAAATTTCACCAATTTTTGGCTTTGGGGTGTGATGGAATAAATTAAAATGGATCTCTAAACTGTCTGCGCTTCTTTAATTAATGAAGTAGCAGTTAGTTAAGCAATGCAACTTTCGACGTTGAGCCGGGGGTCTCTTTGGAAACAACCTCTCTACTTTCGAGTAGGGGCAAGGTCTGCGTACACACACCCTCCCCAGACCCTACTCTTGTGGGATTTAACTGGGTTGTTGTTGTTTGTAATTGATACAAAAATGATTTCATTATATATATACTTTGCAAAAACTTCCAAGAAACTATTACATTGTATTAATATACAATGAAATTTTTATTTATTTGAGGATCAAAATTTGTATAGTTTGACTAGAAAAAGTCAAACTGGCCGAATTCCCTATGACAGGCAGGAGTAATACTCAAGTGTGCAAACATTACCATTCCGGAAAAGCTGGTTAGCAAAAGACTCTTTCTTCCCTGCTTATCCATTAAAGAGGATGCCACCATTGTGCCTGTAGGGAGATTAAACATAGCAAGATGATTCATACCAGTTCCCAATGACGGAGTATATCAAATAAAACGGCAGAACTCAGAAGACTGACCAAAGACATTGGATGCTCCAACCAAAGCACTCGCTGCAACATCAGAAGTAATTCCAGCACTTCGAAACACAGATGTAGAATAGTACACCACAGCATTAATCCCAGCCAATTGTTGGAATAAAAACAATGCCGCCCCAACACTGACAACTGCATATTGATTTTATGGTTGGAAAATTAGTGTACCACGCACACACATATTCCAGATAAAGGACCCAGGCATGGGACATGGTGGTACTAAGGCAAACGTATATTAATGGGAACTCAAAAAGGATGAATCAGTGCTTATTACAGTCTAGTGTTTTCAAGCCAAACATGCTTGCATATTGTTGGGATGCCAAACCAAATCCAAGGAGTCCAAAGTAATTTCAGTATAAAATGTTGAAAACATTGTTTAAAAAAATACAGTATGACAATGGATTTTTTAAGTGGAAACTCAAAAGGAAAAAGCACCGGTCTTTTTAGGTGGTTCTATGCTAAAGCGGAGAGTGGTAGTACAATGTGAAGCTTGCTTCTATACCGTGGAGGCTCCTAAGCTTGTTTGTACGTGCAAATTGGGTTATACCCAAATTTCCAACAGGTGCAGATAAAATGTACAAATGCAAAGACACAATATGTTTCCATATTGTCCAGTCAAATACAACTTCATCTATGCTTGCAAAATGCACTGCATATTACCAGCATCATACTTCAACGTAAATTAGCATTTAATCATACTGTGCATGAGTGACCGATATATTAGAGAGCAGCCATTTGTGTGCACAAACATATTCCCCTACAGCTTAATCTCAAATGAATACCTTTGCGATAACGGCTACTGAAAAGATCAAACCACCCAGCTTCTGGTTCTGAAGAGCCTTGAGCAGCTGTATTGAAATCATTCATTACCTCAACAACCCTTTCTTTTCCAAAAAGTCTTTTTATGGATGTTTCAGCTTGAGGGATTTTCCCTTGCTGCAATAGAAAAGTACCTAGTTTAGTACAACTGCAAGCTATCTAATGATTTCTTATTTAAACACAAAGTATATGAATAAAGCATGCTTAAGATCATATATAGAAAGTTGGCAATATGCAGTACCAATAGGCAATAACGCAATATCTAGCAAAAGAAACCTGATAAAGCCACCGGGGACTTTCGGGAGAAAATGCCATTCCGAGGGCAAGTAAAACAGAAGGAATAACAGCAATACCAAACATTGTCCTCCACCTGCAAACAAGAGATGTGTAGATGAATAACAATGAATAATAGAAATTCTAGAGTGTTAATGTCTCGAGGAGGAGCAACAGGTGTCTCTAAACAGGCAAAAATATACAAATTTATTTCCAGACAGTCTAGATCACCACTTTGATGTTCTAAGCATCTATAAGAAGCTTACCACAATGGATTTCCAGCTAAAGGCAATCCTGCAACAAGTGCTGCAAGAATCCCAACACAAATGAACAACTGGTTGACAGACCCCAGAGTACCACGAATTTCAGTTGGTGATATCTAAAAACAGAGCGTATGTTAGTAAACAACAACAGTGTCAATTTCAAAATAGTAATCAAATTCATATGCACAAGAATGTTGGCAGGGTTATACCTCAGATATATAAAGAGGGACTATGGCTGAAGAGATGCCAATTCCAATTCCAGCAAGTAAGCGGCCAATGATCATTGTTTCTACACTCTGAGCTGTGGCACTGGAAATTTTTTAAAACAGTAATGAGAAACTGAAAGTAATGCTAAACATAAACATTGTAAATAATTATTAACACTGAAGAACATACCATAAATAAGCACCGATTGCTAATGGAATTGCATCCAAAATAAATGACTTTGTTCTGCCAAACTTATCAGCCAATGTTCCCCCAGTAAATGAACCAAAAGTAGCACCAGCAAGACTTGCACTAACAATCCATCCTGTCAAGAATATGAGAAATATAGATTTGGTAAATATGTGGCACGCGGGACGGGCTCGGGCAGCGGCAGCTGGGTTTGAGATAGGAATTGATCAGATTTCGAAGTGGTTCTTTCTATGACCCCTCTCAATTGAGAAGAGACGAAATATAATTATTAAAGTAGGTCTAATTATAAAATTTAACATTTAATTTCTTTGTTAATGGCTTGGTTATCCCACGTAGCCAAGCCAGTCTAGCACCTAGCCATCACTTATACCATAAAACCAACAATGAGCATATCAAAAACCACTTGATCAAGAAGACCTGCCTTGTGCCACAGCATTCTCGGCAATACCAAGATCCTTGGACAAATACTCCAGAGCACCATTCACCACTCTGCACCACACAAGTAGCCCATTCTTAATAAAGTTTAAAAAATAAAAGGTTTAACAAACAAACCAAAGTTGCTTTCATGTTTTGGAATTGTGTGCATAATTACCATAAAAATGATAGACAATAACAACAACAAACCCAGTAAAAACCCAAAAAAGCAGGTCTAAAAATCATTATCATTACCTAATATCTGGATTATATGTAGATGAAGAGGTAGAAAAGAAGACATTAAGAAATATAATAACTAATAATGCAGTAAAAAATAGTAAATGAAAAACAGAGAGGTGATACCCTAGATGATATCCAAAAAGAACTGCTCCCAAACATGCAACACCGACGTATGGCAACACGGAGCCTGATGGCTTGACATTGCCTTTAAGGGGTGCTACTGCCTCAATATCCCCTTCTGTTTATAACAATAAAGGATTGGTACTGATTAACTCAAAAAAACGAATGCTCAGGTGACCCACTTTCTGGAAGTAAAATACATAGAAGCTAGAACCACCTACCACATGTGCAACCCTCTCACATCAAGAGTAAACCCAATACATCAAGATTCACTTTTCAATTTAGAGTCAACAGAAGTTGAATAATTAGTATTGAGATTAAAATTCTACACCAAAATTCACTTTTGAATCTAGAGTATCTTGAAGTTGAATAAACTATTATACAGACTGAAATTCTACACCAAATTGGTAGGTTATAATGACATGGGAAGATGCAATCGTCATATATGTAAGCATATTCTCTTCTTCTCGTATTCCTGGTCAGAAAAGTTGGATATAGTCAGCGCAAAGTTGATCTACTTTCCCTCCCTCCCTCCATGAATAAGGTACTGTACACATAATTCTTTTTTAATATGGAGTATGTAGTAGGGAAAAATAATAAACAAAGTGAAATTCAGTTTTTGGACCAACAAAAAAGAAAATGTGGGTACTCAAACACAGTAAAATCACATATTCACGTACCAGAAGCGTGAACATTGATCGTCCTGTGCTTGGCCGATCCTCCAAAGACGCTCTGTACCCTGGCTCGAGCCCGGCCTAGCTCGATTCCCATGGAAGCGGAATCGATCTTGACGCCGAAACAGCTACTCCTCTCTGTCATGGGGAGATTGCTCCGGGCTAAAATCCTCCCACAGTTCAAGCTTTTAGATCCTTCTGAGCCTCGATGCCGAATCTGACGTCCAAATCCAACGTCTCCTTTGAATGCATAAGCCGAGGCTTGCATCTTAGCAGTTTCGCTGGTCAACCCTACTAAATATACGGGGAGTAGTATTTACCAAAAAGTCAGACGCAACAGTTAAAAGCAAAATTATACGAAGAAGTAACAAATGCAATGCCCGATTAAGCTCCAATAAGGATTGTTTTCGGAACATCGCCGGAGAATCCTCACCGATTTGAAATAAACCCAGACGGTGAGGTGATAGAAACGAAACATCGGATCCAAACTGAGAAGCGATGAAATTGGAGGATCAGTTGTAAAAGCGGAGTGAATTGAGAGCGGAACTTACCAGGATGGGAGTTGATAACGACGGCGGAATGCAACATTCAAGCAGGAGGAGAGCTGTGTGCCGATGAGCTTGAGTTCGAACTTTGTGCGGGGGGGAATGCGGGAGGAAGAAGGAGATGGAACGGATGAAAGAGAGAGGCTTAGAAGCGGGCGTCGAAGTCTGAGCAAACAGGGAAAAGAAATTGTAAATGGAAATTGGAGGAAAGCTTGCAGGAGTGGCGATGGACGGACGAANGGGGGGGGGGGGGGCATCCGGCATACCAACAGCAGGTCGAAACGGTACCGCGGTTGGGCTCTGCGACCCTTATCTTTCTCTTTTTTTTATGTTTTAAAACCATCACCGTTGCAATTTTTCGGTATAAAAGGTGGAATTGCCCAACCCAGGCGCCCCACCCCCTTGCCCGACAGGAACGGTGGAGGATGTAAATCATGGTGACTCAGTCGGCCAAGAACGCTAGACCCGTGCCCACCGCGCACAAGGAGCCTCCTCACCCTTTATGGGATTTTTGGATAGCTCTCACACTGCCGCTTGCGGGACTCAATCCCTGGTCATCGGTCCAAGATTTCACGCTCTTGACCAACTGAGCTACCCATGCGGGCACCGTTGCAATTTTTTTTATTACGAAGGTGTTGTAGTTTTTCGCACTCCTTTCGTTCTATAACTATCTTTTCGTTTGTATTTACGAGGCTTGATCAATTTTATTTTCAATTTAATTTATTTGATTGTAAGTATAAAATTAAAAAATAAAATCTATGTATTTAAAAACTACATCAAAAGTTCTACAAAACAAGAGGTGACAAGACTATATTATTTTATTAAATAACTAACGAAAATAGGTAAAAAAAGTGATTTAAGTTTGACCATGTGAATAGTAACTGGGAAGATAGTTTTAAGATGGAGGGAATATTTCATTCTATTATCAAATACCTCATAGTATTATATTTGTGTTGTGCAAAAAAAAAATATTGTATTCGTGATCTTTGTTTTTAAGTGTGTTTCTTGATAATTCTTCTTTTCATGTTTGGTCATATTGGTGTTAATTGTTAAGCTATAATTTCCCACAAATCTTACATACTTCATGTCAGAAAAGATATCATCATTGATGTATTTCTTGTATGTTGGAGTCGTCGGCTCCCAGCAATCATAGTCCACAACATCTAAGTCTGTAGTCATAGTCATTCCTATAGTGTGGTTCGTCAAGCCGACACTAGAGCACATTGTTGGATTTAAGGTCGTTGTGAAATTACGCTTTAGGCAAAAGAGTATCCGTCGAAAAGTACCCGTAAACGAACGTAATAGTTACTAATAGAAGTATAAATATGAAAAATCTTAAATTTTAAGTGACCAAATATAATGTTCGCTATTTATTTATTTTACTTCAATAGGAAAATTAAAAAAAGGAAAAACAAAGTCTCATATATACATCAACCACATACAAACAAAACTCTACTAACTATTAATGGCATCCTTGAAAACATCTTCATGGTTGAACGTTAGCGTTATGAAATTATTGTCTAAACGACAGTGTTGAGTTGCGATGTTTTCAAAGTTAATTGTACTATAAAATTTTTATCCAAAACACTAATTTTTTAAAACGCATTGTTCCCAAACAAGACATAATAACACAATCCCTCACCACACAACACATTTTGTTCTACAATCATTCCTAGCTCTCCGTATCCAACTCTTATAGAATAAGTATTTCGAATCACATACACATTATACTTCCTTTGTTCCTAAAAGATAGCAACAATTTAATTTTGTGGCCAAATAGTGGCATTCTTTGACCACGAATTAAATACTCCCTTCATCCCACTATCTTTGTCCACTTACCTTTTGACACAACATCCAATGCACTTCTTTAATCCATTTTATCTTGTAATATGTATATTAAGTAGAAATTATATATTAATAATCTATATGTTAAGACAAATCAAACAAGATCACACATGATTATATTTAGGCTTACACATTGAGAGAATTTTATGAGTCAAAGTGCTTAGATGAACAATTCCAAAAGTCAAAAGTGGACAAAGAGAGTGAGACGGAGGTAGTATAGTTTAAAATAAATAAATATTATAAAAATTTGATTTTTCAAAACTACTTTTTAAAATAAACCCAATTTTACTAAACTTACATTATAATTAAATATACTTTTTCTATAATTCGTGGTCAAAAAGACTATGTTTGACCAAAAAAGTCAAACTGTGACAATCTGGCGAAGGGAGGATAAGGGAGGATATTAATACATACATACATACATATACACACAAACACACACACATACACACACATTATCTACAAAAGAGTTCCTTAGTTGTAGTTTTGACACGCACGTGGCCCATGACATGGCAAATATTTATGCTAAGCTGATCTTTCTCCTACCGCGATGCTTATAGCGGTGCAAAAATATTTATGCTAAAATGATCTTTCTACTACTCCCTCCGTTCATGTATGATCTTCCCATTACGCGTTACGAAGTTTGACCGACTTTATTTTCAATTCAATTTATTTGATTATAGGAGTAAAATTTTAAAATAAAATTTATATAGTAATAAACTACATGAAAAGTTCTACAAAACTAGAGGTGACAAGAATATATTATTTTATGAAATGACTAGTAAAATTGAGTAAACAAAGTGAGTAAAATTTGACCCTGTGAATAGTGACTGGGAAGATCTATGGTGAACAGAGGGAGTATTTAATTAACATAAAAAGGTCTTAGCTTCAAAAATTTTCAATTTGCAAGCTAGTCTATAATAGCAGGATGATACGAAGAAATATCAAAAGGTATTCGAATTTGATTCCTAAGAGCTACGCTAGAATTTAATTATGTTCATCATAGAACTTTTTTATTTCAGTTAAAACCATCAAGTGTTTAAAAGTTTTCAAGGTTGATCTTAAAATTTTATTCTGTTTGATAATAAAAAACTAAAAATGTTAGAAATACTCCAAAATGTATATTTCAAATGTACCACAAAGCTCTCCACAACACAATTAATTATTGATATAAAAAAATTAATAAATATATAAAAATACTTCTTCCGTCCATACATAAACTTTACATTGCGTGTTACGATGTTTGAATGAAGTTATTTTCAAATCATTTTATATGAAAAATGGTGTAGAATTGAAAAATAAAAATTACATATTAAAAAACTATATCAAGAGATCTACAAAACTAGAGGTGACATGACTATACTATTTTATCAAATGGCTGACGAAAATAGGCCAACAAAGTGAATAAAGTTTCACCACATAAACCGTGAACGTAAAGTTTATTTGTGGATGGAGGAAGTATACGATTAGAAAGAATTTATAATCAATACGGAGTAACGTTTAAAACAAAAGGAAAGACGCAATCACTCATCTCTCTCTCTCTCTCTGACTTAAACGTTCAAAATTTCTACGCCTTTCCCGACTTTCTTCCATCCGACCGTTGCAACATCAATTTCCGAAAAGAAGAAAGAAAAACCTCAAACCAGAGCATCTGGCTGCCAGAGAAAGAGAACCAAGAAAACCCTCCCAAGAAGATGATGGGCGAGTCTCTCGACTCAAAATCTCTGCTTCTCTCCCAGTTTTCAAGCTCCGACCAGCCGCAATTCTTGCAGCTCGCGACGGAGAGCTTCATGTTCGAGAGGGGGCCGAGGTACAGAGCCTACGCCGATCTCAGGGAATCGAAGCTCAGACTGAAACACACGAAACAGCCCGTTCCCGTTGAAGAAGACGAAGAGGAGGAGGATTTGATGGTATCGACTCCTCCTCCTCCCCCCAAGAAACAGGTCAAGTTTCAGGGGAGTGTGGTTACCCCGCCGAGGAGATCTAGGGGGTCCTCTGTTTTGGCCCAGTCGGTGCCGGATTTCTCCTACGCCTTGAGGAAGGAGAACCGGAAACCGCCAGCGCCGCCGGTGGTTGAGAAGTCGGCCACGCCTCCTCCCCATGGGAGGAAAAGTGGGAAGCTTGTTGGGGCTGCGGGGAGTAAGTCTCTGAATTCAGGGGATAAGAGGAGTGGCGGGGGGTTGATGGCGAGGAGGAGCTACGCTTGTTTGGAGGAGTTTAAAGGGCTGGCTTCTGCTGCTAGGAATGCCATTAATGGAGACAATCGAGCTGCTGGGAAAGGAAGAAGTAGCAGCAGAGTGGGTCCCAAGACTGTCTTAGGACATAGACAGCTCTGAAGCTTGTCATTCATGGAGGAAGGGTGTGATGATGTTTTCTTGAGAATGGGTTTCATGTTTTTTACCACTTCTGTTCTTTTCCTTCAATTCTTGAGAATTGAATTTGATTCTATCTTTCAATTTTTTCTTTGTGTGTTTCAATGACCTGAGAAAATGGTTCTTCTACACTCATAAGTCATATATATCAGTTCCCACAATGTATAGTCAGTATAGATGAAAGGGTTTGTTTTTCTTCTGGTTCTGATAGCTCATTCTTATCCTGCATTTTTCTACTATGAAATTGGAATGAAACATGGATGTGTATGCTTTGACAATGTTTCTTATGTTCTGTCTTGTTCTTGTTTTAACTTTTGTGATTTTTTTTTAATAAAAGAAGCAACTCATTCTATGCTGTCTTGCCCATGTGGAAAAAACAGAATTTTTTTCTTTATATCCTAGATGTTTTGCTGCATTTATTGCCCTAAACTTCATAGAAATTATAGGTTTGTTCTATAGCTTTGTACCTCCACTATCATTCCTGAGTCTAAAATTATCTTTTAAAGCTTGAGGGTTATCAGATAACAAAAATTCACAAATATGATGAAAAAAGTCATGACTTTTTTTGAAGGTTGTTGAAGTAATTCACAGAACATCTAAATACGCTTTAAAAGTTCAATGGAATATCAAAGAATTCTTGAAGTTTTTGAAGTCATTAAAAATCCAAAGAACTTCTTGAATGGATAGAGAATACAGCCTCTCAAATGTGATGTATCTGCACAAATGCCCACATACTATGATAGAAGCAATGGTGTAAAAGAACATGACAGACAAATTAAAGAAGCACATGTTTAGACTGCAAACTTTGAGTACAAATGACAGTTACTAACAATGAAATCAGGTGCAGATTTGTCTTTAAAAAATACAGATGCAGAGTTAGTCACTACAATGCTGTTCTACAAACATTCTTGTTAAGATTTGCTGGAGAATGGAATGTTGAGAATGTCTCACAGATCATTTACAACTTCTTCAACCAATTTCTCTACAATTAGATGACCAATCTCAGCACTACATTCCAACACCTCAATATCAAAACCAGTCCATTTCCCCAAAGAGCGATTCATGTCCCATTCCAAGAGCTCATCATGAGCCAAACCCGTCGTTGCGGCCCACAATTTCACCTCCTCAAGAATCTCAAACACTAACATCTCTGTGTTCATAAAAGGTGGTAGCTTTGTCCATGCTCCGAAACCACATTTAGAGTCTAGGAACTCTAACACACAATCAAAGACAAACCCTTTAAATTGATTCTCATGTTTGGTAGACTGAAAGCCAAAGATGTCACTATACCTCATCATTATTACACACGCTAGTGTATCAAGATCCTCAAGAACAAAACGGGTTATGGAAAATTTTCCAACCACCAGTTCAGCGTTTAGAATCACCTCCTTTGCATACTCTAGCTTGCATCCTTTCAAATATCCATAGAAAAGCTTGGACTTTTGTAGAACTTCAGCAATGCTGTTGGAAAGGCCAGTGACGAATGGCTTATAAAATTTGGCTTTGGCTAAAGAAGTGTCTAGAAACTTTGTTGAGCTATCAAGGGGATGAGAGGTGGTATTATTCCGGTTTGATCTTACATTAAAGCCATCCTTGTGGAATTGTCTCTCTGCTGTTAAGGCAGATTTTAGCTCCTGAAGAATGACCGTGGTAGATTTTATTGGCAATGCTGTCCTCTTGTCCACTGGAGATCTAAAAGTGAATGGAGCAATGCCACTATCCTGTCTTGAGCCACTTGGCTCTTTTCCAATCATCGAATAACCTTTCCCTGAACTAAGACTGATGGACCTCGAACTCTCGTTTTGGCAAGTTACATTCATAGACCTTCTCTTACGAGCCGGGGATAGGGACTCGGCTCTCCTATTGGAAAGTCTTCTTTCTGTTTCAAAATCACATCTTTCTGCTTTTGTTGGCATCCTCATTCTAGTGCATCCGTTTGCGCTTTTGTTCAATGCAACGGCATCTTTTGTCTCACTGATAGAATATGCCCTCTCAGGAACTCTATTATATCCCCCTGAAAACATTTGGTTTTGCTTCTGACTATGCTGCATAGGACCAATAATATGCGATGAACTTTTTGTAAAAGCCCTCCTCTCCTTTTGTTCCTGGAAGAAATATGAGGACACTTTAGGCACACTTGTTTCTGAATCTTGACAAGGAATTTGGAAAGAATCTTGTTCTTGGTTTGGTCTGGAGTCCTTAATGTCAAGAGAGTGGCCACAGTTTCTACATGATGAAGGTGGATGCAAAGTGTCTGAGGAGGTCAGGAAATATTTTCCCCTACTCCTCCTCTGCATACCCCTGGGATCAAGAATCTTATTAGCAACGCCTATCAACCTGGTCCCAGGAACGTTCTTAGCACTTTTTAGAGGAGAAGCGAGTTTTGGGTGGTGGTGGTGATTCTTCTTCCTCTTTGATCGCGAAAGCATATTCTTTATTTGCAGTGCCTCGGCTCCAAACCTAGTCACCGGACTCCTCTCACTTGTTCCTGTCTTCTGAATCTTCTGAGGCCTGAAGTCCCGCATCTTCGCAAAAACCCCATCTTCCCCCTCAAACTTATTCTCTTCTTTCTCATTTGTGACTGAAGAAGATTGATCATTCAAACAAACCCTCCTTGGCTTATTGTCTCTTGAAACAGCTGGCATGGAGTCCAATCCCATGAGCCTAGCAACCAGACCGGGAGGTCGCATTTCGTTCTTCTTCTCAGATTTAACACTGCAGAACTTGTTAGTCTTCATATTGCTGGGAAATCCCCCAATGTTCTCATCTGCAATCTACATGGCATTCACATAACCAAAACATCAAATTTTGATAGCCAAGCAGAAGAAAATTTCAAGAAATTCCCAATATTTTCACTTTTGTCGGGATTCATAATTTCATACATACCAATCGAAGCTTCGGGTGCCTCTCTTCTCCCACGAACTTCTTAGAACCTTGTTTACAAAGATCTAACACAAACAACACAATAAAAAATTAAAATCTTAAAAAAAACTAACCTGGTGCAAGAACTAGAGTCATTTAAGAGGTAGCAAACCTGGTGGAAGCAATTTCTTGGGGAAAAAATTCTTCTTGGCAAACCTGCGTTTCCAGTCAAATAGCTGATAGAAGAGACCCACACATCCTCCTCCACTCCTTTGAGGCTTTTTTTCAGTTGCTAAAGCCAATGAAGAAGCTGAAACTCCTCCACTTTCACTCATATCCTTTCTCAACAAACAACACCTCTCAAGCTTCTTTCTTTCTCTCTTTCTTCTCTTATGGTGTGGATTCTCCCAACTCAGAACCTCACCCCCATTTCTCTTCACAAAAAGACAACACTTTTATTCAGCATTCTGTGAAAGCCACTTTCAAAAGTAAAAGGCCACTGAGAAAGAAAACAATGGCAATCCTGGCTGTATCTGATATTCCACAAAGGCTGATGAGGAAATACAGTACGGAGGCTTTCACGAAATGTGTGTATGGCTCAATAATACAGCCGAAGCTGACAAAGGGTCCGAGAGAAATCAAGAAAAGGGTAATTGGGTTTTCAGAGATAGCAATAGAAACAGAATAATCATGATGGGTGTGTGTGTTTTTTTTAATATTGTTTTCTTGAAGAAATTGAGGATTGCGAACAAGCATGAATGGGGGATTTGGTTTGGTTCTTCTCTTGCTGTCGCGCTGTGGCAGAAGTAGCTGATGAAAGGCTGTCCTTGAAAACGGCCGCTCTTTTAGTTTTTTATTTTTTTTATGGAAAGGGGAAATAGGCTGTGGTCCGGGTCGTGTGGTCCAATGGATGCAACCATGTGACCATTTGGGTGTTGGACTGTTGAATCAGATTGTTGTCCATGCTGTTGGTGGCATCACAAAAGTAAAGTCCTATCTAACATCTTATAAATATTTATTTTATTTCTTTGAAAATGTGATTCATGTTTAACTTTTTTTTTTCAAAATCTCTTGCATAGATATAATCTGGCATTAGGGGGAAAATATTATAAAATCATAATTCACATCTTAAACATGAAAAATACACATGTATTTTATTTGTTATTAGTAATAACACACTACTAAAATGCATATTACTCTATAATTTTTTAATATTTATAGCTTTGCCATATCTTTTCAAAGCTTTTTGCTTAGGATATACCTCATCTTTGCACCTTGTAACAAAAAGGTACATCATATTCAACTTATAACGAAAAGATACTTTGAAAAATGTAACAAAAAGGTACTCTTTGCCGGAATTTCAAGAATTCGGTCGGCGAGCGTACATGTGGCGTTCCACTTAGCTTTTTGTGTACAAGTCACATTTCATATGGCTTCCAAACTGACTCGTAATTTATCTAATACTTCCTCTCTCTCTTAAACTCCTTCTCCTTTCTTTTTTTCTTGTCTCACACACTCTTTTCCTTTTCTATTAAATATTCACTTTCACTCCTACTAACCATTACCCTACATATTACACATCATACCTACTAATAATTTATTCATCACATTAAGGGTATTTTTGAAAAGTCAACATAAAAATATCTCTTCTTAAATTCTTAAAAAGTCAGTAAGGAAAGAACATTAAGGGACGGAGGAAGTACTTGATTAACTTTGTATTTAACACATACTCCGTATTTCAAACTTTTTTCTTGTGATGAAAATATGGAGGATATTTTATTGAGAATATTTTAATTTTATTTTTAAATCGTGCTTTCTATAAGATTTGATTTTTAATTTTAGCATTTTGAAAATATTATAATTTATAAGATACTTCATATTTTAAACATAAGTGGCAATAACATTTTAATAATTATCTATAATATATTTTTAAAGATTTATTATAAATTTTATAAAATTTAAATTATAAAAAATATGCCTTATTATTATTATTACTACAACTATGATCATCATCATTATCGAGTATAATTGATATGCGTACTGAGTTTTTATAAGTTATTAACGTATATTTTAGAAGAGATGTTTTTGCAACATCGTGTTTATTTATCTATTAAAATTATAACTCCAAAATATTATAGATATTTTGAAATTTGAATAAATAAGAAACGCTGCCTTTTAAATTACAATAAAGAGAAATATTCAAAAAGTAATTGTTAGTTTGGTTTAAAATATTTTCTAAATATTAAAATGTGATACTGTTGTATAAAAAAATATAATCTAAAAAAAATAGAACATCACGTACAAAGTTAATACCATATATGAGTAGTTACAAATTAATTTGGAAGTCATATGGAATGTAACATGTACACTAGAAATCTAAATAAAACGTCACATGTATGCTCCCCGGCCGGATTTTTGAAACTCCGACAAAGGGTACCTTTTGTTACATTTTTTAAAGATGAGGTACATTTTCGCTACAAGTTAAAGATGGGATACCTTCAATGAAAAAAGCTATCTTTTCGAATATATTCCTTTAGAAACGAATCAATTATGGATATATTTGTTTAACAAATACGGAGTAACAAATATTATGCAATTGGATTCAATTTTTTTGAACAAGAATCAATATAAATGAATATGAATCATGAATCAAACCAAAATTTTTTGGTTAATTTACAACCCTAGGGTGATGTGCCTTGGGTCATAGCTCTGCTGGTCAAGAGGATAGTGCCACTAGAGGTGTTCATTCGGATCGATTTGATCCGGTCCTCTGAGTATCCAAAACTTTCAAACCGAAAAAATCTATTTCATGTCCGATCCGAAAATTTTTGAACATTTGAGTTTCGAATATCCAAAATTTTGGATCAGATCATTGGAATATCCAAAACGAATTTTTATTTTATAAATTTAATTTTATTCATTGATCAGTAGAACTCATATATTATACTTAAATTTAAAATTAAATGTGATTTAAATGTCATTTACCTTGATAGTGTTATCAAAAGTATAATTTTATGAATACATAGAATAATAAATGTCCGCATAATGAACAAATAAAATATGGAGAAAATGACTAATGTATAGTAAGGTGAATTGAATTCAGCTTAGATTTAGCGATATATGATGAAAAGGTGAATTGATCTTAATTTATGTATACGTTTGGTTATTATATTTATTTTTTGAAAATACAAGCTTTGAATATTCACAGATATCTTAAGTCTTAAAGCTTTATTTCAATTCTCATTGGCTAGTTAAAATTAGAATTTTATTTTACTCACTCAAATAAATTGCAGGCCAGATCAGAGGATACTAAGATAGGGTTCATCCTTTATTGTTAGTATTTGAGTGGTTAGCTATTACAAACATAATCCCTCTTAAAATTATTTTGTCTTATTCAATATAAAAACTAAAAAATATTTTCTATATATCAACATTTCTAAGTTAAATGGCAATCAACAAAAAAAGCGACATAAATTGGAACATGTGGGATAAGAATTGCTCATTTACTTGTTTGTGTTAAGTGTCTATCTGAGTTGCTCACTTGCTTTCCTCTTCTTTTTATAGTACGACTTGAATAATAATCTAATAAATAATTTTCTCACAATCCATTTTCTTAGGACAAAAAGATTATTTATTAAATACTGAAAAAATCACTCAAATAAGAATAAAACATAACATTTATTTTCAAAATAGAAGATCCATATTTTTATTTCCAAAATAAGAGTTTGCATTGTGAGATTACAATATTGTATAGTAACTTACCACTGTATTTTTTGGTAGTATATATTGATATTATTGGTATTTCACTCCTATTTTGAGATTTAAAAAAATATAATATTCGTACTTTGGTATGTTCTATTCCTAGTTTAGTCATTTTCCCTAAATACTTCTAATAATTATTTATTAATTTGCATAAATAAAAACTAAAAAAACGCTAGTGCTGTGATTTGATATGAAAAAAGACACCAATCCTCTCCTAAACACCTCCATCACCAAAAGTCTTCAACAAGTTGTGACAAAAAGACCATTCACTAAACCCTACCATTAATATAATAATACGTCCAAGATTTACCTAATTACATACGTCTCACCAATGTACTTTCTATATTTTTAAAAATGGGAAGAATCCATCCATGCATATTTCTTCTCTTTTGACCATAAAAGTTGTGTGGAAAACGTCATCATGAAAAAAGTGTTGCGTAGCTCAGGTAGTTGAGAGGCAAGTGTCAAAGGAGTAAATTCGCGTTCAGTGTCTGAAAACGACAATAAAAAATAACGATGCTCTGCATGAATTTTATTTTGCTGACCGAGAAAATAATAGGCGCGAGTATATTGCTATCGTTACTAGTCTCTCTGGTCAACAATTTAGAAAGATCCTAAAATTATGCGGATGAAATTTCAGAATGAACTAATTGGGAATTTAGATTTGAATTTCAAGTTCGTGTCTAACCCAAATTACATACTATTGAGTAGTCTAAAAATTTGAATTTGAATTTGGATCAAATTCCTCTAATAACTAACAAAATTGAATTATAAATTCAGACTACCCCTTGTAATTTAAAATCTAAGAATTCAAATTTTAAAACTGAAACATAAGATTTCAAATGATATACAGAGTATAAGTTCCTTATCACTACCAAGCATTTTTCTTATAAAAAATAGCTCAGAGAGTAATACTCGAGTTCGATTATTGGCAACTGCATTGAGAGATAATTATGCTAAACGTAAGACCTTTGCAAGTAGCAAGTGCAGGTTTCAACCTTTGCCACCAATATGTAATTAAAACTTAATTTACCTATTTTCAAGTCACCGTCCGGCCAATTCTGGAGGATCCTCGGGAATGAGATTAATCTTTTTTTCTTTCTTAAAAAAATAAAAATAAAAAAACAATGACCTTGATTTGTTCAACCAGACATTGGTACAATATTGGTACCTGGTCGGAAACACCACTGCAAGGGTGCAGTGCTCCCTTGTTTGACTTTGCTAAATCACAGGCCAAAGAAAGAAAAAGAGGGAAATCAAATGTCCAAATCATCGTCAGGGTCTTCATCAGAATCTGCCATTTCATCATCTGAATCTCGAAAATAGATTATTTCACCCCTGCCAGAATCCTCCATTGTTTGAATAATCTTAGTTGAAGCATTCCCATTTTTATTTGTGTCCTCATTCAGGGATTTCCTTCCATCATATATTTCAATGGGTTTTCCATTCCCTGAAAAAAGAAAGAAAGAGAAAACATTTTTAGCCAAACTGTAAAACATTAAAACTTTTGTAAGAATGATCTTTAACATGGAAGCAATACAAAAACATTTTTTTTGTTTAAATTAGTTTTGTGAAGTACAAAACATTTAAGTTTCACTAAAATATGTAATTTGGTCAAAGTTTAAAGGATTTGACCAAAATAGTGGGTTTGTGTGTTGTCAAACTGACACTAACTAAACAAAAGATTAAGGACCAGCATGCAATAATGATTTGAAAAACCCTCATATACCTTGGTGCTCAAATGGGAGAACAACTTTTTCACGATCAAGTCGCTCCTTTTCGGACAGCTGCAGATTAAATTGTACCTGTCATGAAGATTCATTCATCCCTTTAATTCATAAGAGTCTGTTTTATAGATATAAATTCATAATGTGCTATTACGAATTCAGTTCAAATCCTCAAGCTTATTTGGTTCATTATTATGGGTTTGAATAAGGAACCAAACAAGAAGATTTGGTTTTCGGGTTGCATGTTTGATATGATTCTGTTAAATTCATTTCAAGAATCATTTTGAATGTTTTTCCAATATATAAAAATTACTATGACTTCTTTTTATTAAAAATAATAATAATAAGTACTCCAATTTAAAAGCTGAAAGGTGGTAGGGGGGTAGCGGGAGACATGCCAAGGCAGTGGTTCAAACGTGCAAGCAACCACAAGTTTATTTACAAAAAATAAAAAATAAAAAAAATAATGGTGTTTTGGGGTCATTTTTGAAAAACTAGTGTGGGGGGGGGGGGTCTGGGGACGATTAGACTGTTTGAAAAAAAACACGATTGGAGGGGGATTTCAGTAATGGGGATTTGGGGTCATTTTTTGTTACCAAGTAAGGGGAATATGTTTGAGATTCCACAATCCAAAGAAAAGTGGGAATCAGATGGCCTCTAGTACAATCCAAAGAAAAGTGGGAATCAGATGACTTAACAATACGAAAGACACCTCTATCTGAGGAAAGGAAAAAAATATATCTCAGGTGAGGGGTACCTTGGGAACAAGGCTATGTGCAGTTAGGCCATTTTCAAAAGTAGCAGGTGTAAATTTAATGCCTGAATCCTCAACAAGAATTTCTTCGCACTGATCACAAAGGAAAAAAAAATTAAAATAGAGATGATTTCAACGATTATCAAAACAATAGAGTGTGATTTGTGTCAGTGCTTTATGGTGGGTAGTTTACTAGGCTGTTGTAAATTACTAGAGGCAAGTTACCGTGACTTTAACACGTCCATTCCTGCGTTTGGAGCGTACATGAAACTGTCCTTTTTTGAAGTTCTGTTCCACCATTGAGAGGTTATTCATGGTAACACGCTGTCCACTTACTGTCTGAGGCACTGGTACTATATCAGCACATATTGTAGACAAATATTCAAGAGTAGAAGCAGCTTTGGTCTCATGAAGGTCTGAATTCAACAAGTAAAACATGCTCGAAACCAGGTCTACAACCAAAAATCAAGTACGAAGAAACTTTTAAAATTTCCTCATCCTAAAGAAGAATGACTAGATCCAAATTGTCAACGGAAATATAAGAAAGCACCTCAGAAAAATTGATTGGAGCGCATCACAGAATATCAATTTATAAATTCTAGCTATATTTTAAGATCTATATGTTGATTTAACTAAATTGTTACTTGTTTGGGAATCTTCTTGAAGAAATGAATTTAATAAAATGGAAAATAGTTTCTTTTGATAAAGAATTCATGTATATATTAAAATATATCTTCCTTAAGCTATATAAATAGGAGGTACTTTGTAAAAGAGAATCTTCCTACAAAGCATAAATATTTTAATAGTTGTCATACTATGCCGTATTTGCCCTTAAATCAAAATATCCCTGAACTGATAAAGAGTGCGCTAAATTTGTAAGTTAAATTTCATTACTTTTGTGAAAAAGTAAACAAGTTCGAGGATATCACTTCCTTTGATACAATAGTCGACACTTTCTAGTTCTTTTGCATTTCTACTAAATTGTTAAGTTTGCCTCCCTCACTTTACATCTATATTATTTAAAAAATAGTTACACAGGCAAGCAATGAAGTATACCATGACTACGCAGGCAGCTCAAAATTCTGGCTACCGAATGAATGGATGAGTGCCTAAGCATCTCACTTACCTATAGATAGAAATCAAAATGTCAATAACACTTGCACCAAATAAGAAAAGTGAACACACATTCCCTGAGGTTAAGTAGGATTACCGAATCTATGGCAACTGAAAATCGTCCTTTTCCTTCCCCAACAATTTCTGTAGACAACACGGCACACAGAACAATAAAACAATGACACCTTCACACGCAAAGTCCATCTTCATCCTCAACTATGTGCCTGGAAATTGTATAAAACTTTACAACTCGTACCTTTTCCTCGTTCAATAATTGCAGTCAATAACTTATTTGAGTCCTTCATTTGGGTGAATTTGGTAGCCGTAACCAAAGTCTCTACAGAGGTATTCTTAACAGTCCCACTCTCCATGAGCCGGGTTTTCCACCCTAAAGGATCCGTGTAACAATCCAAAACACTAAGCCTGATAAATTTTCAGCAGATAGAGATAATCAACCTTTTCATGTGTTTCAACAAAAAAAATGTACCAATAGTTTAAAAAATGTCAATCAAACCATTTATTTGAAGAATAGCCGTCATTTCCTCTACATTTGAGCAATTCAGCATAGAATGACGGAGGCCGAGTTAAAGCTACCAACAGAATTCCTCTGCAAGGTGCATTAGATAAAATAAATTCCCAAACAAACTTAAACCCTAATCTTTTTTCATTCCACCAATCTTCTGAACTATGAATTGAGCTTGCTGGACAAATGAACTGACCGAGACTGCGATTTACCGGCCGATATGCTGGGAAAAAGCTGGGAGAGAATGTGATCGAAAACAACTGGTCCGAGAGGCGATTCAATGGAGTCCTTTAAGGTGAGAGCAGGGGCGTGCTCGCCTTCTAATGCTCCATCTCGGAGGCTTCTGCATATTAATTCCCCCATTTGTGCTTCACCGCCGATTTTGGTGAGAGCAGGGGCGTGCTCACCTTTATACTCTATTTTTCTTTCTTGCTCAAATTCGAATGATCAAGAAAACTCTAAAATTCACCCTTCCCCAATTTCGAACGAACAAGTAAACCCTAACAAATTCTTTTGTCATAGTTTAATAATGAGAAATTTATCTAAATAGGACTAAAACATAATGACTTTCCCAATATAAGACCATATGTTTTTATTTTTCAATGTAGGACTTTTGGTCATTATCATGTATGCATTATTCAATTAAATGTCCATCATTACTGGACATTATTCTTTCCACTAAGTCATTATTAAGTCCTATTTAAGAAATAAAAAAGTTTATGTCCTACATTGAGAACGGCATTATGTTTTAGTCCTATTTAGTGCAAATTTTACTAGTTTAATACAGTGTCTAGCGTATAAGACTCGTTCATTTTGAGACATTTTCAATCTTCTCGGTTCACCGTACTCCGGATTCACTAGAAACTCACCGTAGTTTAATTTGTATACTACTTTATTAAGAAAAATGTATTTAATTATAATTTAAACATAGAATAATTAGATTTATTTTATAACTTTTATTTATTTAAAACTAAATATAATTTGTAGTCAAAAGTTAGTATATAATTCGAAATAAAACAAATAATTTAGTACGGATAGAGTATTTTACTTTCTAGCTCGTAATTTGCTTGCTTACGAAATAAATATAGCTTTGTGTTATGAAAGACAACATGCTTAAAATTAGTTGTTAATAACATTGTATGACAACTAATGTTTCAATTAGTATTAACTTTTAAAATTAGTGTTTGAAAATTAGCATTTCATTTCAATTTATGCAATTCAATTCTAAAATTTAAAATTTTGAATTTCAAATGACAAAATGAGGCGTATGGATTTCAAATTAAGCTTTGTTATGAATGAGGAGAATTTGATTTAAATCAAAATTTAAAAATGCTAAGTTTCTCAATCATGAAATTTGAGCCAAACCCAGATTTGAAATCCAAATACATGTTTCCAAATATGTCATTAATGATATACGAAGTAGATAAATTTTGAAAATGTTATCCACGCTATGATAGTTACCAGGGGCGGATCTAGGTACAAATTAATGGGGGCAATTGCCCCCAATGAATTTCAAAATTGTCCATAGTAGTACCCTAATTCTTTTTAAAAAAGTAATTATGCCCCCACTGAAAAAAAATAAAATGTCCATAATAAAAATAAATTTTAAGTAAAAAATTAAATATCTACCATTAAAAATAAAATATTTAAAATTTAATTGAGTCAAAAGTAATAATTATCTAGAGCAAATAAATTTATAGGAAATACTTTTTAGATTTTTCATTAATTATTTGAATGTGTTATTGAGTAAAAATAATACTCCCTCCGTCCTAAAACCATCTTCCCACTTCCTCTTTTTCTTTGTCCTAAAACTACCTCCCCATTTCCTAAAAAAGAGTGGAAAATGACCCTGCTACCCTTACAATATTCACACCCCAACCATCCCACTCTCTCAATCAGTCTCCCCATCTCTCATCACTTTACCGTCTCCATCTCTCATCCCTCCACTTTCTCTCCATCTCTCATCCATCTCCCTCAAAATCAAATTATAGATCTAATCTTCTGCAAGTAAAATTTTGTCATGGAAGGACGTCATCGACGACGGCAATAGATTTGGACGGCGACAACGGAAGAACCTAGCGGCAGAGAGAATGGAAACCTTCGCAGGTGGATTTGGAAAGAGTCCTCAAGAAGATTTCAGTACTCGAGTAGCAATGAACGTATATACTTCCTCCGGTGGTGGCGGTAAAGTTGAATGGACAATTCTCTAGCGACGGACGACTTGAGATGCCACCACTACCAAAAAGAGTACTGACAATAGATGGAAGAGCGGAAAAATGGCTTCGTCTATCTGTCTTCGAGGCACGATCAGATTTAGATCTAGATCTAAAAGATGAATACTGTTTGTTTTCTTTATTTGCGTTGAAATGGCGGAGTGGCAAAGGGAAATAGATTTTAGGGGCATTCTAGGAAAGTCAAAGCATATTTTACCTTCTCTTAAAAATGGGCTCCGGTCAAACCGGGAAGGTGGTTTTAGGACGGAGGGAGTATATTTTTTGTAAGTTCACATTCCTATTTTGAAGAAAAAACAGAAGCGATGACACTTGTTCATTTGCAGCACAATATTTATGCATTGTTGGCAAATTCTTATGTGCATTTAAAATATGAATGCACCGAGTATGTTAATAATATATACACTCGATTTACGTCCGAGTATTAAGATAAACATTTATTCAATTCGGCTAAGGTAAAATAACATCCAATTCTGGTGATATATTATGATTTTGGATTGCCTCCAGGGATTTCGGGTTGTTTTACTCTTTCAAATAGTGGATTTTCCAACTATTTTAGTTCGTGCCCCAGAAATTCACCCAAAGTCACCCTCTTCAATTTACCTCCAAATTTAACTAAGGGCTAAAAACGGTTTTTTCCTAAAATCATGACAGAATTTTATAAAAATCTCCCTCTTAACCTTTTTACGTCAAAATAGGCTTTAAAATCTACGGAATATGATGCTAGCGGGGAAATGCGGGGGTAGAAAGTGAGGTAATGGGAGAAATTGAAATGCCTCGTTCAATTTCTGGTAAAATGATTTTATTATCCAAATGAATCATTTAATCCCATCATGTGAAAAAAGGTTCTTTGTTTAACCCTTACTGAGATATGTATATAATGAGCTCAAAAATAGACATCCACAAAGATAAAACCCAAAATGCAATCTTTTCAAGTTCAAAGGTACAACCAAACGTCAATAAATATTCTGCTTAGAAATCAAACATTGGCAGATAAGAACTTCAGTCAAAATTTCAAAAAAAACCCTAAGAAAAGAGAGCAGAAACAGACATTCTTGAGTTCAAGATGTTCATCAAACATGTGCGTATCATCTAGGCACTTACAGCCTCGGTAAGTGGATACTCAAAGACTACATCTTTCCCGGAAAGCTTCCTGTAGACACTGGTAAACGTATCTAATTTGTATTCGGTGTCATTCCTGGACTTTGTGTCCAATAGAACCTAAAACAAGAATAAACAAATGCTTACATATATGGTGGATGAATTGTAGTGAAAAAAAATGTAGTTATGGAATTAAACTTATGAGTTAACTGGCTTACCTTCATTATTTTCGAACCATCAATACGGTATTTAATGCGCTTCCCAACAATCTCAGCTGGGAATACCATGTCCTCGAGAATAGCCTCATGCACAGCGGTCATTGTACGGGAACGGGGCCTCTGAACAGCAGCACCCTTCTTTGGAGGGCGCACTATCCTTCGTGTGGCAATCACAACAACATCCTACAAGCAATGAGATTATCAGAGAAGAAAATCCCGGGCCATAGATGAATTATGACTAAGATAGTTTTGAGAATGAGATAGGTCATAAACAAGTACATATCATGTTTTGTATAAAACCCAAGGCATTAAAAAAGGAAAAGTCAATACTTCAATGGTGTTCAGCAGATGAGAATAATCAAGTAATTGCAAAGGACAACTCCAGTAGTCATGTAAGACTAGTAAAAGACTAGATGAGTACAAGGTATGTAAATGCATTACCTTCCCGCTGAATTTCTTCTCAAGCTCTCTGACCAGCCTGGGATGAATCTTCCGGAAAGCTTTCCTCAGCCTATAAGGAACATGGACCACAACCGCTTTGCGGCTTCCAGAAACATCAATCTGACTGCATAACATAGTTTTAAAATTAAAATAAACATCACTACGGTAAAGATGCCCAAGTGGTGAGAATGTATGGGAGATGGTAATGTTTCATACGTGGCAGAGTTAATAAAGAGGTCTTTCAGATCACTCTTGAGATCTGAGTTGGTGTTTTCCAAGTCATACAGTGCCTGCAGAAATAAATAAGCTCTGTTAGTGGAAATGGTATGGAAGACACCCTTCAACAAAACAACATACAAAAAAGTTTAAAAAATCAATGGAAAGCCATTGGTGACCTGGGCAACAGTAATCTCAAACTCAGAGGGTTTGACATCCTTATCCTTGTGGATCTTCTGTGATGCAGTGAACATGTTGAACCCTGATGGCAAAGGCAACTGCTTTGCTATCATTGATAAAGATAAACAATTAAAGAAAGCTGTTTTCTATAAAACATAAAAGAGGCATTCCATACTAAATTCAAATCGTAAAATGTTCCCATGTTTTTCACTAAGATCAATCACATGTCAGAAGCCTTCTAGAGCACTTTGTTGTACGGAGCAATGAACCAATTTGTTTTACAATGATTCAAATGTTGATAAATGCATCTCTTTTTTACAAAAAGTGTACCATATTGGTAGAAACTAACAGAAAAAATATGTAATGTCTTAAATATAATTACCATTCTAACTCATACTTCATATAAGTTTTGTATTTCGAGAAGAACATGTTTTTCCAGCAAAATTGACCATATCTAATAATCTTTATAAAAAATTTCAATTTACAGATCAAGAAATCACTCTGTTATGGTTAATCTTAGCGTACACGCAGTTGAGCATATTGCTTCAAATCATAGTCCCATGTTGTTTTCAATATCTGTAGAGCAGAAATTTTAAAGAGTACTGCAAAAAAACTAAATACGGGAATAACAATAGATGGGGTCATTCCAACTAACGTTCTTTTCGAAATATATCCACAACTAAATAAAAATGGCGATAAAGAACTTGTGCTCTCACTGAATAAATTGAACTAAAAATGTGAATTCCCACATCAATCCAGCTTCTATCTGCATATATATAGTTACATTTCTACTAAGCAAACAAAAAGCTGATGGAGTTAGAGATTTCCACATCCATTAGAATTAATTAAAATTAGAACACAAACACTCGGGTATAATGGAAGATCTGTAGTGATTCGATGCAACTATTGAACAAAGATCTACAAATTCACTAATGATAAAAAACATGAACTGGTTAAGAAACAAAACAAAACTTTTCCTAAAGAACATTCGACGGAGTCGGAAACTGAAGCAGGGGAGATCGCCGGAGATGAGAACAGAAAATGAAGTACCTGAGTGAGGTAGGTGGGACGGAGGGGAGAAGCACGCGCCGGATCGGGAGGAGGCCAGAACAGAGGGGATGTTTGTAAAGCGATTTTATAATAATCGGGGAAACAAGGATTAGGGTTGGGGCGATAGTCGAGACGTAGTTTGCGGCCCATTCGTGTAACGGCCCAATACTTCCTCTCTTTTTATCTAAAATGGCACTTGGAAATATTACTTCTAAAATTTTAAAGTTTATACCGTTCTAATCTAAATTTTTTGTTTTTAATTACGTTATTTGACTGGAATTAATTTGAATATAATTTATTTGAAATTTGAAATGGAATAAAAAAGTAAAATTTACATTTTACAAAAATACATCCAGAGCTCTACTAAACAAAAGTTGATAGGACTAATCTATTGTATCAAATGCGTAACGGAAATTGGAAAATAAGTGAACAAAAATTTGACTATGTGAATAATAAATATATAACTTAATTTGTTATGGAGGAATATATTTAAGGAAAAAATTTCTTGAATAATCTCAATTTTACTCGATTTTTCAAAAAAAAAAACTCATTTTTCACTATGATGCATAAAACTCCAACTTTCTTCAAATTTGCAAGCTTTGGGTCGCCGTTAAGCTACTAACTATGGTTTAACAAAAATAGCATGTTTTGCGCAACAAAATGAAATATGAGGTTTTTTTTTGTAAATTTTCATTTTTTAGTTGATTTTTTATTTTTTTGAAATTCTCCTTTAAATTTTTAAAATGACTTTATACCTACATCATTGCTTTTTATTTTTTTAAGGATTAGTCTTAACATTAAAAAAATTGAAAATAGATATAAAAAATAACAAAAGAAAAGAAAAGAAAAACAAACAAAAACATACAATTTTGATAAAATTATTAAGGTAATCAATCGTAACTAACCTGGAACTAGTAAGAAAATAAAATAAAAATATGCGGAATGGTTAGTCCAAATATTTTATGCATTATACAAAGTATTAATGTATTTTTTTTAATTCCATTTTTAGGGATTTAGAAAAAAAGTTTTATTTCTTGTTTTTTACCATCCAAGCTAGAGTGTTTTTTGTTACAATTTTACTTAACCTTTTATAATATTTCATAATAAAAAAAGGATTGTATAAATTTTTTTTAGTTATAAAAAATATAACCCTTTAATATAAAATTTGACACTCCGTATGCTAGAAAGTAGAAAGTCGCCAAGTGCCAAGCTTATGTGGGCTATATTAAGGTGTTATCGCAAGCCTTTATTGATTGCTTATGTGGCAAATTTTATTAATGATGAATTGACCTTTCTTTTTATTTTAAAATAGAAATTTAATAATGATTTCAAATTTTGGAAAAATTTTATGTAAAAAGATTTAGGACAAATAAAGAATTCATTACTTCGTGACATTAGTTGAGTTTTTATATTTTAAATTTTTAAAAAGCAATTCATTTATTTATTTGTTATGCTGTGATAAAATTAATTATGTTATAAAATCAAATTTGTGAAGGATAAATATAGTATTGTCCGAAATGAATTTTTTAAATAAAAACAATTATATAAAATATAATTTTATGATAAAACTTATTATGATGTAGCAAAAAATTAGTGAAAATAAAAAATTGGTATTATTACTTACCATTTCTAGACTAGCATTTTTATGAATCAAATTTTTAACTAAGTGAATACACAAAAAACAAAATTTTGATAATGATATATTTTCATCTAAAAATATTCCTATAGGAAAGAATCAAATATGTTTATAATTGATCCTTTATTTATAAAATTTATATTTTAATTTCTAAGAAGTTGAGATGTGATGTTGTTTACGAGACATTTCTGACACGTAAAATATATTATAGAAAATAAGAAGTTAATACTATGGTATGAAATCATTCGGTACAATTAATTATGGAAAAGAATAGAGATATTCGTTTTTATAATAAATTATTTCCTAATTATGCATATTATTCTATTCAATTATTACAAAACTTCTAAAGGTGTGTTTGGTGAGCAAAAAAATATGAGTTTTGATATCTCTAGATATCCTAATCATTTTCTGGTGTTTGGTGAAGCCAAAAGAGTTATCAAATTTAATATCTCCACATATCATAAATCTTTAAATTGGATGGTCTCAATATCTCCCGAATTTGTGAGATATCAATATGAGGATTTGATATCTCTTTTGAAGTGTTGATCATTCTTTGCCACTCGCTACCATTGTCACTGCCAATTGCCAACAACTCCCGTTGCCAGTCACCCTTTCTTACCGCTAATTAAATTTTGAGGTTTAATCTCTCTAAATAAAATTATTTCAGATTACAAACTCCATATCATTTCTCTGAGATTTCATAACCTCTATCTTATAAAATCTCTAAAATTCACCAAATTGGACCTAATTAATTAATAAGATATTTCTTCACTTCTAAATAAATTTCATGTTTTTATGAAATATTTAAATCAAAGCAGTCAGTTTGATTATATTTAATAAAACATTCATGTAAGTTAATAAACAGAAAACTTATTTTAAAACTACAATGAAACTTTATAAAACATGACTAGACTTTGACCATTGACCGTTGACCATCACCGGCCACCGCCTGCCGCTGCCGGCCTCCACCGCACCGCCGCTGCTGACCGCTGGTTGACCGGTGTTGCTTTTTTATTTTTAATTAATTTTTTAATTTTCAAAATTAAAAAAAGGTGAGTTTTGGTATTCAAAGTGGTGAGCTTTGCTTTATTTCCAAGTGAGCTTTACATTGGTCATTGGTGAGCTTTGCAGTGTAATGTGGTGAGTTTTGCGTCATGTCACCGGAGCATGTCACTGGAGTCAATCCCACACACACACACACACATGAAATTTAAATGGTATGTAACATAAAAAAATCAAATTGTTTAAATATTTGATCTTGTACAATAGAAAACAATTTCGTTCCACCCGTGCATGACACGGGTCAGAATACTAGTAAAATAAAAATATGCGGAGTGGCTAGTCCAAATATTTTATGCATTATACAAAGTAGTCCGTATTAATGTTTTTTTTTATTTTCATTTTTAGGGATTTAGAAAAAAAAGTTTTATTTCTTGTTTTTTATTTTCATTTTTAATATTAGTAGGTAGCAATGCATTTAGGAAGAAAGACCAAAGTAAGACTAAAACATTAAAAATATACCAAAATAGGACTTTCATGTTTATATTCTCGAAATAAGAGTTACATTACCAAATATGGTCATGTACATTAGCAAAAAGGCCTAGTAATGTGCACATATACAGTGTCACATTACCACAGTACAAAGTCTTATTTTGTGATAAAAATATGAAAGTTCTATTTGGTACTTTTTCTTATGGTTTAGTCCTATTTACGGTGATTTCTAATACATTTATACTCTGTATAATACCTTAAACAATAGAACCCACCACGCTTTATATTTTTATTTTTCTTATCAATTTTAATTTTTTCTTTTTTTTGGATTAAGATTAATCTTTGAAAAAAATAAAAAGTTACGATGGTGGTAGGAACTCAATTTAAAAATTTAAGAGAAAATTTAAAAAAATGAAATAAAAACAAAAAAATATAAAAAATAATCCTAATTTTTATTTTCTTGCACAAAACACACTATTTTTTTTAACTCGTGTTAATAGTTTCACATTGGCCAAAACTCGTAAATTTCTATAAATTTGGTGTTATTATACATCACAATTTCTCTTGCTATCTCATGTTGGCTACCTACAAAAAAACCACTCTTTAACTATGGTCAATTTTGTGTTACTGTTTTTGTGTGATAAATTAAGAAGGATTGAAAATCTTAAGTTGCAATGAAGAGAATAATACACTTCAAATGGGTGCAAATAAATTATCCAGAATTTATAATTGTTCTACGGAGTACTACCTCCGTTCTTGAATATTTTTCCGATTTTGACTTTCTTCAATCAATCATTTTTACTTTTGACTTATAATTAAATAAAGTACATATTGTATATTAATTAGATAAAATAATATTTTAAAAATATCTAATATAACAAATCTAATGGACTATTTGTGTATCAACATTTAATATCATTTTTATTTAATCTGAGATCAAGATTTACCAACATTGACCAAAAGAGTCAAAATAGACAAGTATTCAGAAACGGAGGGAGTTCTAGTTAATTTGTATCATGAACTCTAAAATTATGGAAAACAGTAGAAGCATTATTACTATTCAATCATATAGTACTTGGGGATGAAGTCTTTTAAAAGTTAATTATTTTAATTGCAATGGTTCTATGGAGTATTTATTATTTACATAAATTTTTTGATAGTACTCTCATAGTGCATCGCACGGGTAAAATTTAGAACTCGCAAGATGTAAATTATTACCGGCCGAGTCACGTGACAGGAGGTAAACTAAGTTCTCACCACAGACTCGATAGCGAAGAGTATAACATGTATCTCGTAGATGCATTATGTTTAGACTGTGTGTAGCACTTCACCATCGATTATTTTAAATCAGCAACCACTCAACGTCATATTAACGCATACATTATTCACCATCTCACTGACTTCACACGTGTAGTGTCTCGCATCCACTACAATAATTATACATTTTATTTTTTGAGATGTGATTGACATTTTTTAACAAGCAATTTAGCAATGATACATAAAAAATATTCTGTCATATTCTTCACTAGATGAATTTTTTTTTAAAAAAACTAACATGCATTTGAAATAATTTTTTCTTGTATTCATCTCGATTTGTTTGAAAACTGATATATCAAATCATCTCAAACCATATTAAATCAATATATAAAGATCAGTATCGATACTACATAAAATCTAACATCGAACAGAATTACTTGATACGCTAATGATGCAAGCTAAATATCAAACCATGTTGTACCATAGTCAAATCTAGATCGAAGAATATACCAAGGGTCCTGAGCAGCGTATGCATTATTGGCCATGTTTCAAAGTTGTTTGTTTGTTATTAGGAATTGATTGTTTGTACTCCCTCCGTCTCAAAAAGATTTACACGTTTCAAAAAAATTGTGTCCCACAATCCCTTACCCATTTCTATTAAAAACCACTTTT